TTAAGAAACACGCCAAAAAGAGGAAAACGTGTTAATAAGAAAATAGGCAGTAAAAATCAGTAGGTAAATGCTTATGGGAGCCTACTAAATTGCCTATATGTAACTATAAAATACCTATTAAAATTAATTGATCGTTTTAAATAAAAAAATATTGCAGTATTTAGTGAGAAAATTGGTAGTTATTGTATTATTTTCAATAAATTTAAATACCTAGTTAATTATCATTCGACAAAAATCACTAAATTATATTCTATACTAACTAAATTAATGCTTAATTACCTAAAAATAATCAATATATATAATTTCTAATAACTGTAATAATAAATACGCAAAACTCCGAAGCATATCAATCTAAAGGTGATGATTAAACATCTCAATAGACTTATTATAAATTATTTTCTCTCATCAATCAATACAATATAGATACAGGCATAACACTTAACAATAAAAACGAAGAATATGAGATATATAAGAACACGAAAAGACAAGTCGCCAGCTAAAGTAAAGTATGCGTGGATGCTAAAGTGGGTCAATGGACTACATAAGCTGTTAATCCCCACCAGAGGATATTCTCGGCTCCGGGTTCTCCTTCTTTCTCCTCCACGACTAATCTCACGCAGACACTGTGGCTGAATCTTCCGGCAAACGGTCGGCGTTGCCAAATTTAAAAATTATCTCATTTTCTACTACTAAATGTAAAATGTCCTGGGATAGTACAAGAAATGTCTAGTTTTATTTATAGAGTTGTTGGTGTTATTAATGAAATCATAATGAATAAAATAGTGAAAATAATTAATAATATTCAAGGACACCACTTTTATGGTACTAAATTATTCATAAACCTATTTGAATGCTATTGAAATATTCAATAGTCGCGTAGAAAATGACCCAATTTAAATTTTGTTGTACTGTCAAATGTCTCTCCAATAAAAAGCATTTTATTTTATTCTTCATTTTGTCTATAAAACGCTAGTATATAGCTACATTTTCAAGGTCTGATTAGCTTAGTATTCAAGCGTACAAAACGCAATGTAAAAAACTTAATTTACCATCAAGCAATCAAAAAAATAATAGGCATTTTGCCTACCTACCCAATTTGTAATGAGAATCACAATTTAAAACGTTCAGCAAGAATTTGTAATTACAAAAATACGTCCAATAGGTAAAAGAAACAACAAGAAAAAATGAAAGAATTGTAGAAAAAACCAAATGATTAAATTCCTCCCTAATATTTGGCAACGTCGGTACCTGAAGAAATTTGAATGATTCAAATAAACTGAATGAACCTGCTTCCGTGTTACAAACCATCGAAGGACGCCCGATCGGTTTTATTACAAAATTTATTTACGACGCCGATTCGAATTTACAAATCGGTCCGCATTGAATAAAACCCAGTAAAGCACTCGCGGTTAATCGTAAATCTAACGCAAATCGTAATCCCATATAACAGAAGAATGTGTTTAACCCAGTTATTTTAAAAAGATACATCCATATTATTAGACACGGCGAATAAATAAATGCGGGCTGGCAATTTACAATATAAATATGCAATTAAGAGGAATGGCATTATCATGGACGTATCACACTAAAACCGCACACGAAGTTTATTATATCCGGATCTTTTACTAGCGTTATTAAGGATTCGTAATGATTTCAGTAACCTGATTAGTAAATTTTATTATTAAACCGCATGTTACCCTATAGAACCATAAATTGTTGTAAATGATAACAATAGTATTACAAAAAAACCGGCTAGTTACACCCATGCACATTACCATTTCGCCATTAGCATTACCGGGCCCTTATATACATCATCATTACGACCTACCGACGATTTTTTTTTTCATATCTCCATAACGGATCATCGGTCTGGATTCAGAATATTACGAGATTAAGAGCCGTTATACTGGTGAATATTCTACACTAATGATTTCGGTCATTGTTTGCAAATCGTCTTCTGACGGGACGGACGTCCCCTATCCGATGGCCTTATCGACAATTTAGATTCAAAATCGGCAAACAGGAAAAAATTCGACATGCAGAATACCTACTTTGAAATTTAAACGAACGGTATATGCATGACGGTTAACAGTACAGGAAAAATACACTTAGGTGTGATCAGTGATCGGTTTGAATCGTATAATTTGCTTCGTAGGTAGTGCTTGTTGTGGGTTATTTTAATTTTAGAGATTCACTGTTATCTTGGACGAATAAACTCGCGTACCGAAGAATCCTTCGTAGAACGATGTAAATATATTTACTTTCCTGCGTCGACGATATCGTGGATTTCTGCATTGGGGTTCTCGAATCGTTCGGCGGAATAGCACTTTCTCTTTGCGGTGGCAATGCACTAGGACTAGGTGAACCGGTGGCTGGTGGAAGTCGTCTTCGGGGGGCCGGAGTCCAGTTCACGGGCGATAGGATGCCGGCCAGTTCGCTGCACCAGGAAGCGGATCTACCCGCAGCGAATTCCTGTGTATGTTTGTTGCGACATTTTATGAATGGTTTGATGGCGATTGGCGGTAATTGTACCGCCTTATGCTAGTAATATGTCGATGTAGGTTTGGTTTCTTCCGAGAAATACCTAAATTATGTAACGCTGCTAACTTTGCCAGTCTCTAATTGTGGATAATTTTGTTTTTTTGTAGACATGTTTTCATATTTAGTAGATCGATAAAGTTGCAAATCTTATATAATTCAGTATAGATTCTAGTTTTCTTTATCGTAAAGTACCTATACCTTGATGGATTAGCTCTATTTGTATTGAACTAGGATCTGATTTCATTCCAATTCTATCACAATTATTATCTATTTTATCTATTGCAAGTTGATTAAAAAATGTTTACACTTTTCCATTTTTCCATATTATGGTTTTGTGGAATGATTTGGAATATCTAGAGGATGAATTAAGGTTGAATGAAAAATTTTTCGGTCGATCCACTGGCGCATCGAACGTGACAAATTTGTCGATAAAAACGATTTCCTTAAGCACGCGGAAGTCTCGGAGGTAAAAAATTTATCCGCCTTCGAATCTTATCCCATTGTACATTGTAAACTATTGATTTAAGACAATGTTTCGAATCGAGGTTAACTGTTTCGTTTGAAGAAGAAAAAAGAGGCCTAGATGGATTAGCATACAATTGAAGTATGCTTGTCTAATGCAAAAAATGGCTAAGGCTGTGATTTTGAACAGTTAAAGTGTACGACGTCGTCGTTTTAGAGCCCACTTTGAACATTTCGTATACCCATCTGTATATGCTCGGCGATTTAAATTTAACTGTTCAGGTGCTTTTTTCGAATTGACACCATAAAACGAAGCGACATTTCTAACTGTAACATTGTAGGGAAAAAAGATCATTACACTGCATTCTAAATTTTTCGATTGTCCTCATCAATTACATTTTAACTACAATTTTCTGGTTAAAATAAAGAATGGAATTGTTCAAAATAACACTATCTAATTTTATACAAAGCATTATAGATTATCTGTTTAATAATTTGTTGTTTTATTAAATTATTCTGAATAGAAGAGAATGATAGATTTTTCTGAACGTTTGACTCAATTTGTCTACCCTGCAGGTTATTCTTATGACAGAAAATCATTGCAAGAAGAAATAGAGGGAAGAACTGAAGAAGATATCAATAAAAGAATCGATTTGTTTCTCTATTATTGCAATTATTAGCTCTCCAGATTGGATCAATCCGCGTTCCGTAAGCTTGAATAATCTTGTTGAAATTTATTCTCTTTGGATATCCAAGCAATTTCATCATTCTACATCATGTAAGGTAATCCAGCTACCACTAATATGAGTCCATGTAATCGAGGAACTTCTAATCAAAGACTTTTTGATAAAGAAAATATTGTTTTTTTAGCTGTTTCATCCAGAATTAAAATTTCCTCAGCAACTAAATTGGAACGTTCAACAGACCAAAACCAAAATTATGATAAAAGTTATAATCAGACACTAAACTATTTATTTCATCATTCTACATCTAATATGAGTCTATATAATCGAGGAACTTCTAATCAAAGACTTTTTGACAAAGAAAATATTGTTTTTTTAGCTGTTTAAGAAACGTTCAACAGACCAAAGCCAAAATTATGCTAAAAGACATAAAACTATTTCCACGTATCTTCCTACATAAACCATTATCAGGTTCCGAGTACCACCATTATAAAACAGTGATAATCGGAATCCTAGCGAAAAGCGATTTCGATTTACCGTTGAAATTCGACCTTGGTCGACCTCTAAAACCATTTAAAAAAAACAAAAACATAAAGATCCATCGCAATCGGCGAACCGACATCACCTTTACTTTCTCCTGCCGGTGCTAAAAACGCGGCAACGCCGCCGTTCTAGCGGTACTCTCGTCGGTGCGTTAGCCGCGAAACACCGTTATACTCGTACAGAAAGTGAAGTTGTGTACTCATTCCCTGGCCTACTCCCGTTTTGCTCTTCTTTTGTTTATAAGCTGATGGCTGTTGTGCGGATTCGGCGGAAAGAACTAACGCTACGATCGACGAAACTAATGAATTAAAAAAGACCATTGTGGGCTATAAACGATATACTATAGCGTTGTTTTTATACCCGTGGGTTTGAACAATGAGAAACCGGTAGACGATTAAAATTTTGCTAATTAGTCGCAACAGAAATAGAACGGAGTGTTTTGAGGTTTTTTTTTTAATAGTTAGGAGAAAGTTGCCGAAAAAGTTGCTGTTAAAATGGAAATTAATGAGAGATGAATTGACAAAATCGTTGTTGATAACTCCTTATTCTTCACTGACTTTGAAATATATTTTTGTACCTGGATATCATACCTTGTTTTTAATCAATGATTCGATAAACTGTGTTCAATTCTTAGGGCAAACTTACCAAAATGAATCCAAAGGAAAGCAAATTTTTGTAGCAAAAAAATTAGTTGTATCAACTTAGTGGAAACCCAGATGAGAATAGTATCTACCTTATTCATATATCACAAGCTTAGATTAAGCTAAGTTGATGCAACTTGGTAAAATAGGTAAATTTGTGAGTGTTTCGTAAAGTGTCCATTAAGGGTGGTTGTTACGCAAAATATCCGAACGTAAATTTTCAACAATTTGTTAAACATTCAAGTATCTAACGCGCTTATTTCTCTGTTGTTCCAGAACCCAACTACGAACACCACCAAAACCAATCCTTAATGGACACAATGAAATATCTGAACGTCTCGCAGAGCACAAGCATGGCAGTCAACAACAACTCGCCGGCCGACGAGGTCGATTCGCTATTCATCTCATCCTGCTGGAGCTCCAACTCCGGCATGCAGGCCGAATTCATGGACAACTTCGGCTCGGACAAGCTCCTGCTCGAGTCCACCTTCCACGACGACGCCAAGTCCAACATGGACACGCTCAACAACCTCCTCGACGGCGCCGACAACGACCTCGCCGAGCTCAAACCGCTGCCCCCGTTCACCGGCTACACCGCCAACTTGAGCATCAACGGCATCCAAGGCCACCACTATCACACGATATCCCAGAGGAACCTGGACAAAACCAACGGTTACAGCAACTTCAACGAGCAGAACATGGTGACGAGCTCCACCTGCAACATGAACCCCGACTCCGTCAGCGAGCAGGAGGACGAAACGTTCTTCTCCACCAACGATTCCTACCGAGATTGCGTCGATCCGGATTCCGTTTCGTCGCTGAATTACGAAACGTGCAGCCAATCCACCGGCGAAACGGCCGCTAACATAAAATCAGAAGTAGTCGAATACGATATATCTTCCATAGACGATATAGCGGCCATCATAGGCTCCGCTATAGCCGACACCACCGTTCCCAACCCGGACAGCGAAGACCCTACGGGGTCTAGAGACAGCTGGATGGACTTGGACGCTTGGATAGACAGCACTTGCGCCATCCAACAAAAAGGAGGTTTGATAATGTCACCAGACGGTCTAACGGAGTACATAGTACCGCCGGTGCAATCGAGCAGCATGCAATCGCAGGATATCGACGCTCTCTCGGCCTCCGGCTACATGCCTTTGCTGAAAAACCGCCTGCAAAACGGCCCTCCAATCAAACAAGAGATGCTCCACGCGAATTACGGCAACGACGCCATCTCCACGTCCAGTCCGCCGTCGAACGTGGTGTCCACGACTGACAACATCTTCGTAACGGTGAACGGTCGATTCCTGCCGCAGTACATCAACAACTTAGAAAATCGAATACCCAGTCCGGATTTGATCAACAGCACGCCGACGACGACGAAGAAGTCGCGGAACAAGGCGCAGAAGAAGCAGATCCACGCGAACTTGTACCAGACGGACCAGACGCTGGGCGTGATGGGCAAGGAGAAGCCGGTGCACAGGTGCAATATTTGCAATAGGGGGTTCTTGAATAAGAGCAATATTAAGGTGCACGTCAGGTTGCACACCGGCGAGAAGCCGTTCAGGTGCGAGACGTGCTCGAAGGCGTTTAGACAGAAGGCGCATTTATTGAAACACCAACAAATTCACAAGAGAATTGGAAGGGAATAGAACCGATCGGGAAATTTCCATGGAGAAGAGAAAATACGTAAGGATTTTGCATTTAATTAAAAGGCGACATATTTTAGTGACCAATGAGCCATTATTATGTCTTCTAGTAAGAGGTTTATAGTCACTAAAACATGTCTAAATGATCCCTTTGATCTTCATTTTGCTACTTAAAGCTCGGCATAAGGATTTACAATTTACTATTTCATAGCCATTATTAGGTCTTCTAGTAAAAGGTTTATAGTCACTAAAACATGTCTCATTCAATCTAAATTTTACGTTCTTAATGATCCCTTTTGATCTTCATTTTGCTACTAGACAATACTTAAAGATCGGCATTGATCAATAGAATAACCACAACATTTTTATGTATATTAAGTACCTAATTACTTCGCTAATATTAGAAACATAGCTGACCTAGTAATTTACGAATTTCCATCTGCAAATACCGTCCATTTATTTGAACATAAAACATTATACTTGTTGTAACTGCGTGCATTTTGAGTTGTAAGTACCGAGGATTAGAACATTCGAACAATATTATTTTAACTTTCACATGATAAACAAATAATTACTTTTCACGAAATTATTACTATCGACGGGTAAATTATTTCTTTGTATACAAAACGCTTCTGACTGCGGGCTGTTCCAGCGGTAATGGGCTCGTTCGACACTTTTTTTTTATTTGCTTTTTGGAAAGACCACACAATTTTAAGTCACTATGCAAAAAATCAGAATTAAATTCCATGTAGAAGTCACTTAAAAAGGCCTTAAAAACCGTCGCGCTGAGCGTTCGCTCGAATTGACTGTGACGTCACTGCATGCGTTGCGAGAACATATTTGTAATATAGGCTGTCGATTGATAATATTGAAACGCGCTTTTAGGGTTTTAAATAGGCTTAGGGAGTTTTAAATAATGACGGACAATAAATGAAAAAATAGTTATAAATATTGCATTGTTCCCAAATGTCGAAGCACTAGTTTTAAAACGCCTAATAAAGGCGCCTAAATACCTAAATAAGACGCCTTTCGCGCGATTTAAGAAAAAACAAATTGTGGCAAAAATAAATGAAAAGAAGTATATGTTGGTTAGTACGAAGTCAACACATTTTGTCTGTGAAGATCATTTTAATATAAGTATTAATTATAATAATTAGCTTGCTTAGTAAAAATAATCAAATTTTTTAGTTTGAAAACAATATGGAAAACTACATGTATTTTAAAACAATGGCTAATTCCCAATATAGCAAGATGTTGTACCTAATATCTTCGACTTCCAAAAAGTTCAAATCGTTAAACACACTGTACAAGCAAGAACAATATTTTTAAAAAGACAGCGGTAAACTACTATCGAGGATTTGTCTAGTTGTTCTAAAAGTACTCGGAATGAACAGAACTATGATATGGATGATGTGAATTTGACAATGGATAAAAATTTAAACAACACTATTACAAATGAGGCCTGTCATAAAAAATTTAAGTTTATATAAACATAATGCCCAAACTTTTTTCAAAACAAACTCAGTGTGATTTGACCCGTTCGGGACAGTTACCATCTGATTTTACTAGTAAATTAGATGACACTCTTCCTATTTAGAGAACATTATAAAAAGGGTAATACATGTTATAGAGCAAAATCCAAAACTTACATAGGTAGGTATTATAGTTATTATTTAGGTATTCCTAAATATTTTTACGTACATAATCTCATTAATCGATAACCAAAATATTATACTTACAATTAGCATTAATTATTTATTATAATTACCCTATATAATCAATTAAACATAGTCGTTAAAAAGACGAAACGATCGCGAATGCAATGCAAGTTAAGTGAATGCGAAGCGGACAGCGGAGAGATCGCATGCAGTGACGTCATCATCGTACTATCGCGGAGACAAATAATCGCATCTTTAAACTCGAATAATCAAAGAACCGCAGATCGGATCAACTTGAAACTTTCAGTAATAATTTTTTTTGACCTCTTCTTTATGTATATAAAGTTTGATCAAATTCTAAATTTTATCGAATGAGCCCATTGCTCCGTTCTCAGCATTAGCATTGTGTTAAGAAAGCGTTTGCATTAATTGGTTATACTCGGGCTATAATTAGAAATAACTCCAACTCGCTAATTTTTCATTAACCTGCATTATATGGGTCGAATCAATGCGTCTAAATGATTGCATTTTGCAAAGCAAATGCTCTAATTTTGAGATACCAGTTCAGTAAGCAATGTTCTTGTTTTCCACTGTTCGCTACAACTTCCTTATTTTTAGTACCACTTCCTATTTAAATCCAAATTGAAATGACATCGAATTCGCGTTCGTTCAAAACTCATTAACAATTCGCCAAGTACCCGTTCTACTCCATTCGCATCGCGTTTATCAAATTAATTGAACGAATATCAACTAACAGTAACCGAAACCCACCTAGTTAACCTTCGTCGATCTGAATGCAGCGCTTCGTGCACCACGTGATGGTCGGAGTTCCTCATTGTCTGTCTCCGAAAGTGTGTCAGCAGGATCACAGTAACCGCGGAGGCCGAAAAAAACCAGTACCAAAAGTACCGAGCGGATTGCGCAGGTGTAAAACTTGCTCTTCCTCCGCTCGCTCGTAGTACATGGGCCTATAGAAGTTTACTTAGATATTTCATTTGGTGACTAACAGGATGATTATTATACACTTAAAATATATGGTACTCGTTAGAGTGGAATTAATTATTAAAAAAGTACTCGCCAGGCGATATTTATATCTTTTGTCGTTGTGGATTTCGATGCCTATTAATTATGAGTATTTATTCTGAAGAAGTATAATTCGTATAGGTATTTCTTAATTAATTAATCAAGAGATTCGAACGGTACTCTTCTCTCGGGCCCGGTTACTAAAGCACTTCAATTTGTTTAGCATACCAACATTATATTCATGTATAACGGTACCTACATTAAAAATAATCGTCATGACCATATACATTTCATATAATTCGGTTACCTGCACCATTTATATTTCAATTATGTATACGCCGGGTAATACATGTGTTTATAAAATGATGAAATCATCAAAAGATTGATATTAATTCATTCTGAATATGTATAGGTATAGTGAGAAATACACATACTCGAAAATGTTTATTATTTATTATTTAAAATGTCTTTTGTTGAATTGTTTTTATTGTTAATTTTAAATGTTGTTTATGCCTTTTGGAATCTAATTTTACAAATAATTCGTTGCATTAAATGTTTATTCTTTTATACAAAACATTTTTGAGTCTGTTGAAGATTCTGGGCCTCAAAATATTACGATCTGACCAAACTTGCTTCAGTAAAATATTGAAAATAAAAAAGACACAGATTGTCAAAGTTGAATTGAATTGAAATTTGAAGACAGGTATTTCAATGCATGAGAAATCATAATATGATAAAAACAATTTAACAAAAAGACATTTCAGATAATAAATGGCCAGCGGCATTTCAACTTCATATAAAACATCCAAAACATTATTGATTGTGTGTTTATATATCTAGTAGTTTTCTCGAATGGATGTAAATTGGGCGCAAAAGGGATGATTAAGGATTTTAACTCTGGGAGATAAATTGGAGTCTCCATCACCAGAAAATCGAGAAAGTGGCAAAATTAACTTCAGCATTTCCGTTTTGTTCCAGGACATTACCTCAACAGCCACCTAGTCTTCCAAATGCCGTGCCCCTGACGACGCCTCGCCATCCACACCCCCTTTTTATGGACACGATGAAATACCCGAACCTGTCGCAAAGCGCGAGCATGGCAGTGAACAACGGCGCCCACGTCGACGACGTCGATCCGCTCTTCATATCCTCCTGTTGGAACTCGAACGCCGCCATCCAATCGGACTTCATCGACGCCCACAAGCTGATGCTCGACGGGCCCGTCGGCCACATCGGCGCCGACAAGCTGCTGCTCGACTCGCCGCTCCACGACGACGCCGAGCTCGAGACGAAGGCGACCATGGACGCGCTGGACAATCTGCTGTTGAACACCCACAACAGCCTCGCCGAGCTCAAACCGCTGCCCCCGTTCACCGGCTACACCGCCAACTTGAGCATCAACGGCATCCAAGGCCACCACTACCACACGATATCCCAAAGGCACTCCGAGGAGAACAACAACAACAACAACACCTACGGCGGGTACAACGAGCAGAACATCGTGTCGAGTTCCACCTGCAACGCGCCCGATTCGGCGTCGTCGCTCAAATACGAGGATTGCAGCCAATCGGGCGTCGATTCGGCCGCCAACGTCAAAACCGAAGTGTCCGATTACGATATATCCTCCATCGAAGACATCGCCGCCATAATCGGCTCCGCCATAGCGGACACCACCGTGCCCGGCAACAACCATCCGGACGGCGAGGGACCGGCCGGTTCGCGGGACAGCTGGATGGACCTGGACGCCCTCATCGACGGCGCCTGCGTCGATCAACAGAAGAGCCTCATGGCGGAGTTCGCGATGCCCGCCGTGCAATCGCAGCAGCAGCACCACGGCGGATCGGCGTTGCAAACGCTGCTGACCCACGGCTACATGCCGCTGTTGCAAAACCGCCTGCAGAACGGAGCGGCGGTGAAGCAGGAGGCGCCCAGTTCGACGAGCTACGCCGACGCGATGAGCCCGCCGTCGAACGTCGTCTCCACCACGGAGAACCTGCTGGTGACGGCGAACGGGAGGTTCCTGCCGCAGTACGCGCACGGTTTGGGCGAGGACCGTCGGATGCGGAGTCCCGACGTGCTGCAGAACTACCCTCACACCACCACCAACGCGTCGAAGAAGCCGCGCAGCAGGGCGCAGAAGAAGCAGCAGCAACAGGCTGCGGCGGGGGCGTTCCAGCCCGACCAGACGCTGGGGATGCTGGGCAAGGAGAAGCCGGTGCACAGGTGTAACGTCTGCAACAGGGGCTTCTTGAACAAGAGCAATATTAAGGTGCATTTGCGGACGCACACGGGGGAGAAGCCTTTCAGGTGCGACACTTGCGCGAAGGCGTTTAGACAGAAGGCGCATTTGTTGAAACACCAGCAGATCCATAAGAGAATCGGTAGAGATTGATTGTGGTCCTGGGTGGAATTTATTTATTTATTCGTGGTGAGTCAAAGCGGCACTTTCGATTAGATTATTTTTTTTTAAGCAGATAAATTGAAAGCGTTTTAATGAATCGACGTGCTATCCTACAGGTACCTCAAAAAGTCTCTATTATTTCTATATGGACAATGTGCAATTTCCTTTATAAAAACCGACGCTGGTGTGGTGTAGTGTTAGTGTACATATTAATGAAATATATTCTATTCCTCCTTGCTATTAAATTTTTGTTATCTTTTATACGACAAAAGTAACGCCCAAATAGCGCGAAACATTCAGAGTGACACCTGCTAATTAATTCAAAAATTAATTACCAATATAAATATTATTTAACTTTCATTACTCCGTAATTAACGAAACTGGTTAGTTTTATCTTTTCTATACTTTCTGATTGGGTAATAATTTTGCAAGACGATGCTTTTCAAAGTTTTCTTGTCGGATTTTATTAGATATTATCGAATTATGATTACAGGACTACAAGAATAGCTCGAGGCGTTCATCAGTTTGTGTCATTTATTGTTTAATGATCGCGCAGGGTTCGTCTCCAGCTATTTTTGATTGTCTGTAGATCCAAAATAATCTTCAAAATATATTTAATTGAGTAGTTAAATTTCTTTAACAAAATTTGGGTCTGTTGACTTAATTTATTAATTAATGATAATTTTAAAAACAATTTATGAACGAATGACCCCTTGCTATTATTACTGAATCACTATTAATCTATTTTTTTATTATTTTCTGGTTTATTATGTCGAACGCACTCGCGGAAAAATATTAAAAGAGTTTTTCTCAGGTTTTTGTGACACATTTTTGTGATAGAAATACTTAATATTTAAGTAAAGTATTTGTATTTTTTACAAAGTCTCTTATCGTAAAATCGTATTGATTAATATGCCGAATATTTGAGAATAAAAAAGATATATGAAAGCTACATATATGCAAGATTTGTTCCATTGAACGCGTCGCCACGATCCTGTTCGGTGGAATTATATCTTGAATCATGTTAATTATATTAAAGAGGAAGAATGAATATTAATTTTGCAATTAGACATTCAGACACTATTACAAAAAGACCTTTTGAAACGACCGTAATTTACAATAGTGAAAGTTTGTGGACATTAGTGAACTGTTTTAACGAAAATGTTCCTGCAGTTTTCATTATAAATTCGCATAATTTATTGAATGCATTTCGCCTTCTGTTTTTTCTATAATATACTGAATGAAATTGCAAATAAATAAAATTCTTCCTCCTGGACAACGAATTTTGTAAATTATGTAAATTAGATATAGTTATTTATTGCGTACTGCGTTATTTTTTATCTTGCTTCTGCCTATTTAGAAAAAGTCCTGGAAAATAGATCTCAACATAAAATGTATCCCTCTTTGCTTTAAGTACAAAAAAAATCCGAAAATATCACATCAATCGACAACCCAATAGTTTCTCCCTATACTTCGTGATCCAGACGAATCAACTGGAAAATTCGAAGCAGTAGATTTTGCAAAAATCATGCGAACATAAAATACACCTACCGATTGTAAATCCTTCCTCTTTCATTCTTCGACTTTCGCCTTTGAACCTTCTCATATTCGAGCCGGCCGTGATCCATGCATCTTTCTTTCGTTGATCTAATCGCGAAATCTACCATTCGATTATTCTTCGGATTAAAGACGTGACGTCAGATGACCCAAAAATTCGCGCATCGAGTGTCAAAGGTGATGTGATGTTTTCCATTTGCATGACTATCGAGATTCGGGTTCTGTTGTTTTGTAAAATGTAAAGGAAATTGCCGGTGTACAGGGTGAAGTCGAAAAGTAATTGTCGAGTTATTTTGTTTTTAAAAAGAGCCATCCTGTATACTCGAATTAGCAATCTGTTTCTGTTGTAATTTTCTGTTGTTAGAGTAATTTGTACACGAACGTGGAAGAATATGTTTTCTATTCTGAATTTGCGTTAACTTTCTTAGTTAATGATTGTGATAATCATGTATAAAAATTAATCTAATTTATGGATTTTTGTAAAAATGACACACTAGCTTCAAACCAACATTAACGGGGCGCACAAAAATACCGAAAATCCCCAAACACATTCCCAAAAAAAAACACTACACAATCGTATTTTTGTGACGCCCCGTAGAATTAGCGAATAGGTAGATGATTCATTTTAAAGCCTCCCTAGTTTTTAAGATATTATTTGTTATCATTTTATTGTTGATTATGTTGATAAGTAATGTTGTATAATACACACCATTATCTTTAATATAAATATTATTTTCTAATCAAGCTTTTCGTTACCTTTAATATACTTCATGGAATGAATCTACCTACAGAAATAACTGTGAACGAGACCATTCTACTCTCATGTCTCCAGATATTCAAGTCGGTCTGTAGACAACCGAAAAAAAATCCAGTCAAGTAGAGAATTTTTTAGAGGAGTTTACAATGGTGCGTTACAACCATCATTTTTCACTAGCATTTTTTCAATAAAAAAAAAAACATAAACGGAAAAAATTCCGGTCATAGCCTCCTTTAGTGCTCGCCGTATCAGCTCCATCGCCGGTCGGCGTTGTTGTGGTACCGCGGTACTGCGGCAAGTAGGTTGCGGCCCACTTGGCGTTTTCGGGGGGCCGAACGAGGGGCTCCGCGGGGGCCACGAACAGCCGATGTGCCGGTCGTTATGCGGACACGCTTCCTACTTTGACTTCGTTCTGGCGGCGGACGTGGTGCCGATGGTACCCGCGATACCGAATGGTACTGGCGGGCGCTCGGAGGAGGCCGATCGAGGACAGCGACGCCAAGATGGAAGAGAAAAAAACGGAGCCCGGGCCCGATCTTCGGAATGCTAATGGTTTGGGTTTCTGTTTGCCGAAATGCTCGGTCGATGGTACTTTAGTTCGGTTAATGTACCTCTTACTTGCGATAGATTAATGAAGCTCGTGGATAATCCACCAAGAGATGCACTAATATATGTAAAAATCGTTCATAAAATCTGTTGTTAGTAGTACCAAGTTCTTCTCGTTTAGATCTAAAAGATGGTAGAATATAACAGTAAAAGATTACCTAACATTAAATCTACTGAACTACTTACTGAAGAAACAATGTCAGAATTAAACAGAAATAAATTGGGCGATTAAATCCAGCTCATAATGTTCACCAAGAAATCCCCAAATTGGGCGATTCTCCGTAGATTAGTTAAATCCAGCTCATAATTATCACCAAGAAATCCCCCCTTTTATTACCTACAAATCCTAAAGAAACGCCCTGCATAAGAAGAAATCTGAGCCATTTAGCTAGTCTAAAATGTTCCTAAATTATCGGTTTCAAATTGTATGCTATAAGTATACAAAAATATTTGCTACTTTTGCATGCTAATAGAGCAAAAAAAAAACGATTCCACATAGTCCAATTTGCGTGCAGTAACTATACAGATGATGATAATGGTGATTCGTCCTCACGACTACCTGCTTTAATATGATGCCCACTTAAACCGACAGCTCATTAAAGGAACTCGATGGCGTATTAACGATATATTTTTTTTTCTGTTGACACACAAACTTTTGCTACTACTTTTTTTTTTCAACCATCGCTTCGCCACCAATTAAGGCGACATAGCCCAGATTTTGTTATTTCATTGATTGCTTAAGATGTTTTCGATCGCCTCTGCTTTTAATGGAATCCTTTTTTTCGATGCATTTATTGGTAAATGTTGAGTGTCTTGTAAGTAATTTGGTACATATTTTGATTTCAATTCGATCTGGTAGATACTAATAAGAATATTTCTCGAAAATGGTATTTCTTCGAAGGCCTCTTCTCGGGCTGGTACGAATTAAACAATTTACGATATGTTTGCAAACAGCAGTGGAATCAATGGCAAAGAAATTTGGAAGTCAATAAAATACCAGATGTTGTTGCCCCAAATAAATACTTTATTTTGACATCAGTTGTATATAAGACATTGTACTTACAAAGTAAGCGTGTCTCAAATTTATATCTTTATTATGGTTCATTTTTTTCAAAAATTCAGCGTGAAACGACTAAAAACATGTGCCCTTCTTCATAAAAATGAATAGAAAAATAAGAATGCGAAGTAACAAAAACATTTCTCGAAAAAAATCGAAATGTTCTCGCGTCGTTAGGTCGCGATTTCCTAATTTCCCGCCGAGAAAATTAGTTTCTGTTAACACGAAGATTTAGCTAGATTTACAGCGATTATATTGTTTATTCGAGAATATAACATATCTGTCACGATATATACGCAAATGAATGATCTAGTGTGAGATACAGAAGCAATCGGGTTCTCTTGGGAAAATAGCGAACAACCGAATTTCGACATCTCTTTTATTGTTTTTAAAGTCTGATTAAACGTGCATATTAATTAGTTGCTGTTGAAGTACTACTTGTTATGTCCAATATTAAGATATATGAGTTAGATATTTACTCATAAATAGTATTGAGACATTTTGGTATAAGTACACAGAATAGGAAATATAGAATACTAGTCAAATAGTTCAAAACCATAAACCATAAATCCATGGTGTAAAGTGACCTGAATATTTTGCATTACAATCAATGTGAAGTACTTAGCTATTGTTAAATTACGTTCGTTTTAAATTTGTATTGTTCCATTTATCAAATGTATGGCATTAATTCGAAGTACCATCAAAATTAGGAGGAGCTGTAGCGAAAGTCGATGGAAAAAATTCGCCATTTTTCGGCTACCGTACGAAATTAATTTTCCAAATTAATTACAACGATAAATAACAGCCGAATTACAGAGCAATTAGAACGTGAACAATTGTTTCAAATAATGCGCTGTGGTATACCCGGAGACCGCAAAAGATCCGAACTATCGGCGTAAAAAAAATGATCAGACAAACTCTTGAAAAACTTTCATCTACACTGACCCAGTTGGCGCGCAACTTGAGTCGAAAAACGCCTTCGAAGAGCACCGGCGGCCAACCGAGAGCCTTGTCAAAAATATCGAAACATTAGTAAAATACACGAACGCCGATTTACACCTTCTACTACTAATGGAGAACTCCTGTAGTCGATACGACCAGGGTCGGCATCGGCCAAACGGAAAATCTAATCTACTTGGAATATTCCGAAGAATTAGTTCGACGAGGCCTGAAAGTTGCAAGTCTGAGTCCTCCATTTCTGACTTCAAAGTTCTAAAGACTACCTAAAAAATAGGCGCTACTTGACAGCTGGTTTGATTAAGCTTTTAGCAATTCTAGATCCCAAAAATTCTGAGTTTTCCTTTGAGTCTTGATTGAGTTGACAATACTTCTTTCAAGATCCAATTCATGTAGGTATCATTGAATTCTGAAACTCTTCAAAAAAACTATTTAATTCTCCTTAGAGTTCTCCATCGAACCTAAATTCTGATGACGCTCAAAACATTTCAATAATCCTTCTTACAAATATCCAATTCTGAGTCAATTTATTATTTTATTAGAACCTTTCATCCAAAAAAGATTCAATAGAAAATTACTAGGTGATGAGTATTGAAATTTCACTACATTTTAGTATCACTAATTCGCTTTTTTATAGTGAGACAATTAGGAACGAAAACTATTATAACAATAGAAACAAAATTTGTATTGTTTTTGTATTAAAATGATGCTCGATGAAATTGTGCGCGTTCGCAAAAAGCCGATCCTGACAAGAGCAGTACGAGTTGGTACCAGCAAAGGAGAAATTATTGACCTTGTTTCTTGACCTAGAAAATACAAGACATACATCAGACAAGGACGTTAGTGTATACAACTAGTCAAAAACGAGATCACAATAGTACAAGATTGTGCAAATATACGAGCATCGAAAAAAAAATCGCAAATGCTTATACTATTACTTTTTAAAACGCGATATTATGTAAAAAATGTGTTGGGTTTTAAAAGGAATTTTGTTTATAGTTTGAACTAATATGTTATTCTCTATAACTACTATATCTCTTACATACTAGTTTTAGTTCATACACTACTATGTCTCTATACATAAAAGTTTCTTTCTGTACTAAGTCTCTGTGTCTACTATTTCCCTATACAAACTAGTACAACTAGTCTCTATACATAAGTTTATTTCTATACTATCTATGTCTACTATTCTTCTATGCCTACTATATGTTTTATCTACACTAGGTCTTTATTAGTAGTGTATCCTTAAATCCACTATGTCTCTATATCTCTGCAAATTAGTGAACTATTACCTTTATTTGCTGCAGTTTTCTTTGCGTTAGTTAAATTACATGTTGAATAGCATTTTCCCAGCTAACATGCGACATTACCTACATCTAAATTTTCTACCATTATTATAACCGCTTGCAATTTATTTAGAGTATCCTCTCGAATGTGTCGATGAAAACGATTTTTGCGGCTCCCATCGACTAGAATAGAAAAATGGCGAATACTGCGTATAAAAAAAAAAGAATCGTACACGGGCATCAAGAACGAACCGTCATTATTTTCATAATAATTCATTGTTCGTATGCAATGAAAGTAGAACAACGAGCAACGAGCGTAGACCATATCGCTTCATCCACGGCATCGTCAGTATTCACCCGACTTGCTCTGTAATTTCGGTATTCGACCATTGGAAACAAACGAATATTATATATTAGAACAATTGCTCATCTGGTTGGCTTTGAGGGAAAGTAACTAGATGGTGTCGGTTTTCTGACGATATACCTGATTTTAAACTAACATCTCCTCTTCTAACTTGTAATAACATATGCTTCAACTATTAGGAAAATGTATTGGTAAAATTTTCATTCAAATTTTAACTTTCTCCTCTAATTGTTTGAAAATGATAAAATAACTGTTAAATTATAACGTAAGTGTCGGCATCTCTATACTCGAAATGTTTTTCCCACCTCTACAATTAGCATTTTTATTGACATTTTTGACAGTACATATTTGGATCTGTCTAGTCAACCTAAAGTGGGTGACTACTAGCGAAAAATAAAAACGTGATTGATCGAGTTGAACATTGAATCAAATAAATAAAAGTAACAATCAGAGCATTCAATTTTATTGACGGGTTTTTCAAATATCAAAAAATTCGAACCAGGTAATAAATAAACCTGGTTAAAAAGTAAAACACCAACGATGTACGTTTTTACACTCTATTAGGCACAAGTGCTAACTTGCCTTATAGGATTATTTATTGTAACTACACGGGAATGTGTAGATCTCGCTGGAAAATGTCGTCCATATATTTCAACTGGTATCTGTGGGAAAAGGAATATCTAAAACATATCTACACTAACCGTAACAGTTTAACAGTTATACAGTAGGATTTAAAAAGAGGAAGGTGTGTTCAAATTTGACTTAACAGCGCCTAACACCTTGTAAGAAATATATTATTGACGCATTTACAAGAAGGAAAACTAGCATGATGTCTTATGAACCAATATTATTTTACAGGGTGTCCCAAAGATTTTATTACATTTTATACAGAACGAAAGAGTGATATTGTGAGATTGCAATTTTCTCACACTAACCACTGCTATTTTAATATTCTTTCTTTGTTCAACTCAAAGATTTGACTACATTTCAAATAGTTTTGCGTTTATGTCGGACTCTCAATAGTATTTATCTCAAAGAGACCATAGACAAAATAAAAGTACCCTCCATTTTTTCTATGGAGGGTACTTTTTACAAAAAAATAAAATTTTAGCAATTCACACTCTAATTTTAGAACCCTGTATACAAAATATGCTTTGAAATACAACATAAGAGTTTTCACTCTTCAAAAGTTATTGAAGTCAATTTGAATATCTGGGGGTAAAAAGCTAATTTACTATCCGACCTACTAGTATATACAAAACATATACACTTGTGTATTCTTGGTTGCCTATACATAAATCATTATGTTGAATTTCGTGAGTAGTGAATACAGCGTTGCCAAAATAACAACATAGCAAACGGCGACAAAAGCGACATCTACCGGTTCAAATTGTCAAATGAGACCATACTAGAAATGCTAGAATACTCGAGTTTCGTATGAAGCAAAGTGCATTTTGAAATTAATCAACATTTTGCAGGTGTAACAAGGTAGTATTATAAAAACTTATCGAATTCACCTTAGCCGAAGGAGCCCCGCGTCTTCTCATCAAAGATAAAGTCGAATAATACAGCATTTAAAATAGCTAGCAGGTCAAGAAGATACCGGATATTACCGCTAGAGTGTCAGTAAACCTACCTCTACCTACCTACAAAGAGGAATAATACATGGTACACGAATAAAAATTTTATCGAATATCTCCATATTTATCGTCCCAGGATGAAATGAACCGCAGAGCGATCAATTAAACCGTAGGTACACGTTCATTTCACTTTCTATTAATTGCGTTACAATGCAATACATTGCAGGCCTTGTCAAAATGTCTGATCAACCAGACCCAGCGCCTGTGGACGCCTCCGACAACGACAAAACCGCCGCCGCCGGCAGCAACATCGACTGTGACAGTGCTCCCGCGCCATTACCCCCAAACGACACCCCCAACGAACCGGAAAAGGACCACACGAACCATCAAGAAGCCACTGATAGTGACAAATGCGACGACAACGGCGATCAAACATCAAATAAGTCGAGGGAACTCAAATCGCTACTGGCCTCGTCCAAGGAAGCCAATCTAAACACCAACATATCGCATAAGCGCAAGAAAGAGCAGCTTCCCAAGCACCAGGCCGACGGCGAGCCGAGGAGGCCCGGTAAGCTGGCCGTCGAAGGTAAAAACTACAAGTTCCCCGTGACCGCGGAGGCCGAGCTGGGCGATTCGAGCGAGTACCCGGGTAAGGCCCACGGCGAGTCGTTGACGCTCGGCAAGCGAAAAAGAGACAGCATTAGTGAGAATTCCAGTAACACGACGGATACGGAAGATTGCAATAGGAGGAACAAAAAACTCACGCTCGGTGATTTCGTGTCGTTTAAGGTGAGTGTTCTATACGATAAGAGGCCATTTCTCTTCGGTATGCGGGTATTCGATTCTTGCTGCATTTATTTGTGAAATCTTGATAATTCAATTGAAATTCGAGCTCTTACTTGTTTATAGAACAACTACAATTCTTACCTATTATCAAGATCTTAGTTATTGGTACAAACTACATTTATTTTGTTGAATTTCAGCCGAACAAAGACATTTTCTGTTGGCGTTGTCATCGCGAAGGCGTGAATATCGTGTGCGAAACCTGTCCCCGATCGTACCATCAGAAATGCTTGAAGCAAACGATAACGGACACCTCGCATTGGCCTTGTCCCGAGTGCGTGGCCATTTTGAAAGCCGAAAGTACCCAAACGAGGTCCACCGCTATGAAAGAAATGACGTTAGAGCATCTGTGTAGCTTACTGAAGTTTGCCGCTAATCGTATGATCCAATGTCATGGGGTAAGAGCAAATGAAAACACTACAGAAAGTGGAATATGCTTATTTTGAAATATGCTCTCTTCTTTTTTTCTCTATAACGTCACAGAACGTGTAAATTACTTGCCACAACCTTCTATTGTGATTTTATTCGAAAATCGTTATCTCGAACTGTCGCGTTTGACGTTTTAATTGAGTTTGATGATGTTTTGCAGAGCGAACCTTTCTTGCATCCCGTCAGCGATAAGGAATTTCCCGAATACAAGAAATACATTATCCAGCCGATGGATTTGACGATGCTCGAGAAAAATATTAAGGACAATCTGTATGGTAGTACTCAAGCGTTCGAAGCCGACGCGAAATGGTTGTTACACAATAGTATAATATTTAATTCTTGTAAGTACTGTGAAAACCCAAAAAAATGTTGTTTTTTAATGAGTTTTTTTACTCCAGATCGATCGAAATTAACGTCTGCAGCGAAAACGATGATTAAGATATGCAAGCAGGAAATGATGGAAATCGAAAATTGTCCCAGTTGTTATTTGAAAGCGAACACTAAAAAGTCTACGTGGTTTGTGCAAGTTTGTCCAAAACCCCACATTTTGGTGTGGGCTAAACTTAAAGGTAGCTTATTTGTAATTTACTATCTACGTTATGGATAGTTTTAACTCATTTATATAATTAAAACTTCCAGGATTCCCTTACTGGCCCGCCAAGGCGATGTCCATAAGTCCCAACGGCATGGTCGATGTGAGGTTCTTCGGGGCCCACGACAGGGCCTGGGTCCACTACAAGGACTGTTATTTGTATTCGAAAAAAGACCCGAACACCTTCAAGCAAAAGCGCTACGACATCGAAAAATGCGTAGAGGTTAGTCAAACCCTATTAATCTACACAACACAATTTAATTACAAAACCACCCTTTTCGCCAGGAACTGGACATTTACATCGACAACCTGAAAAAGGAGTACGGCGAGTTCCGCTACGCCCCGTTTCGAACGCCCCTCAGTTCGGAGAACATGCACCAGCAACTCGTCATATTCCTGCCCAACTACAAGGCGGTGCAGGCGCGTCGGCGGTCGTTTCGCGAATCGATCGACGCCAAATCGGAGGAGAGCGACATCGAAACCGTTTCCAAGGACGAGGACAAATCGGATTCGGAGGAGTCGAGATCGAACACGAACAGCCCCATACGGGACAACGATACCACGATGGAGGGCTACGGGACGGACGACGACGTATCGTCGGATTTGGATCACGATAGCAGGAAATCGCAGCAGGAGAAGAAGCGTTCGAAGTTCAGGAAAACCGAAGACGACGATGATGTCGATAACGAGAACGAAGACGACGATGATACGCAAGTGGCTTCGAATATATCTGTGGAGAAAGCTTTGATTAGAGGCAATGTAAGGACGAGAGGGGGCTTCAACAATGCTACAGGTTTGTAGTGTGTGTGAATTATACGCGAAGTATATCAAATTTTGCGTCGATTTTTTTTAGGTAAAATAAGAGTTCTTCAAATGAAGGCGCTTTTAGACGACACATCGTCGCCCAATGAGAAGCAACGGGCTCGCAGAAACAGCGATTTAAGCGTCAAAAGCGATTCCAGTCGCGTGTCGAATTACTCGGATAAAATCAGCCGGATTAACATAGTGGAAAACGTGGAAATAACGCTCGGTAACGAAGACGTGGGCTGCTTGATATCCGAGACGTTGAACGGCGACAATCCGAAATCGGAAGGCGATATCAAGATAAAGCCGGTGCAGGTGGAAGTCGAAAATGCCGAGTTTTCGATATCGCCCAATCGAGTGAAAATCGCCGATCAATTGATAAAGAAACTGCGAGACGAGAACGCGGAAAAAGTAACAAAATCTCTGATGGACGTCGATAACGAAGAGGTTTCTCAAATCAACGGTAAAACCGATGATGACGATGAACCGAAAGAAAATTTTAAGCAAAAATTAAAAAACGCCTACTTGACAATCTTACCGGAACTTCCCTCTCTACCGACAGAATCTCAAGCTTCGACTAGCGTTGATGAGAATTGCGTTTCGGAGGAGGAATCGCCTTCCGATCTACACCGAAAGGAAGAGATTAACAGCAAAAATCCAGTAGACGATATTAAAAACGACGAGGCAAGTTCTGATACATCAATCCACGAATCTTCCGAAGAATCGTTGCCGAACGAGCCGGTGACTTCATCGAGCAAAGAGGACGAATCTCCTAAACCTAAACCCGTTCAATTAATCGAGCTGTCGTTCGATGAAAACAACACATCGATACCCGAAAGTATTTCGGAGAAAATTAGAAATTTGGAAAGCGGCGAACTCAGCATTTCCAGGACTAAATCTGTAAGAAGCGCCGTGGAGAAGCCGAGAGTGATTCAATCGAAAGAGACGAATTTGAAATCCTCGAAGGATGCCGAAGATTGCGAAGAAGAGTCTCACGAGCACGACGCGAGCGATAAAGATGCTAATAAAAAGAAAGAAGAATCGAGCGAAGGGAAGAGGGCGTTGGAAACGAAAAGGAAAAGATCTACTGATGGAACTCTACCGGATAAAATCAAGAAACTTGAGAGTTCCGAACTCAGCATCTCCACTGTTACCACAAAAACAGTTTCCGAAAAAGATAATAGTATAAAAGAAAACAGCAATAAACATAACAAGAATGAAAAGGATCGTACAGTAAATATATTCGAGGATTTAGATGACGATGAAGAAACCGGCATAGTCGATAACGTAGCTCTCGACAAAGGCAGCATAATAGACGTTATTCATTCGTCTCTTAAATACCCCGAAAAAGATAAAGAAACTAATAATAAAGACAAAAACGAAGGAAACGCTTCGAAGAAGCGAAAGTTATTATCAGATAAATTAAACAGTCCGGCGAAGCTCGTGAAATTAGTCTCGATCGAAAGTATATTGGGCAACAAAGACAACGATAAAGACCATTCCGAAGCCATGATAGCGCCCGAAAATATAAAAAGCGAACCGGAAAGCGAAGAGGAAAACGCCAACGACGAAGCTCAAATGGAGGAGAAAAGGAAATACCTTTTCGCCTTGAATATACACGAAAAAAGTTTGGTATCGGAGAAGAAGGAGAAAGAAACGAATCAAATTAGAACGAGGTCGAAGGCCGAAGAACAAAGGGAAAAGTAAGTATCGAGATTAGATTGAGCGTGCGTTATTATTCATGTAACTTTAGAGTTTATACTACGAAGTTTATCTCCTAAAATACTAAAGTGACGAATGTGTTGCTAATAAGCATTGATTTTTAGGTCGAAAGTCGACAATCTCAGTCGCGTTATCGACGAAGTGGCGATGAACTGCTCGTCAGAAGCTCCCCAGAAGAAATTGGAGCGGAGAAAGAGCCGATCCGGCCCGCCCGAAGGCGAAATCTACGTGAAATCCTTCGCCAAAATCCCGACGCCGCCGCCGCCGCCGCCTCACGCCAAGCAACGCGCCCGAAAGAGCTTCCCCACGCCGCTCTACGTCAAGCAGCCGCTCAAACCCCAGCTGGCCAAAAAAGATCTGTCCGCTTTCAGAAAGGACGCGGCGACGCCGCGGAACTTGGCGCCCGCCCCCGAGAAAGACGTCGGCGCGACGCCCAACGGCGGCGCCAAGGCGTTCCCGTCGCCGCCGCCTCTCGTCGCGACCGGTAGCGTTCAAACCGGCGCCGAGAAAGGCGCCCAACCGTCGACGTTTACGGCGGTCAGAGCCGTCGGTTTGGGGCCCGCTGCGACCGGGGGGCTCCAGCAATCGGTCGCCTTGGGGCACGTTATTCTCATGTCGGCGCCCACCGTCAACTACGGCTCTACTTTGAACAGCTCCGCTTTGAACGTGGTAAGTTTCGGTAGACGATTGGTAAATCTCTGTTAAAGGACATTCGCGCTCGCTAGGCGATGACGTCACGAGCCGACCGGTTGCAACGTTGCCGGGTTGAAATGAAAATCTTGATGTGACAGATATATTTAATTTGAGGTTATGTTAACTTTCAGTGTTTAGAAATTAAAAAGTAGAAATGCATTAGGCTGTAATCCGATCGACGGGAGAGGTGTTTATTTGCAACGCTATATACATTTAAAAAGTTTAACATAACCTATAAATTTCAATGTGCTGAACTATCGAAAATATCGATCTGTATTTATTGATCCCCGTTCCCTTTCAAAATAGGTCGAAAAAAAACCGAAAATCTCGGGAGGAACTGTCGATAAATGTACATAAACCGCACGAAAAGCAAAAACAACAAATTGTAGTCATAACCTGTCAAAGTGTCAACTACAAAGCGCCGCTAAATATTGCGAATGTTGAGACTAAATGCATGACAACATCGCTTTCGACTTTCAACTACGCGTCGTAAAATTCCCCTAGTCAAATGGGAAAATTAACATTTGACACTAGGGAAATGTTGAACTGTGTGGAAATTAATGACGTCATTGTCTAGCGAGCGCGAATGTCCTTTAATTGTTCTGTCTTGTGTACGTCGAGCGGTTTTTTCCTACGGTGAAGGTTTTCTTTTTTTAGGTATCTCATCAAAATTCATCATTAACCACAACCACCGCCACTTTGATTCCTCAAACACAAAAGTCCGTTCTCAAAGCTAATGCGTTGAATAAAACTCTCAATGTAAAAACGTCTCAAAATTATATACCACACGAGGATGCGGAAAATTCGGGAAGCTCGTCGCCTTCGGTCATTATTAACTCCAACAGTCAAAATTCGAACGAGGTAAACAAGCGTTGTTTTTTTTTTTTTTTTCTTAATACTTGTGTGATATCGAAGTTTTGTCTATTTAAACCTCCTAGAAATACCCCGAACCTTCATCGAAAAAATCATCCCTCGACAATATATTCACTTCGTTCTGTGAACATTATTACCCCAATTTTGTATCATCCACCTACTAACTCATCTAACTGAATTAATTACTTATAAAAAAATTCATTATCCTACTATTAGAACACATTAATTAACCTCTCGCTTCCTCTTTTTTAGCCATCGAATAAACAGAAATCTCAAGAACCCTCCGTAACGTCCACGAACAGCAACATCGACTCCACCGGTGCTACTTCGAAACCCACCAACAACAGTATTAACAACACGAACAACAACAACAACAACTCGACGCAGCCGGTCATCGAGCAAGAGGACGAATTCTCCATTCTCAACGGGCTGATACCGGAGAGCGTCAGCCGCGCCGTCAGCGAACTTCTGCTGCGACCGCCTCCTCGACTGAGGCCTCGACCGCCGGGCATCGTCAGCCAATCGTTCGAGGAAACCGTGCCGAGCAGCGCCGGCGACGTCACCGCTAAAGTCAACTCCATAGCTCACAGGGTAAGAGTCCATCGAATTGCTATCGTAAAATAGAGCTATCGGTGATCTCGCGACGAGTTTGAAATGTGATTTTTCTTGTGTTTTTGTAGATGACCGATTATTTCCGAGGCATGCTGATTGAAACGTTGGAGGATATCGGCAAAACGCCGAGTCCCGAAGCTAAGATTACGTCGCTTCAATTGGAAATCGAAGCGTTGAAGCACCGGCACAATTTGGAGATGACGGAGATGCGGAAGAACATGTGTACGATCCTCAAAGACATTCAAAGGAGCATCGTGGAGGAGAAGGAGAAGATTGTGGAGGAGACGAGGGCGGCCTGCGAGGTGGAGACCATAAAACGGGTGGAATCGGCGAAATTGAAGCAATGGTACCGTCGAAAACGATTCGTTTCGAACACGATTGACTTTCGAATTGTTTTTTAGGTGCGCCAGTTGTTCGAAAGAAGCCCAATTCTACTGTTGTTGGAATACGAGCTACTGCGACTATCCCTGCCAACAGAAACATTGGCCCAATCACGCGGGGAAATGCACTCAGAACATTGAAAAAGGCGCCGCCGGATCGGGCGCTGTGCCTCTACTACCGCCTTGTACCATAGGACAACCCATACTCCTGAGACCGGCCCTGGCCAGGCCTAAACCGATGGGGGTAAGTAAATCTTCGTACGTTGCACACTGTTTCCCTACTCTCCCTACTTAAAACTTATTTCGGTGTATTCGCGTGCGTAATATCTTCTTGTTTTCCTAACTCTTGTGCGTTCTACGATGTTTCGAATAAACAGAAGGAAGGAAATTTCTCATTTGACCCGTCTTTTGAATATCTACATACTCATTCAGCTATGTATATATTTTTGTAAAATTAAAGATGGATGTGTGTCGACGGTGGGACGATAAAACGATCAGAAAAAACGAATTGTGTGACGCGCGCGTGCAAAAATGTAATAGAATGAGGGAGGAAGAAGCCGGACAGTTCAGCATAGACCAGCCTGGAAGTGAGGAACAACTGCGGGATATTAAGTTAGAACGTAAGAGAAAACTGGCGAGGGAGTGCTCTAGAAGATACCGTGATAAAAAACGACTTTGTGCTAAAAATAATACATCTAAATAAATAAGTTTAAATGATTTATTGTTAGTATTAATTCGTACCGCATTCCTAGTTGGTTGTCCTAGCGTGGAGAATTGGCATAGCTCGAGGAGATAAACATTTTATTTTATAAAATTACCCCCATTTAAGTAATTGTGTTGCTAGTAAAACAATAAACGTTTTGTTAATTGACCGCTGGTTTCGTTTATTTTGCAGAGAATCCTCGCTAAACCAACCAAAGTGTACATGAATAAGGCAAATGCAACGCAAAACAACGTTAAGGTAAGTGAAATATGCAAACTAATTGTAAAACTTGACATAGTTGTGGGTTACAATGCCGGAAATTTCCTTCCTAGTTTGGTTTTATGGAAAAATAACTTCACTCTTTCACTTACAATTGGCTTTATTTGCCAATTCTTCCTCCCTTTTCATTAATTGTTGCTATGGTTTCTTCGCTCTGACATTTATTTGTCAAATTTAAAGTTGATGAAATTGACAGTTTTTTCGTTTAAACGACGAGCTATTGTCAAGAAACTATAGCAACATTTAATTGACACATTTTTTAGTACGTTCAGAATGAATTTTTAAATGTATCAATATGCCCGGGGGTTAAAACTAAATTGGTCTTCACGTGAATAAGCGTTATTAAAATGTTTTCAAATTTGGGGGTTGACTTAAGAATGAAATTATCTTTAAAACGAGATGTCACTTGACCCCCCTTTCCATAAGAAAAAAATGACAGTTAGGCGCCATTTTGAAAGTTTCAACTGTCATTTTTACGTCAAAAAATAGTAATTTTAATTAACTTTATCTATAGTTCCTAAGGGGTTATTTTTCATTGTGTTTCAAGTGCTTATTAGCAAGTACGAGTATATCGCAATTACCCAATTATACGAGTACATTACGATAACTTCCGAGCATCTAGATAGATTACAACATTGTACAAATGAAATCAAAACAAACTCGTGTTTTGTGTATCGTTTATTTTCCTCGTTTTCGAATAACGATTGTGGCCTTTTTCCTTGCAGGCCGTGTCGACGTCCGGCCTCACATTGGTGGAGACCACACCGGGGAACTTCGAGCTGGTGGGCAAGGGCTCGATGGCCCTCGGCGGGAAAATCTACACGACGAGTTCCGCCATAACGACGGCGAAGGCGAAAGCGGCGCCTTCGACGTCGCGCCCTCCTAGCGGTAACTAGCACACTAGGTACACGTTGATAAAACGCTCGACTTGAAGGGATATATATTTTTTTACGTTGTGTTTTCTCCGATTGGACGATGAATGTTTTTTTTTTTTTTGGTGCTCGTTAACGTCGATTTTTCTGCAAGATATTCGCAATATTTATTTATTTTTTTTAGAAATTGATTTATTGGTTTCGTACAGTGTGGTTTGTTGGTAAAGTTACATACCTTATCGTGTAATTTAAAGGTCTGGGGTTGTAAATTTATCAATGAAGGTACAATTGGTTCGCTCTCATTTTTGGACACTTAAAGAATGTTTTTTTGTTAGTGTCAATTAAAACGGGGTGTCTGTTCGATCGGATGTGGGTATATTTGAAATTTTGAAAAGTTGTAATTGTAGTATACAGGGTGTATTAATAAAAATTGCAATCGACTTTGACCGGATTAATAACGCACATTACAAATTTTCACAAATCTAATATGCTCTGAAAATCATTTAATCGAAGTTCCTGTAGAGACACCTCGTCACCCTGTATATGTTATAAACCTTTTTAAACTGTTGATTAAGAATACTATTTTCATTAATTCCTTTTTCCATAATTTAATTTTATACAATAGATAGTATTAAAGACTATATGTAAATAGTTGATTTTGTATATAGATTTATTGATTTATTTCCGTTTCATTTTTTTTTTCCTAATTTGTAGTTTTCAGACACTTTGGCCTTAGATTTGTAAACTAATGTAGTATCCGTGTTAAAAAAAAATGATATTTTTTTCAATCCTACGTTTATTTCCGTTTGAGCTGTCTTGTAAATTCGCCTCTAATATGATAGTGTAAAGTTGACTGATGTTTTCATGTGTTAAAGAATTAATGTAAAATATACAGTAAGTCGCTTTTTTCTAATTAGTACCTACTGATAAGTGTTCAAGTATTCCACTTATTCAATAAATTATCTTTATATTTGGAGTTTTTCAATTTCAAAAATATTTACAATAGAGTGTCTAAAGAATTTTTTAATCTCCGTTTCGTCTGCGATCATTTACAAATACACGTGTATTATCTGATTGAATTTATGAAATAATCAATTGCGACATGTATTTTGTGAATATTAATTAAACATTATCTATAATTAATTTTTAATTAATCTTAATGAGCAAGTCGCTTTCATCAGGTAGCATCGGTATCTCTATAAAACAATAGCGGTTTAAAAAAACGGTAAAAATTATCTTATCCTATAAAGGAAACGATAAAATACGAAATCCTTTAGCAACGAATAGTTTAGTGTCCTCCAGTAACACGGGCAATAATAAACTCGTTTCGATACAGAAGATTTAGTGGGTGAAACATGGATTTTCCCACCCTTCTCTTCATTTCCCTATGGTAAGTCATCCTCCCCGAAAATTCCTCCATTAAGCAACCCAATAAAAAACCGATTCCAGCGTCGCGACGAGTCCTCGCGCAGCCTCCAGCGACTACTCGTTCCCCGACGAATTCATATTCGGCGCCGGCACGTCCGCCTATCAGACCGAAGGCGCCCCCGGCGAGCTAAAATGCGACAACATCTGGGACTTCGCCATCGAGAACAACGCCTCGATCATCCAAAACTCCTCCGACGCCAAAACCGCGGACCAGAGCTTCCTCTACAACTACTACAGCGAAGACATCGATTACATGGCCAAAATGCACATCGACCACTTCAGGATGTCCATTCCATGGCCGAGGTAACGTGCTAATCACACAAGATTCTCCTCACCATCATCCCGAAATATCCTCCAGACTTTTCGCCGACGGTTTACACACATCCGACGCAGAAATCGAGCACACAATGCAACATTACGCCCAGCAATTCCAACTGCTTAAAACGAAGAAGATAAACACCATCGTGACGCTGTACCATTGGGACCTGCCGCAGCTGATCCAGGACTGGGGCGGCTGGACCAACGCCAGCAACATCGATTTGTTCGTCAACTACACCGACAACGTGTTCCAATATCTCTCCGGAACCGACTACATCGATTACCTGCTCACGTTCAACGAGCCGAAGCAGATCTGCGTGTCCGGCTACGGCGACGGCTCGCTGGCCCCCTTCCTGAGCCACTCCGGCGTGCTGGACTACCAGTGCGTTAAAAACGTGCTCAAAGCCCACGCTGCGGTCTACCGGTTATACCAGAAAAACTACGCCGACGATTTTAAATGTAAGCCGCTTCCTCTATCCTCGCCTTCAACTACTCGAGGTGCTTTTCAGGTAAAATATCCATAGCGCTCGACGGGTCTTGGTCGGAGCCCAAAACCTCTTCCGAAGCCGACCAAGCAGCCGCGAAACGCAGACTCGACTTCGAGGTACGTTATAACAATCGCGGTAGATGATAGAATTCTCTAGAAGCGCTTTTGCAGTTCGGTTTGTACGCCGAGCCGCTGCTGACGGGCGACTGGCCCCGGGAGGTGGTCGAGCGGGTGAAGGAGCGCAGCGCGAAGGAGAAACTGCCCGAGTCGCGGTTGCCGGCGTTCACGGAGGAGGAGAAGAGGCTGCTGAAGGGCAGCGTGGATTTCCTGGCGTTGAATTACTTCGATACCAGGGTGGTGGCGGACGCGCCGGAGGGTCCCAGCGACCGATCGAGCTACCACAGCGATGTGAGGGTGGAGGCGACGAGGGAGGCGTCTTGGAAGGAGGACGCCGCCGGAAACGCGGTAAGAGTTGCTGGGGATTTAGCGTGGAGGTGTTGAGTGAAAGTGGATCTGGTGCAGGTCGAACCGACGGGGATTCGGAAGTTTTTGAACTACATGAAAAGAGAGTATGGGGACCGGGAGATTCTGATAACGGGAAACGGATTCGCGGATGATGGAGTGGCTGATGATAAGGAGAGGATTCGTTATTTATGGGTACGTTGTTTGATACGAAAGTTTGCATTCGATTGTAAAATTGTGTTGTTGGTTTTAGGAATATTTGTGGAACGTCGCTGCTGCTATTAACGAGGACGGTGTAAAAGTTTTCGGGTACATTTATTGGAGTTTGATTGACGGTTTCGAATGGACCAAAGGTTATGGGTAAGCAACTGTATTGGTACGCCATAATCTATAGCATAGGATAAATGTGATTTACGAGATTTTTTAAAGAACTACTGCATCTTGATGATAAAATTACTATTCCACTTTTATCAATAGTAACTAAAAACTTGCTGTTCAATATTTTTTCAACTGATTAGGATGATATACTTTTGAGTCCTGATAACTCGTTTTTTTAATAGTCCTCATTATGGATTACTCAGTGTCGATTCGACGCTAGGAAGACACAGTAAAAGTTCAGCGGATTACTACGGCCAGTTAATTAAAGAAAGGAAAGTTTCAAATCCCTATCCCACAAGTAGCACAAGTACTACCACAGAAACAAGTACTACAACAGGATCAAGTACTAGCACAGAAACGAGTACTACAACAGGATCAAGTACTAGCACAGAAACAAGTACTTCAACAGGATCAAGTACTTCAACAGAGTCACCAAATTCAAAAGGAAACATTAAGTTCATCTCTTTCGAATTGTTGTTTGTAATTGTTTTATTACCGCTATTGAAATTATTCTGAATTTCTTTTTAATTTAACGCAATTTTATGCAAAAATTTATTTACTGATATCCTTTTCTACAGCAAATTATACTTACATATGTTATTTTTCATAGTACATATTTCATCTGTTAAATACAGAAACATATGCTTCAGTATGCATGACATCTATACAATTATTAATCTAAATATCACATTTTCAATTTATTTTTGCTAAAATAGTTGTTTGTTTATACGTCATGCGTACGTCACATACAAATATAACTCCATTTTAACTATTGTAAAAAAATGTTAATAACAATAACGCTATTCGGGTCTAAAAAAAGTATTCAATAAATAATAAAACTTAAAATCGTAACAACATGCGTGAATACGATCAGAAAAACTACAAAATATAAAAATTGGCAACATTTCCCAATATTTGTAACATTGGATTTCGAGTTTTTCTGCTCTGCATATCGCATTTAAAAATATTTATTAGAACTGTGTTATTGTTATTGTTAAATTTATTAAACTAGAAAAAAATATTAAATTGTTAATTAATTATAGAAATTAAATAGTAAACAGATTGAAAAGTAAACAGACTCGTTAAAATGCGTCAGCTACTAAGAAATAACTAACTTAAAATATAATTGAACAATTTATTGAATTCATGCAGCAATGTTTAAAAATTTGTTCGGTGAAATTACCAGTTAAAGAAGATGGTGAATATTATAAATAATTCGTCATAATGGCGACTATCTTTCAGTTTAGCACAAACACATTATAATATGCACCCGCAAAAATAATAAATATTTAAAAAGAAAATCAATAAATTGAACTCTAAAACGTACTCCCGTAATTTATACACCAAATCCAGCAGCTAAAGCAATTTAAAAATTACAGAAATAACACTAATCCAACAAAAAAATAACCATAAATTGCCTAAACGGTTAGTACCCATCGATACAAAATAAACGTAAAATTCCGACGACGATACTAAAAATTCTGCACCAATCAAGTCCTCCTCTTCCCTTTAATCCTGGTCCTAGAAGTAGGCGGGCCCGCTCCAATGCTAAAACCGCCGGCCACCGGCATGGGAGCCCCGAAACTCGGCGCAGGACCAGCCGAAGCGTTCCCGAAACCCGTCCCAAATGTAGCCGGTGCTCCCGAATTCCCGCTGGTGAAATCGAATTTCGCCGGCGTCTCTCCCGAAGGCGCTGCGAAATTAAACCCGCTGGGCTTCTCCATTGCCGGAGAACCGAACGTAAACACCTGGAAATATTCAAATTATAAAAGAAGAATTTTACAATGAGCGGTAAAATAAAATAACTCAAATCCTATTACTCACCCCTTGTTGGTTTGTTGTTGTTGTTCCGAAACTGGGCGCGTTGTTTTGGGGTTGTTGTTGATTGAAAGAGAACTGTCCGGTACCTCCAGTTCCAAACGAATTCGAAGATGGTTGAGATTTGTTAAACGCTAAAATAAAACACTCACATAACATCGAGAACTTCGATTGAGGCGAAACGACTTACCCGGAGATCCAAAGGACTGCTGGGGCTGTTGAGGCGTCCCAAAACCGGTAGTACCAGACGCGCCAGTTCCTCCGAAAGTACTATTAGCGTTACCGAAACCGGACGGTTTCGTGGGGGTTCCGAAACCGGACGTCTGTTGGCTGTTAAACCCGCTGGCATTCTGCCCGAAACCACCTCCGAACGACGCCGTAGTGGTACTAGTAGACCCAAAAGTGGCCGCATTCCCTGCGGTCTTACTAGTAAACGCAAACGGAGCGGCGGTCGTCACGAAAGCGCTCTGAGCGGCCCCGAAGATGGAACTCGTCGTAGCGGGGGCGCCGAACGCTCCGGAATTCCCGCCGAAAATCTTGCCGTTGGCGCCGTTCGAACGAGCCGACGTCGTAGTCGCCGCGTTGGTACCGCCGAACGCGTTATTCCCGGCCGTGGTGGTACCGAACGAGCCGCCGAACGGCGTTTGAGCGAGCCCGCCGAAACTGGACGTGCTCTGATTGCCTCCGAACGTCGAATTCGCCCCGAAACCCTGACTCGCACCGAAGCCCGAAGCGTTCGAGGCGGTCGCGGGAGCTCCGAAGGTACTCGACGCGGTGGTACTCGGACCGCCGAAAGCGAATACCGACGCGTTGGTGTTAGAAGGGTTGCCGAAGCTGGTCGAGTTTATCTTAGCGTCGAAATTTCCGGCGCTGAAACCTCCCGCGGTGGTCGCGGGTACCATGAATCCGTTTCCGCTCGTAGAACCAAATCCGCTGCTGGAGGTCAGAGGCAAAGGACTCGTCAGGGAGCTCGATGTAGTGGTAACGGCGGCTCCGAATACTATTTTCGAAGCAGGCGGAGTCGATGCACCGAAAATATTATTCGATGTAGTCGATGCGCTCGTAGTACCGAAAGTAGTACCGCCGAAATTGTTGGTATTCGCCGAACTTACGGAAACGCCGAATCCCCTCGAAGCGGTGGAATTTCCGAATCCGCTCGAAGCAGCAGAAGTACCGAAACCGCTCGAAGTGGTAGAAGCACCGAATCCAGTCGAAGCGGTAGAACTTCCGAATCCGCTCGAAGTGGTAGATGTACCGAAACCGCTCGAAGAAACGGAAGTTCCGAAACCGCTCGACGAAGTAGTAGCACCGAACGCACTCGAAGCGGCAGAGCTTCCGAAACCGCTCGAAGTGGTATTAGTACCGAAACCGCTCGAAGCGGTGGAGGTTCCGAAAGCGCTCGATGTGGTAGAAGTGCCGAAATTAATGGAAGCGGCCGTAGTACCGAAACCGACGGAAGGTGGCGCGAAAGTGCTCGAAGATGGCGGCTTGAAATTCATAGGAGCGAAAGTACTATTGGCCGAAGTGGTTGCGGTACCGCTTTGCGATTTGGCGTTGTTAGATGGAAGAATTCCGAATATAGCACTGGTTGGAGGTGCAGCGGGTTTCGTCGTGGTAATATTAAACGTACCGGATGGCTTCGAAACGTCGTTAGGTACCCCGATTTTCGGGATTATTTCGTTACTGATAACGTTTATTTTGCCGCTGGTAGTCGTGGGAACCGCTGGTTTGGGAAGATCGAATTTAAATCCGCCCATTTTCGGCGGACTAGTTGCAACAGGCGGTGCAGTAAACGGTTTAGGCACGTTCGAATTTTCACTAGATGCTGGTTTAGCGGGAAACAATGAAGTTTGAGATGGATTCGAAACGGCGGGTGTGGTAATCGAAGAATTTCCACCAAACGAAAATGGAGTACTCGCCGAAGGAACGGTAGTGGTTAGAAAAGCGTTCGTTGAAGTAGACGGTACGTTTTCGAGGGCTTTGCTAGTACTAGTAAACGGTTTGGGCACGTCGATTTCCGTATTAGATTTTTCGTCGGGTACTAATTTTGTAGGAAATAATGAAGTTTGAGATTGGTTAGAAACAACAGGAGATGGTGTAGTAATCGAGGAATTATTACCAAATGAAAATGGTGTACTAACTGAAGTAACAGTAGTACTTTTGAATGAATTTGCTGAAGTAGACGGTACACTTTCAAGGCCTTTATCGCCTGAGTTAACAATAGGCACTGTTGTATTCGAATTTTCTGTAGTACTTTTGTCAGAACTGCTCTCGGGTAAGTTGAACCTGACATGTTTCTTTACTTTAAGGGCCGGACTAGGAGGAGTTGTTGGCGTAACTGCGGATTTATCCATTTCTTCAGTAGCAGATTTATCAACTTCGTCTCTTAGTACGCTCGAATAATCCGGTTTGGGTTCTAAAATAGGCTCCTTTCCAACGAGCGTCCCCATAAGAGCTGCCAATCTGTTCTTCCTAATCCTTTCTAAAGGAGCATCGTCAAATACTTTGAGTACAGTCTCGCGTTTTTCCGTTTTATCATCTTGACTGTCCTTAGCACCGGCATCAGCCTTCGATTCATCGGAAACGCCTTTATTCGTTTCTTCAAGATTAGTTTGAGTTTCGGCATTAATGAGTTTAACGTGCTTATTGTTGGTTTCATTCGAATTGTCAGTAGCTGTACCTAGAAATTGTCCACATATTAACATTTAAAGTTAGTGAAAATTTCACTACTTACTGATAGACTTCCTTTTGGGAATCGAGACGTCCTGTTTCTTTAAAAAATCCATGGAGGACCGAGAGGCAGCGTATTCGTCGTACATGCAAATTTTCTTAGAAGCCTGCCTCGTCGGGCTGGTGGAGTCGATGTACGATGAATCATCTCTTGATCTTTTATTCGAATCTGTGCAATCTTCAATTTCGGTTCTGATCCTTTTTCCACTGTCACTACGTACTTCGAATTCCTAAAAAAACGCATACAAGTAGATAAGATCTAGATAGAAACGGAGGTGTTAAAAGAAACTCACTTCGTGGGCGTGAATCCTCTTCCTAGATATCTCTTTTAGCGCGTCCAAAACACTTCTAGTACCGGTGGAATTTTCCGCTATGCTCGAATTAGATAGCCCTCTTTGGATACTTCCGCTCGGTTTGATTAAGCCGTCTAAAAGTTTTCGTTTGTATTCGGGAATGCGTTTTGTGTAATCTGCAAATGAAAATATTGAATCCAAAATTTGGGGTCGTAGAAGAAAGAATACCTGGGCTCGCGACTCTCACAGTAACATGTCGAGGCCTTTGTTCTAAGATAGGCAATTTCTTCTTGAACAGATGCACTACAGGGAAGAGGCCTAAACTGCCGTATTTCGCTTGGCACATGGAAGGATGTCTTTGTTCTTTTTCCCTTTCCGCTTCCTCGTTGTACTGCACGATCCGACTGGCGAGGCCTGGACTTTTCACGTCTTCGAACGTACTGACATTTAAACTGTACTTTGTTGAAGCTAATAATGGTCCGGGTGGATTGAATGATGAATTTGTTCTAGAATATTCTCGTTTGTTAAATTTTGGTGTTGTTGAAACATCGGATAATGAATATCTAGAATAATAAACGTTCAATATATTAATATATCAACGATTAATCTAAATTGCTTACCTTCGGGAATTCATAACAAGTGGCTTAGGAGGGGTAGTAAACGAACTCGGTTTTGGCGTTGAAGTGATTTTCGGCAACAGGAAGGACTTGGATGTTTCATCTGCGGCGTCGTCATTGCAATTAGCAGCACTTTTAACAGGCCGCGGGGTGTCTGGTACTTTGGAATTGTTGAACATTGTGAAATTTTGAGGTTAATTTTGAAATTCCCTATAAAATTGCTGCACTAGACTGTTTTAATTACACAAAACTTCCGCCTAAAAACTGCGGCATAAGTTTGCGATGCACGTTCAATTAATTTTTCAAAATTACAAATTCGTCATTTTAAAATTCACAAAAACGAGCTTCCAAAAGCTGACAAATGACCAATGACACGACAATTATGACGTGACATTAATGACATTACCGAATTTTCTTCTTTTTAATTTGACATTTTTTTATTTCAAATTTGATTGAGGTTATGGTTTATTTTCTGTCACTTGAGTAACTACTAAGATTTTAATTTTTGCAATAATGAATGTAATAAAACAGTTTTCAAGTTTACTAAGCACAAACGCTCTTCATAATGTAAGTATTTCAGGCTACAAAATTCAATTCACCGCATATCATATATTTGAATTAAAAATAATGAACATAGTAAGGTACAAATGACGAATGTAATGTACTATTTTAGTTTCAACAAATACGTAACGGTAACATATGGGTGAACCGTTGGATGATTAGAGACGTAAAGAGAAGGAAGATGACAGTAGAATATGCACCAACAAGATTAAGGATAAACACCATGAGAAAGAATGATGTACTTCCTCCGGAACTTATAGAAATTGCTGACCAAGAGATCGCAGCATTACCGAGGGATTCCGCTTTAGTTAGAGTTAAGAGGAGGTGCGTTATAACATCTAAGCCGAGAAGCACATTGTACCGTTGGCGATTCAGTAGGATAATATTCAGGGATTTGGCAGATCACAATAAATTATCCGGCGTTCAAAGAGCAATTTGGTAATCAATTTAGCAATGAAAAGTAGTCAATGTATATACCATTTTGAATATTCTGTACTGTAATTTACAGTTGTAGTATTTTGCTATTACATACTTCCTTTTGTGTTAAAGAAATATTGATAAAACTAAACAAATTCTTTATTACATTAATGGGAATAATAAAACTAAAATAAGAAAGCCTCATCGTCTCTCTTTGAAGAATTCTCCTTTTCTTCGATTTGCTTTCTTAAGAATTTAAGACCTGCTTCTATTGAATCGTGAATATTCGGTTGTTTTACATCAGTTCTTCTAACTTTAGATTGGCTAGGTCCATAATAATCGTACGTTGTAGGTGGCGCTATTTCTACTCCTCTACGTTCTGTATCCGAATACGATGATGAAGTATTTTTCTTCTTATCTCCTTCATATCTCTTGCTTATATCTTCATCGTTACTTACATCTAAATCGTGAATAGGCACTGGTTGCATACTTGAACTACAACTTTCTTCGACACAAGATTTGTCATAAACAGTTTCAGAATTTGAGTGCTTCTTTGTGGTGAACTTGAGGCTTTTATTAATATCCATATCTTCATTGCCAGCATTGACTCTAGACCTGAAATCTTTCCTGGAAGTTGAAGGAGGAGCGAATTCTTTAGGCCTTTCTTTCCTTTGCTTTTCCACCCATTCCTTTTGAGACATAACTTCGCGTTCTTTCACCCCTTCTTTGCCCACATCCCAAGGCCTAACGTGATTCTTTCTCGCTTCCGATAAGAGTCGTTCGCGTTCTTTGTCGTCTTCTGTAACTTTCTGTTCTTCGGGTTTTTCTGCTTCTTCGGATTGTTTGTCAGTTGGTTCCGGTTCTGAAACGTTAAATATATTGTCGAGTGTGTTGTGTATAATTGGAAAAAATGCACTTACCATCCTCTTCTGGAGGTAATCCCATCCTAGCCCTCTTGCGATTCCTAGCAGCCTTTAATCTAGCCGCCAGGAGTTTTTCTCTCGAATTTTTCAATTCCTGCGCCTTTTTCTGTTTAGTTTCAGTTTCCACCCGCAGCTTTTTCAAAGCTTCTTGTTGCTTCCTTCTTTCCTCTTCGTCTTTGGAGAAACCGTAGTAGCCGACACCGTGACTTCTGGCCTCACCGAACAGTAAATCTTGATAATGGATATCAGATTTATGGAGTAATTCGTCTTCTTCTTTTTCCCACTGTTGCCTCAACATTTCTCTTCTCATATCGTTGGATAGTAATTCGGCGGCGTCGTTTGGATCGGAATTGTCGCTCTTCGTTTCTATTTCTTCTGTCGGTGTTGGATCGGCGGTTGTTTTGAATTCCACGTGTTGTTTTTTATTTTTATCATCGACTATCTTACTCAACTCATCGTCTTTCGCTTTTAAATCTTGCAGGTCCTTTTGCATGCATCGTCTGGTTCTTCCTAAGCAATCGACATAGTCAACCCTGGAATAAATTACTTATAAAAAGGAGTTATTAGTTAAATGTTGACATACCATTTTTCTTCGGGATTCTTGTTATCATCGTCTTCGCTGTCATAAAATTCTTCCTCGCTTTCGGGGCGTTTGTCGTCCGGTTCGGAATCATCATCTGGAGGTAAATCTGGAACGGAGGACTGTTTCTTATCGAACCTAACGAGAAACTGTTTGTTCCTTGCTCTATTTTCTGCAGTTGGTTTTTCAGAGGATAATTTGTCGTATAGACGAGCCTTGTGTTCTAAAATTGACCTAAAACAAAACGTATGAGATCAATAAATGTAGGATAAATTAAACAGTAGTGTTACCTTGATTGTTTCAATAAATCCTCGTTTTCTTCGGTTTGATCGAACTTTTCTCGTTCTTCGACGCCTTTATTTTTTATATCTAAAGGATTGTTCTTTAAAACCTTCTTCTTAACTTCGTTTTCTACTTTTATCTTGGACAATTCGTCGCGTTTTCGCAGAATCTCAGCCTTCAGACTTAACAGCTAAAAATAAAATTTTAGTAATGGCGTATAAATGTTCGAGAGATTATTGCTTACCGATGATTTACTGATTTCATAAGTACTCATTTTTATTGGTACAAAAGTTCTTTTACATCCATAACAAATAACACTTTGTAAATAAATCGACAAATGTATGATTGAAACGTCAAAGTTAAAATTCAGGTTGACTTCTGCTTCTTGGTCTGAAATTGATGGTCTTTACATATTTGGAAATTGTCAAACTTTTTCTTCTTCAATTGATAACTTGAATTCGGCCTACTGTCGTGCTTGTAGTCAGCTTTTTGACATATTCATAAATAATTGGCAACACTGCAATTTAGAGAGAGATAAGAGATAATTTTATTATAAATTTTTAATTCCAATTAGTATTAATAATTAATATTACCTTTTTTATCATGAAATCATTGTGATTACAATCTAAAGATTACCTATTTACAGTATTAATTGAAGGGGAGTTTTGAAACAATGGGTCAAACAAAAAGCCAATTTACTGACGAAGAACTGCAGGATTACCAAGTAATTGTTTGTCTCAATAATAAAACAATATTCAATAATCACCGATTATTCCTCCGCAGTAATTAAATTACTATTGTTTTACAGGACTTAACATATTTCACCAAGAAGGAAGTGCTATAGTAAGTATTCCGATTGTTTTCCAATTGTATTTTGATCGTAAACAAATTATTTATCAATTTTTAGTGCTCACAACAAGTTCAAAGCGCTGGCTCCTGAAAAAGTCGGTCACAACAAAAACGCCAAGCTCCCCATGACCAAAATTCTGCAATATCCCGAGCTGAGCGTAAATCCTTTTGGTGAAAGAATTTGCGAAGTGTTCAGTTCAAGCCGCGATGGCGATTGCACTTTCGAAGATTTCTTGGACATGATGTCCGTGTTCAGCGAGGCAGCCCCAAAGTCGGTGAAAGCCGAGCATGCATTTAGAATATATGGTAAAAATGTGTAACTGTAATTGATTCGTTATTGTTTAATTAATTGTAGATTTTGATGGTGACGATATGCTTGGAGTATCGGACTTGAAGAAGATAATCACTAAATTGACTGGTGATCATAAACTTACAGATGCTGAAGTAAATATAATAATAGAAAATGTGTTGGAAGAGGCCGATATGGATGATGATGGTTCGCTTTCTTTTGCCGAATTTGAGCATATTACTGATAGATCTTCAGACTTTTTGAGGTAACATTTTACATTCGTTCACAATTAAACTCTAAAATAACTTTTATTTTTTAGTGCATTAAGGATTCGTTTGTAAGCCAAGTAGATATCCAGTATTTATACTTTTCTAGTCTCCTTATGACTTTTAATAAAGGTAACAATTTTAAAGTAAACAGATTTATAAATGGTAGTTTGCTAATTTTATATTCGAAAAAACTTTCACGAAAGGTATAAATTAAATAAATCTTGTATGAGTTAAAAAATACAATCCTACGACTGAAGATAGCCAGGTAGTTTCATCCTCATGAACACCCATGTAGTACAAAACGAAACTAACACACAAATAAATCCAACTGTGGCAATCAATATCCTGTTTAGCTTGTTAGTGGAAGTGTTGTGAAGTTGGTCGAGTATTATAAATCCTAAGCCGCCCATTGAAAATAAAAAACTCGATGCGAGACCTTCCATAATGTATTGACCGTTGATTCTATAAGGCATGAATGCCACCTAAAATGATAACATTAAATAATACAATTAATTATTATAAGGTAAATAGTAACATACAGGTCTTGAATGGCCGTGTTCATCTGTAGTTGATCCTACACTTGGCGGTTCTACTATCACATCGTATATGATACCTATAAGGAATTATTAATATAAAATGCTTATTAAAAAGGCTTTACAAACCTCCAGTTACTAAAAAATAAGACACTAGTACGATGGAGAACATCATCATAGCCGAGGGTTTCTTTATCCATGATGGTTTCTTTATTTTTATTTGAGGAACTTCCAAGATAAAATAAGGCAGTGTAAAGAATTGCTCCATTTCAAGCTTGAAAGATACAATTTTGCTTGTTTTCCGAAAATTTTAGTTTGGGATCGGTTTCAGTTTAGGTTATACCGAAACGTCAACTATTGCAACGTCAAATTCTTCTTTTTATCTAAAAATATCAAAAATGGTTAGATGCTGACTTAACAACAGGCCATTTTATTGAATTTTTTTTTAACATTTATAAAAGTAGAAGAAAATTAGGTTATATATACTTTAAAAAAATGTCATCAGTTTCAGTATTTTGTTGTTTAAAAGGGTGTTTAACTAATTTCAAGTTTTCCCCGACAGTACATCATGCCCCAAGAGAAAACCCCATTCAGCTCGACACTGCCTTTATGGGTACAATTTTTTAAAGTAAGTTGTTCTCACAAAATTTAATTATTTCGTTCCCAGGATACGAAGTGGTTGTAGTTAAAGGGGGCTTGAGAGTATGTGGTTCAGGAGCCGTTTTAGGGAATGCTCCTTTGGTTCAGTCCAAGTCTTATTTCGAAGTAAAAATTCAGCAAAGCGGCTCGTGGTCTGTGGGATTAGCTACTCGACAAACCGATCTTAGTTTAACACAAGGTAAACACAACGATAATTTTGTGTGAAAAGAAAATCTGCATGATGTTTTAGGTGGCCAAGATGAATATTCTTGGGCTTTAAGTAATGACCAATTGATTCGTCATAATAAACAAGAGTTGCATAAAATTAGTTTGAATACCTCCGAAGAGGATATAACTCAAATACAGGAGGGCGACATTATTGGTGTAGCATTTGATCATATCCAGTTAAAATTTTTCGTTAATGGTAAAGAAATTGATCACACTGTGACGAATATTAAAGGACCAGTGTATCCAGCATTATATGGTAAGTATTTTCATTTATTTGTTTATTGGGTTTTAAATATCTTTTTTTAGTGGACGATGGAGCAATATTGGATATAATTTTAGACAATTTTAATCATCTACAGCCCTCCGGATTTGAAAAAATTATGCTTGAACAATCGCTTCTTTAAATTTCAATGACTACTTTAGAAATTATTGCAGATGAACAAAACCTTTTATATATTTTTGATTTTTTTTATGAAACCACAAGTTTAAAAATCTCAACCTTATATTCTATTTTTATTAATTTATTTTTAGATGTTAAGACTAATATAGACTGTTTCTATTAATTGTACTAAAATGTACATTCCTTAAATTATTGTATATAGAACTGTTTTGATAAATTTAAAAGTATTGGTCAATTTCAGCCATTTTCATCCTAATAAAAATGTTCTAAGTATTAAATAAAACAAGACAAATGTAAAAACTAATATATTTCTTCATGCAAAATAAATATGCACGTATATATTTCATGAAGCATTTTTCTACAATTCTTAGTATCACTTTGTAAAAATTAAACCTACCAACGCATTCATAGTTTGATATTGACTTATAAAATAGCTTAAATTATTTGATCAAACAGTAAAAAATGAACACAGTGTTAAAACTTCAATTTGTAATTCAAAACATAACTACTTTTCCCTACAAAGTTTATCACAATTATTATTGTGAACAATAAAAAAGTACGCAGATATTAAACTAATAGTACAACACACACTTTGTAGGGTCGTTCGAAGCATGGTAAAGTATTTACTGGGTTTTTAACTATTGTCTATATGGAAGAAAAGTATTTTACATTTTTAGCATACCTTACTTTTTAAATGTCGTTTCTGTTATTTGTTTATTTATTTAAACGTTAATTGTCCATTGTTAATAATTAGTTATTGATGAATGAATTGTATTAAGTTTTAAACAAACACTATCTTCAATTAAACAAGTCTATAAAATAACTAAAATAGCAGTAACTCAAGTCTACCACCTCAATTCCTAACATAGAAACAGCATTTGAAAATATTTATAAATATAAGATAACTACAAAAATGTAAAAATACTTTAACACTTAATTATTCTAAGACACAAACGATTAATTTTACAGGATTGTCCTTTTACTCTAACCGATAAAATATAGAAACCCTGCCTTAAATGCTTTGATGTTAACATATAAAATGGTCTAAAAAAATGATAATAGAAAACGCAAAAAAACTGGGAAAATGGTTTTTGAATTAAAATCAAATGGTCCCCCTTAACAGTAATGAACACCTTAAAAAAATCGTTTACAGGTTAACACAAAATTAAATTATATTATAAACACTGATAATACTTATAAAAACACGATTCTTAAAAAACTAATTTACGTAATTAAAATTTCATTTTTATTAAAAATATATTTAGGTTCGGTACTTTCCGTTAGTTATAGTTATCCAGAGTTAAAAATTCCGGCCTTTAATTAAAATGGTACTTTTATCAAATTACGAAGCAATCCGAGAGAGTACCGTGATGTCTTTTTCGTAAATAGCAACGTGTTAACGTTATAACTAATTGCACAAATAAAATTATTTTCTAAATCTTTGGTATTTTCTTACAATCAAGTAACTGAATTCAGTGAACTGCTATTCAGTAAAATAAATATAAAGAAAGTAATAATATCATTACCTACTTAAATATACAGTGTAAAAAAGCTGCCAGTTTAATGTTCGCCCTATTGAGGTCCATAATCTACTATAATTGAATGAGATGTATATACAAATATCAAAAATTTCGTTGCATTCCTTTATGAAAGAAATCCAGTTTGATTTGTGATATATTAAAAAATAATTCGTTGCCTCAGAAGTTTTGCTAGGCAAGTTTGGGTTCAGGAAAATATAAAAAAAGATACGAAATGTTTCTTTAGGCGAGCCAACATTTGTGTTGAATTCACTGGGACTTACCATAAAATAAAAACATGTACAAAAAATTAGTCGACTAACGTAACTAATTGAGTATCTTTTATCAATTTGCCTCAACCAAAACTTTTACAATGGTCCAAGATTTTTAATCGAATAGATTCCACGAGAATGTACAAATTTCTGTTATCACATTTGAAATTGTGATTATTTTTAGTGGTAAACCAATTTTCTTAGTTAATTTTTATATCTAAAACCAATAATTTCAAATACTGGATGTCCCACGAGCTCAACTAACTCTATATGGACTAGTGAAACAATTAGATGAATTAATGCACAATTAGAAAGTGTTATAATACATTGGGTGTTGCATATAAAATAAACATTTTAAAATTGAGATGTAATTTTCCATACATTGCTAGTTTAATTAAGCTCGTGATTAGACAGTGTGTAAATTATGATGACTATCAAATTGGCAAAATAAAAAAACCTTAAAAATAATAAATTACCTATTCAAAACTTTTGTTACCGTTCAATAGCGAATTAATTGTTTAGTCACAAATCACCTTGACTTGAACCTTCAAGAAATACCGCAATAGTTACATCACTAAATAACCATATGCACATTTCAACGGTAACAAGTATACGCTTTTAGATACCGTGTGGGCTTAATACTACATATTGTTAAAATTAATTTTCCCTTACGAAATAATAGAAAACATGGCACTTCTAAGATCAGACTTTGCTTGAGCTTCTAGATAGACTTACGGGGACTCCGTGGGATCTTCCAATTTATCCCAATCGAACTCCGTAGGACTCTGTTTCCCGTATATCACGCCCAAATTTTTAAACCTGCGAAAACCGCATTAAAATTAACAAATCCCCAAACAGAGAAAATCATACGCACCTCTCCTCAAAATCTGCATCTCTGCTCTTCACCTTCTCGAAACGTTGAAATAGAATTTTCTTCGCGTAATCGTACAACTCGATGTCCAAGTTATTCAAACTAGCTATATCTTCGGATTGCTTCGTCGTCAGAGAATTCAAAGTGTTACTAGACACTGTGGAATTGTTCTGTTCGAACGGTATGGCAAAGCGAAGATTGAAAGTTTCTTCGAAAATGTACTGCGAGATCTTCTGGTATTCGGTCAGACCGAAGAAGGCCATCGAAAGGAGGTTCTTCTTGGCGCTAGCCAGCATTATTCTCTCCCGTTCCCCCTTCGACATGTACGATTTATTGTAGCAACCTATAAAATTCATATAGTTATGCTACAGCCTGTATAGTATGCTCAAATTACTAGCGGTTACTCATTCAGATAAAGATTATCATTAGTGATGTAGTAAGTTTGAGTAACGTGTGATTATCTCTACGATATTTTCTGATTATTCCGGTTACAAACGTGATTAGATTGTTGTTTAAATTTATCTCACCGACAAGTTCGAGATCTGCCAGCATTCTAGTCTGTCGATTAGCTGCCAAATTACTTTTGCACCCGATAAAATCGTCCAAATTCACCCCTTCCCAATCTTCGCCCTCGTAACACGGGGGAATTTCTCTATCAGTGGCTAAGCGCCCGCCGCAAAAGTGCCTGGAACCCTTCCAAGTAGCGCCTCTTTGCACATGACGAAATTCCGATAAATACCTACAACAGTATCTCATCATTATCTTATATCATTTACCATCGAGTACTAGTTACCTGGATACTGGTTCCCTTAGAAGAGTTATGTAGAAATATCGCCGTTTCGCGACGGTCTCCAAGTCGTCCAGTTTGGCGTCCACGCAGCTGGTGAGCTCCGTCCAGTCGGCGTGCAAGCCACATTTCCAGCCCGTGGTGTATCGGCTAAACAGCCAGCTTTGGTTCGAGTGAGGCCGAAAGCAGTGGCACCTCTTTCGGCTGATGGGGCACGTGCAGGGCCTCCTCAAGTCGAGGTCGTGCACTAAATGTTTGCCAAAAGATGTACCGCCTGTAACGATATAAGGATATTTCATATAAATCCTAATAAAAGTTTATTAATCCTAAATGCATTTTTATTCTCTGGCTAGATTTATTCGTGTAGTATATTATTCAAAGCGCGTACTTCCTACTACTACTTTCCTTGAATATTAATGTACCTAAAGCATTTACATGTGAGTGGAATTTAAATTTATGTTTGTACAAATCTAAGACCATTGTTTTAGGATAAATATCTGTTAGAAGAATATTTATATCGGATTTATAAGTATATGGACAAGATATAAATGTGTCAGTTACTTAAACAAATACTACAAATAATGGTTACTTTCGTTTGTAACTTATGTAATATTTTAGATGAACTGACCTGTTTTTTGCATATGTAAAAACACCATAACATCATGGGAATCCATATCAAATGTAAAATCATCATTCAGCATGTCATCGTAGCTTAAACCAACTTTAGTTTTAGTCTGAGCTAATGGTTTTCCTATGTTGTCTTCAATGTAAATTGTCTCTCGAGAACTGAGTGCACAAACCTAAAATAGCATTGAGAGTAAGTTGTGGGCTAGAAGGATTTGCTGTAATGTTTACCTTGTCGGGACAGAAGTAACCGAATCCGAATATGCCAAAAATACACAATGCCAAACAAAAAAGGCATATTTGTTTCAACCTGGAGGATTTGCTTTCCATTTGCTTAATTTCATAAACACCATTAGGTAACAGCAAGGCTAGATCGCTGTTCACAATTTGCACTGATACACTCTTCAAATTATTCATTATCAATCCATTGAGAAAAATTTGTCTATTTGTTTACATTCGTTTACAGATATTTAATTTTTATCAAGAGCACCAACGAAAACTGACATTTTCACAACTGTTGACTTAAATGACAACTATGACAAGATTGGCATTGACAAATCGCAGGACAAAAAGTTGCTTGGAACGCAACAAAAAAGAGGTCATTCAACCTAACCGTGTAACACTAAAAAAAAAAATAAAAGTCACTAAAAATAGTGCACGTGAATAGTTATGCAACCCATTTTACAGTCTGTTGATGCAATGTAACAAAATTTTCTTTCTTTAGAAAACAATAAGAAATTGTATCGGAACGTTTTAAATTCGGCATAAATAAACAAATCCATATTAAAACATACTTTATTTACCGTCATGCTTCTCGTTCAAAGCCTTCTAGCTGTTATAAAGAATAATTTAATAGTTAAATTAAATCTATTTACAACCTGTTTTTTAGGGAACTATATGAATAAGAAAATCAAACACCCTTTCAAATTAACCTCCGACCAAATCTTCGTATTTCTAACAATTTCGCGATTACCACTGGTTTACCACTATATTATTTAAGTAGAAAATCGAATTTCAGGATTCACAATACCAATTATTACCAAATTACATGCAAAAACACTTTATAGTTTATTATAAAATGATAGGTACGTTTCATAAGTATTCCCTAAACACCCCAAGAGCTTCAAAAGTTTTGTTAAAACATTCCATCCAAGATTCCGTGTCCCTTTTGGCACTACACAAGTCACTTTTTGCACAATTTCAATGACACTTCGGCAGTTGGCTAATTTCTGAATAAGTTTTCTATTCGATAATAAAAATCCTAAACCGACGAGTCATCTACACAGAAAAGGCGAATCCCAATCACGAGAATGATCGAATTGTTGAAGAATATTAAAGAGATACAAGAGCTCAAACAAAAGTATTGAGGTTTTCAGCAACCTTATTTAATATTGTTTTATAACTAAAGACATATTCTAAGTAAATATTTTAAATTAATTAAAAAACTAAATAATCGAAAGAGGAAGACCAAATATGTTGTGACAGATAGTGATTCGGTGACAAAAAAAGAGAGGAAACAGAGTCTAAAGAAAATACACACTGCAAGTGACTGGCAAAATTTTGTAAAAATTACAATTTATTTTAGCAACTGCAAGAAGCATTCAAGTTTTTACTATAAATCATACCTATTGTGTTAATTTGAGATTTTCATTAGCAAATTTACCAGAGTATAAACGCTTGATTGGTCTGGAAGTCATCTTATTTTTTTTGAGCGCATATTTTTTACATCGATAAATCTGGTTAAATGGAATTTCAAATTATCCGAAAAAACAGACTGGTATGATTTTGGCGAAACCGAATAACAACTACTATTTTTGCAGAAAACTTCATAAAAATATTGAAAAGCGGTAAACGTTTTTTTTGTAATTAATGATTCAAGTAATATAAAATTAAAGAATTCCGATAATGAAAATTGCGGTCAATAATTCTTTTCGGCAAAAATGCGGATATTGGAGTTGTTTGAGTGTTTATTAAAATCATAAACCAGTCTATAAAAAAAATTAACTGCCGGAATAATTTAATTAATATTAATTACGTTTATGTAAATAATCTGCTATTGTAGATCACTGGACCACTATATGCAATAGTTTCATAATGATCCTCTTAAGTTCATGCAACATATGTGTACACTTTACGATCTTCTGGGGTCCGTGCCAAGTACTCCCGTTCGATTAAACCCTCTATCCTCTTTTTTATAATTACAGGCGAGGGAAGAAAACGACTCTTTAATTGCTCTGTTACTTCCGTAACAAGAATATTGTGCGGCATTCGCTTTCGCGACTTCATTATCCTTACAATCGCTGCCTCAATTTCGTGCTTTCTATCTTCATCAACCTACAAACAAACATTCAATCATCAACAATTCAACTCGATATATTACGAAACGTACCTTATTTCTAGTTTCCCTTCTCTCGGGCTCGTTTTCTCCCTTTGCAGCTACAGTTTGTATCTTAACGCGATGCAATTTAGATGTAAAAGAGTCGTTTACGTAAAACTCGTGACTGGACTCGATCTCCTTCGTCTTCGGATTTTTAATAAGAATCCTTTGAGTCGCTTTACCCATCGCCAAAGATTGTAAAGCCCTTTAAAAAAATAAACATACGATATAGACGAATTAGATGTAATACGATTTCGAGACTTACCTAATGAGGTCCCTTTCTGGTATATCAGACTCGTTGAGTATCTCTTCGTAAGTCAGCTTGTCGTGGTTATTGAACAGCATCAATACGACCATCTGATAGGTGGACACTTGAATGATGTGCTTCCTGGGGCCGGTCCTGCTCGAAACGACGGTCGTGGATGATGAACAGGCGCCGTCCTTGTCGCTGTCGTCCTTCTTCGGACCGTAAAAGACCGCGTTCAAATCGGCGTTGCCGAGTTGCGGTTGCAAAGTCAATTGGCGACCGCTGTGTTTCGCTAAATAGAACCTAAACCAAAGACAAATTTAGAGCTCAATGTCTCGAATGGTAAATTTTAACGGTACCTTCTAAAGCATTCAAAGGCAGCTAGTGGTACAGCTGGTATGTGGCATTTGGGTGTTGCGCTTTGCGTTGGCCAAAAACCGGTCGTTAAAACGCGCATAAATAAATCTACTCCGCCCAAATTAGCCTGCAAATTTAGCATTAAATAGAATATTAAATGTCAGTTAGATGTGAAATTTACCTCGGATTTCGTGATGTGCTCTTTAAATTCATCCATAATCGTATTAGACACCGTCATGTCTTTGAACATGCCCTCTAATTTGGATGTAAACTGGCATCCACATTCGGTCTAAAAATATTACAATTATAATTGGATTCGTTAATTTTTTGATTAAATTTTAAAATACCTTCAATTTTGAGATCATATTCTTCTCCCAGTCGTCGCTGACAGACTTGTTGAGTAACAATCTTTTGGCAAGATGCTGTTTGTAGTATCTCTCGAACACATCTTTTTCTTGAAGGAATCTAAACAATACCATGGATTTATCCAAAACTAATTCTATATCTTGCTCCGACATCTGCAAACACATAAAATAAACATAAAAAAACCGCTCCTAATCATTCGAAACAACGCATTCACTCACCCCTTTGACGCCTTTCTTCAGCTTATCATCGATAAACAGCGACAGATATTCCGGAGACTTGGGATTCAAATTTAAAAAGTGCTCGAAATCCGACGCGATCATTTGCTTGAAGATCTTGTCGTTGTTGAAGGAATTCTTGAGGAAATGATCGAAGCCGTCTTTCAAATCGAGCAGCGATTGGACGAACGTGATGGCGTTCGTGGACGGCTGGTGTTCCTCCTCTTGCACCAACGCCTTGCCTTGCTCGCGCAAGTACAAACTCACGCAATCCGCCATCGTCTTCAGACCGTCCAAGACGCGACCAAACAACTTGTACATGCAGGCCAAATCGTCGGTCTTTTGGTGTTTCAGCATGTGGACCACCCCCGAATTCTCCATCTGAATGATAAATAAAAATTATGTACATCTACTTCTTTTACATATCACCAAGTCTAGTCCTACTAAATAGTAGTATTCGGAAGCATCGAAAGCTCGTTTGTAATTACCTCGACGATTGTCTTCATATGTTTTTTGATTAATTCTTCTTCGACGACTTCCACAATTCGAGATTCTGTCGATTCGTCCAAATAGTGCTTGGCTCGATCTGATTCCTCGTTGATTCGAGCCTCTACTTTTTTAATATACACGGACGCGCTGTTTTCTGCCAAGAATCGTTGACTTTCCACCTGTAAAAATTTCAAATGTTACCGAATTTATAATGTTTGCTCTAAACGAACAAAATTTATTGTTATCTCGACGTTAATTTAGCGTTAAATTATTTTATTGTTTCGTAAAATGTAAAGGACGTTTAGGAGAGTTATTTAAAGCTCGTACTTACTTTATAGAATTCGGCAGATTGTTGTAAAAAAGGCCGCTCAAAGTCTTCTTCGTAGACAGAACGAGAATTAATTCCAAGAACCATCAACATTTGACAAGCGTTTTTTATCGAGATTCTATCGACTTTCTCTCCTCTACGCTCTCGCATTACCATATCTAGTAATGTTTCTCTAAGATGATCTCTAATACAGCCATAACGAACCACCTGGATTTTATAAAAAAAAAATCGCAATAAATATAATCATCTAAAGATTTCAATATAGCGAAAACTTACTTGATCTCTGAATATGATTAGTCCAAGATTATATACATTATCAACATCATTTTGTTGTACATACACCCTGTCCATATACATGAGTATATCCCTAATCATGACCATTGATGTTTGATGGTCATTCCATGCTTGATTTAAAGTCATTAAAAAATTATTATGTAACGATTTTAATACGTCTTCCCTTACCTAAAAAAATCGGTGCAATTCGAAAAATTTAATTGTCAATTTAGATATTTCATTGGGGTACCTTAAGTTCTAGGTGGTGGGTAACAACTTCTTTTAAACCTGTATATAAACGTTCGCCATGTTTATGGAGAACCATGGTATAGGCATTGCGATAAAGTTCTTCGAAACTTAAACCTGAATTGTTTTTCTTTTGAATTTCCTGTATGGCGTTTTTCAACAAATTCCAGATACTTTCCACGTATTTCTCATCCATGGTCATCTAAAATGAAGAATGTTCAAGTTAAATATCATCGATATGTTAACTTTTCCGAACTCATTTTCGATTCGTGTTACCTATTCATATTAATTTGCAAAAATTCGTTTTTTAACGCAAACATTACTAAGCTTTTTCCGGTAATTTGGTTACAGATGACGATTTAATAGCGATAAATGTACTCTAATATTACATAACCCGAGCACTGGATATCAGATAATAATAATTCAAATTAATGCAATTAACGTATTAATTAATTAATGGAGCAATGACTAATATTATGTAGTGTAAATAAAAAGCATATCTGAATACATTGTCGCCTGGTGCATCCCACTGGTCCCAATATTTTGAGAAGTTACTGTTCATTTTATGGAACTTCGATTTCATAGGAAAGCATTTATAGGGCAGGTACTCTACTGATAAACTTAAATAATTTTTTTCTTCAGTTTTATTGAAACAGGATGTTGATAATTTAAACTTGTGTGTTGGAAATTTTTAGGTAATGACAATGAATTTGAAACTTTCTGAAGCTTGAAATGACAGATATTTTTGTTTTTTTCTACTGACAAACTTCAAACATAAAAAAATAAGGGCAAAGTGGGAAATGATTTTTACTGGCTACTGGCTACCTAAAAACGTTAGTTGAACTATGTCTAGGTCTAAATATTAAAAGTATTTATTCGATTTATAAATTGTTAATTTGTGCAAACATATTTATGTTCAACCCTTATGAAGATTATAAATAGCTTTAATGCTATGCCGTACATAACCTCGTTGAATGACAATTAACTCGGATGTAATTACGTGGGTAATAAAATTGTATCGACGAATTTGTTGTAAACTTACTGGAAAGGCTCGAATCCTCATTTTGCCTTCCTTCTTTAAACCACCACTTTTCATTGCTGACATTTTCCAATTGGCTTCTTTTTTATCTCGGACCAAATTCGGTAATTACTAATAGGTATGCATTACACACTATTAATTTTAATATGCATAATAATCAACACTTTAAACAGTTCTTCATAGTTAAAAAATGAAAATCGGACTCGACCACTTCTGCTAATTAACCAATGACTTCTTGTTTTTATGTTTGCACCACTCAGTCATTTTTCATTTATCGTCTTTCGATATCAACAAATCACGGGCACTTTCACTTCCCAACAGGTAACGTGAGGTTCTAGGGATTGCCTCTATAACAGTTCGATTCGACGAACTTATCACTTTTTTAACTAATTTGTGTTTTCGTATAATTCAGTAATTTACTACCATTCGTTTCAAAGACAGACGGACCCTTTTTTGATTCAGCTGTTTCTTTTTCATGTCATTTCTCATTTCTCATTCCACGACATCACAAACCACTTGTCTTTTACTCACGGAACAACCAATTCTAACTCCGGTGTACTCCAAATTCATACGTTTCGTGCCATCGAATTACTTCAAATGTTGATTTTTTGTTATTCTCTACACAATTTACACCGAATATCGTAAAGGAATTTTAAGTAATGTAATATTAAATAACTATAATTTGTTAATTACGAAATATAACCGAATTTTTTTCGATACTTTTGTTTTGACTTTTCACTAAAATGTCAAAATTTGTACGTTTTGTTGTCGATACCGCAGAGATTTATCAAGCACAAACTAAACCCTTTCCATTTTTATTTATTCAATGCGAAAAAAGAGACGAGTATATTCTACGGTATACATAACATACGTCGCATGTTAATTATTTTTGCGATGACTCTAAAATGGTGGTCGTCGTACGTAAAATAATTTTCTGTTTAGAATGTATTTTTTTTAGTCTATACTAAATGAACATTTTTTGTTAGTCACATTTCTAATTTGCCATTTGCGTAACGATACGTCTGTACGTCGAGTGTAATTTACAAAATTAGTGCCTATTAATTTAAAGTAAGTAACAAGCGATCGCAGCCCTCTCGAGTTTGTCTGACACACACCGGCGCGCCCATGAAGAATTCGTCGTTTATTTTTATTTCAAACGCCCGTCTGCATTCCAAAGAGACCTTGTTAAAAACGGGAAATTTTCAATTTTAGCGAAAATGTCCTCAGACGACGAGAAACCCCCTGCGCCCCCCGTTCGGCTCACGTCCAATAGAAGCACCGATCTCGTCAACAATTCTATCGCTGTGGACAGGCCCCTGCCCAAGGAGCCCGAGGATTTGGACAAGAAAAAGAAGAATATGAAATCGAAAAAGACCCACAAATTGTCCACTTATGCCTCCGACAAGCCCAATATCTCCTATCCCACGAACTTCGAGCATACCGTGCACGTTGGATTCGATCCGATATCCGGGGAATTTACGGTAAGATTCTATTAGTTACGAATAAATAGGGTGTCACAATTCGCTATTATATAAAACGTCCTTTTTTAACCCATTATTTATACATTTTTTTCCATCTATAAATAGGCCTCGAGTGAGTTTTGTTGTGAATTAAAAAGCGATTATGCCGGGATATTTTTTTCGTGTGGGTAGTTTCAGATAAATGTTCTCTTTCAGCAATATTTTTAGTTGATACGGAACATTTGTAAATTTTATTTTTACCACTACTGCGGGTGATTTAGCTTGCCAATTTCGCCCCTAACACTTTCTTATTTTAGATATTAAATATTTTGGCACTATAACTTCTAATAAATTCATTTTTAAAGCTACAGAGGTGTGAATAACAAAATAAATCACCCTGTATATGGATTAATTTATCGATTTTTTGCCCAAAATGTCCTGATAGAGTGTAAGGTATCCACGAATTTTGTTTTCTCGAGCAAAAAAAGTTTTTTATTTTTTTTTACTTTTTCTATAATTCTATACAATTCTTACCTATTCTCTCTTCAGTTTCTTCTAAAAGGTAACATAGGAAACATGCATACTATAAGTATTTATAATAACCGTTATAGGATGTTTTAATAATAAAATTGTGATTTACTTGTCCAATTTGAGATATATTTTTTTTTGTGTGTAGAGTAGTCGCTTATTTTTTGTTTAATTTAGTTGTTTTGTATTAATTAATTGGTTTTGTTACAAGCTGCCCTTAAAAGTAAGTAATGCAGTGTTTTATGTCGTTTTTTTGTTTTGTTGCATATAGATGTATATATTTTTTCATATATTTTTAGATTTTTCAGTAGGCATGATTCCATAGTATATTTAATTAACTATAAATATGTCGCTCTTCTACGAATTAGCATATACCAACTTTTTAATTAGAATATTTAGCATAGTATTTTATAGCATGACCTTACACTCTCATTAAAAACTACCCTATTTTTCTTAACGAGTATTTGAAAAAAGAAATAGGCCAGCTCTTTTGTTATTCCACATGTAATGAGTTAATTTTGGATTACTTGTTCATAAATTTCTATTAGTTAGACCGTTCCAATTTCACCCGAGATGATTAATAATGGGATATTCTTTGCAGGGAATGCCCGAAGCGTGGTCTCGTCTATTGATGAACTCGAATATTAGCAAACAAGAGCAGAAAAACAATCCTCAAGCCGTGCTAGATGTCCTTAATTGGTACGATAACAGTTCCAAAGAACCTCCCAATACGAAGTACATGACCAAAACCGGTACTACTCATTCCGGAGGTAAGTACGCCTGTTATAGTACAAAAATTACTTAACTCGTGAGATTACATTACTTGTTCATATTATTAAGTAGGATATAAAATACTTAGTAAGCAAAGCAATAGTTTTCGTAGGTTCCACAGTAAGCAGAGTATCGAGTTCGAGTCCCAGCAGCACCACACCCACCGAAGGCGAAGCCGTGCCCCATTCCTACCACAGCCCAGTTCACGTGGTAAGTTCCGAAATCGAAGATGAAGTACCACCGCCGCCCATCGCTAGCCGACCAGAAAGAACAAAAAGCATTGTAAGTCTCCCGATACTGCAATCTATATCGAATTATTATCGTATTAAATTCGTTCGCAGTATACTAAACCGGTCGAGGAAGTCCCACCGACGACGACGGGCAACGGAACATCCCCGCACGGCCTCAGCCCCTCTCATTTGGGCGCGTTGGCGCACGTCGGGGCCAATTCGAACGCCAACAGCGCCCCGTCGGCGCCGGTCTTCGATAAGAACAAGAACCAGGCGGGCTCGGAGATGTCGAGGGCGGCGTCCGAGAAGCGGAAGAAAAAGATGTCGGACGAGGAGATACTGGAGAAGTTGAGGAACATCGTTTCCGTCGGCGATCCTAATAGAAAGTACACCAAATTGGACAAGATCGGACAGGGGTAAAACGGATCGTTTTGGCAGATTTTGTTAGAAATTTCACGTTTGAAATTGTAATTGTAGTGCATCTGGTACGGTTTACACGGCTATCGAAACGGCGACGGGAATGGAAGTGGCCATCAAGCAAATGAACCTCTCGCAACAGCCTAAAAAAGAATTAATCATAAATGAGATTCTCGTCATGCGAGAGAATAAGCACGGCAACGTCGTGAATTATTTAGACAGTTATTTAGTTAATGAGGTAAGGCGTTTTTGCTCGCGTTTCCTGCATTAGACATTTAATTCTTTTATTTAGGAACTGTGGGTCGTAATGGAGTATTTGCCCGGCGGTTCCCTGACTGATGTAGTTACAGAAACTTGTATGGATGAGGGCCAGATAGCGGCGGTTTGTAGGGAAGTTTTGCAGGCCTTAGATTTCCTTCACTCCAATCAAGTCATTCATAGGGATATTAAGTCTGACAATATTTTGTTGGGGCTTGATGGATCGGTGAAATTAAGTATGTATTAGAATATGCATCGTACGATCGCATACTAATCGTTTTGTTGTACAGCCGACTTTGGTTTTTGCGCTCAAATCAGCCCTGAACAATCGAAAAGGACTACGATGGTGGGCACTCCATATTGGATGGCTCCCGAAGTCGTTACGAGGAAACAATACGGTCCCAAAGTGAGTTCATTGAAATCCCCTTTTATTCATTTTTACCATTAAAATGTTATCTTTTAGGTCGACGTGTGGTCTTTGGGTATTATGGCAATAGAAATGATAGAAGGCGAACCTCCTTATTTAAATGAGAATCCGCTTAGAGCGCTTTATCTCATCGCTACGAACGGAAAACCCGACATAAAGGAGAAAGAAAAATTATCGCCGGTATTTCAGGACTTCTTAGACAGTTGTTTAGCTGTCGAAGTCGATAAAAGGTCATCTGCTAGGGATTTATTAAAGGTAATTGAAGGTTCATCAGTGCGAATTTAAGGTTGATTGTGGCCCTGAAGCTATTTGTCCAACCATTTGGTACAATGTAGTAAAGGGTTCTTTACTGCTTTATTGATTAATTGGGACCTAAAAATCGCATCTTGGCTGTGCTTGTACTGCTTTTTTTCTATAATCTGTATCTTTCAGCATCCATTCCTAAAACTGGCGCGACCTCTAGCAAGCCTAACGCCTCTAATTTTGGCGGCCAAGGACGCTGCAAAGCATTAGCTGCGCTAAGACTGTTGTACCGTCGAAATGTGAAGAATAATAGTACGAAGGCTTCATTATACCCAGGGGTTTTTTTATAAGTTATTTTACGATTTTAACTGGTCTCATTTTAGCAGTTTTTCTCATTTGCGATTTCGCTGATTAGAATAGAACGATATTTTAGTGATTACTTTTTACAATTTTAATATTTTATTAGTGTTTTAACTCTTTTTTTATGTTTTTTCGTAATTGACTGGGTATATAAAGACTCGATTGTCCCATATTACTAGAAATTGCATTATGTATTTTATATTAGACCCATTGTATTATATATGTATAGGTAGTAATAGTAGTATGGAAAATTTATTTATATTTAATAATTAAAATAATTGAAGCTTTGCAGTTCTAGTAATATAGGTTGTATTATATTAAGGCCATATTATAATAAACATGTAATTGAAAATTTCAACAGGTAATTGAAGTGAAGATTCGTCAAAAATTATATAATCACGAAAAATATTCGATTCCTTTATTAAATCGCTACATAATTAGATGTTGACACAATTCAATTCTATTTAATAATGTAAAAATTTTCGTATTCTCTTAAATGTCCAAAAATATTTACTATCTAAAGTAATTTTAAAAGTATTAAAAAAATGTTTAAAGTACAAAATCTTTTTACTTGTTGAATTTTTCCCCAATAGTATTGACAGGAGACTGTGCCTAATTTCCAGTTTAATGAATCCTAAACTCGTTCGACATTCATAAATGCTTTAACTGTGACAAGAAAGTATAGTTTCTAATCTGTATAGGAAAAGGACCATTTTTTGTGAAATGCTTATCTGATTTTTTTTGCATTAATTGTTTTAACGTCACAGTTTCTCATTTGTTCTATTACTCCTATTTTAATAGCCTACTTGTTTAGTCTGATTAATAAGTGAGTGTTATTCACTTGCAATGTATTATCCTTATGCCATATTTACATGTATTCTTTTTTTTGAGACTCTTCATTATATTTTTTTATATATAAATGAAAAACGTTCATAACTTGTTGGAAAATGTGGATTTTTCAGTTAGGAAAAATAAATTTAAAGAGAACAGAGCTACTTAGTTGTTATCAACTACAAACATTATTTGAAAAATCTAATATTTTTCAAAAAGTTTTTATTAGACTTTTAATGTGCGTTTAATCATCGTGTAATATTCTTATTTAAACTTACGTGTATTTAGAAAGGCCTTTTTAATTTTTATTTAGTAACAATTTCGCTAAATCATTCACAAATTTAATTGTTTTTAATTATACTTTTAACTATTTTTAATTTTTCAGTACAATATATCAAAATTTGTTAACGACTTAGTGAAATGTAGAACAAAGATGGAAATGCGTGAATGGTAGAATGGCTGTTTGATTACTATAGGTATTTTTGCACTAGTATTTATGATAAAAAATTGTGATTGCGTAGATATATTGTTGCCAATAAAAGATATAGCGAGTGGATAATAAATCATTTTTTAAGAATGAACAATTGTATTTTTTGTTTACAAATTAAATTTATTGAAGTGGCACAAATTTGATCAAAATCTTTGATTAGGGTTTATTAACAAAATCGCAAACCTACTATTAATATTGGAAGAATATTACTCAAAAAAAAATTCTACAATTAGTAATAAGTTTTTGTTGCAAACATTTATAAACAAATAAAATCCTAATTTTCTAAAAAACACCCACAACCCAAATACAAATTAAATAAAATTAGTTATTTCAGGAATGTTTTAAAAACAAATTAAGCAATTTCGGCTGCGGTATTCTTCATATATCCTAGGCTTTTGCGTCCTTCGGCAGGAAGTTGAGGGACGCGGAGTTGATGCAGAACCTCTTCATAGTCGGCGGAGGCCCATCACCGATAACGTGCCCCAAGTGAGCCCCGCACTTCGAGCACAACACCTCCGAGCGGGGCTTGGCTGGTTGGGATATCAATCATGAGTAAAAGATTCGATCCAACTAATTCGGAACGGGGACAATGGAGATTGGGAGGGATCAGGCCGTGTGATAAACCAAACCAAAATAAGTAATGATAAACAGAAAATATTAATGTATGACGCGATGATAGACTTGCCCAATAATTTAATTAAAGTCAGTAATCAGAATTGATAGAAGATTTCATTTAGAGGAATCAAATATCCTTAGGCTGCTTTACGGAATATGGTATTAAAATATCCGGTTCTAGGACTGTCGGTGCTTGTTATTAACGACACATTTTTCATACTGTAAATCACAGAATAAATATACACGATAACCAGAATGATATCTCTCATTTAAGTGCTTTGAAGTCGATGCCGACTAGCTATGACTTCGCATTTTATTTCTTACTTGTACTCCACGGTACTGAACTGAACGTTTCAGCATATCAGATCAGAGATATCCTTTTGGTTATTATATTTATTCTGTGCTGTAAATTATCAAAAAATACCTCCTTTATTGTCGGGTCTTAGCTTCACTTTTCCTTCGTCCAGGACATCATTAAACGCAGGCCATCCGCATTGACTATCGTACTTAGTGTCCGAACTAAATAAATGTTGTTCGCAAACTACACAAACGTATAACCCTTCGTTGAACGTCTCATTGTAACAACCTAAGTAATAAATAAGTTAATGAGGTAACCACATTAATCAAATAAAAATAAATAAACATACCACTGAAAGCTTCTTCCGTTCCCTGCTCCTGGGTTACATGATATTGTAGAGGGGTCAACCTTTTTTTCAGTTCCTCCTTGTCAACTTTGAAATCTTTATCCATTTTTACAGCTTAAATTACAATGTGATTTTTTTTGAACACCGTGTGTAAGTATAGAAACATAAAGAATTAAATATTAAAAATTAGGTACTACTTACCAATAATAACACAAATAAAGTACAAAAATCACGTTCAAAACTTCAAAGTTGATTATACAAAATCAAACCTTGCAATGAACAATTTTAGTTAAAATAGAAATATTTATGCTTATATAGTGAGCTTTTATTTATGAGCTATATTTGTATATACTTTATTTGTGAGCTATATTTATGCTTATATATGCTTTAATAGTGAAACAATGGTGGGAATATTTTTTAAATATCCCAGCAAACAGACCGACGTGCTAATTACGTTGCATTTAGGTATTTTTAATACCAGTAACATAAAATTAATATGTGAATTTCACGTGATTTTTACGTTAGAATGTCACAGCCTAAAGTCGTGTTTTAATCACGTGAGTAACACGTGAGTTATAGACGTGAGTAACACGTGAGTTATAGACGTGAGTAATACGTGAGTTATAGACGTGAGTAACACGTGAGTTATAGACGTGAGTAATACGTGAGTTATAGACGTGAGTAACACGTGAGTTATAGACGTGAGTAACACGTGAGTTATAGACGTGAGTAATACGTGAGTTATAGACGTGAGTAACACGTGAGTTATAGACGTGAGTAACACGTGAGTTATAGACGTGAGTAATACGTGAGTTATAGACGTGAGTAATACGTGAGTTATAGACGTGAGTAATACGTGAGTTATAGACGTGAGTAATACGTGAGTTATAGACGTAATACTCACGTAATAATAAAACGATTTATTCATGTTCAAAATACTATTTATTAGTACAAAATTTTATTCATAGAAAATGAGAACACAATGAAAATGATGCACAAGCTCTACTTTTCAAAGAATTCAAAGAAAAACAATACAACAAAATACAATAGGTACCTTTAAGTGATCATAGTTTACCTTTAAGTGATCATTTAAAGCCGTCTTAACCTTTTTTTCAGTTCCTCCTTGTCAACTTTGAAATCTTTGCCCATTCTGACAGCTTAAATTACAATGTGATTTTTTTGAACACCGTGTGTAAGTATAGAAACACAAAAAATTTAATATTAAAAATTAGGTACTACTTACCAATAATAACACAAAAATCACGTTCAAAACTTCAAAGTTGATGATACAAAATCGAACCTTGCAATGAACAATATTAGTTAAAATAGAAATATTTATGCTTATATACCTTTAAAAATGAAACAATGGTGGGATTATTTTTTTAAATATATGATTGAATATCGATCAATAGGCTATCAAATGCTAATATCTTTTTGGGCATTAAACACAAAATTTTAATGATTTTGTAATTGGTTTTAAATCTACAGTTGATGCAAAACAAGTGGGGTATAAATAATTGTACAACAATCTATGGTTTACAAATTAAATTTATTGAAGTGGCACAAATTTTATCAAAATCTTTGATTAGGGTTTATTAACAAAATCGCACACCTACTATTAATAATGGAAGAATATTACTCAAAAAATTATTCTACATATTAGTAATAATGAGTTTCTGTCGCAAACATTTCAGAGCTAGATAATTTTCACTTACATATCACAGGTGAAAATTCTAGGGGGTTTACAATTGCGATGGGGGTTGTAAATATAAAAATACAATTTATTAAGCTAGTCATCACGTTAAAATCGTCTAAACTAGGCCCGTATACAATAAATAAACTCTCGTTATTAATAAATTACGTTGTTAATATGAAATAACACACAAAATTACACTATAACGATGTAGAAATGTAAATAAACAAAACAAAATCCTAATTTTGAACAAACTAAATAATCAAAGTTAAAATTGCATTAAGTAAAATAATTACAGTTATTCCAGGAACGTTTTAAAAACAAATTAAGTATTTTCGGCTACGGTATTCTTCATCTATCCTCGGCTTTGGCCTCCTTCGGCAGGAAGTTGAGGGACGCGGAATTGATGCAGAACCTCTTCCTAGTCGGCGGGGGGCCGTCGCCGAAGACGTGCCCCAAGTGGGCCCCGCACTTCGAGCACACCACCTCCGTGCGGATCCTGCCTGGTTGGGATATCAGGAGTAAGAGGTTCGAACCCACTAAATTCGGAAACGGGGACGATGGGAGGGCGGGAGGGATCGGGCCGTGGGGGAGCGTGTGCGATGCGTGTACAAATCAAATGATAAACCAAACCAAAATATGCGAAACGATCAAAATAAATAAGATGATAAACAGAAAATAGAATGTATGACGCGATGATAGAGGCACGGGGAGAGGAAGGAAGAGAAAACATTTAGAATTAGCTTTACCCTTTCTGCGATAAACGGACACACGCTATTTGCATTTACAGGCAGTTTATATTTACACGAAACATAAGTTATGAGCTGTAAAAATTTATCAAATTTAACAATATATTTATACATTTATACAATATACATTGAAGACCAAAAGTCCGTCGCCCCCCCTTTAACATTTGAATGGTAAGAGCTTTTTGTCGCGCAAATTGGGGTGTTTATATATTGGAGTAAAAATACTATTTTTTGACGTAAAAATGACAGTTGAAACTTTCAAAATGACAGTTAGGCGCCATTTTGAATCTTTTTTTCTTATGGAAAGGGAGGTCAAGTGACACCTCGTTTTAAAGGTAATTTCATTCTTAAGTCAACCTCCAAATTTGAAAACATTTTAATAATGCGTATTCACGTGAAGACCAATTTAGTTTTAACCCCGGGCATATTGATACATTTAAGAATTAATTCTGAACGTACTATAAAATGTGTCAATTAATTGTTGCTATGGTTTCTTGGCTCTGACATTTATTTGTCAAATTTAAAGCTGATGAAATTGACAATGGCTCGTCCTTTAAACGAAAAAACGACACATGGGTTATTTATAAATGCTCTATTTTGGATTCGTTTCAGAAGCTACAAGATTTTAATTAGAATCTAAAATAACCAAAAGATTTAAGACAAACAATAGAACATGATGCAATACCATTAACCATTACAAAAATAACAAGATACAATCCCACTTTATCAAAACGAAAGCATAAGTACCCATAATTTTATGTTAAATAAGCCTGAATATACTCGATGATCATGAATAGAAAGAACAACATATACTACAAATATTTGATTGTAACATTTTATTAAATTAATTTCGTGTAAATATTTTAACAAAGCTAGACGTGTTAGTTAAGCTTCTTAGTTTCACCAAAACACCACCAAACACAATACACACGGATTAGGGATTTATTAGGAATGTAAGGACACAAACGACAAGTCACGAACTCAATAAATGTTAATTATTGTAACATTTGAATTCTTGACTTGCCCAATAATTTCATCAAAGTCAGTAATCAGAATTTATACGATTTTATTCGATTATTGATAATATAGGTCATTATCCGGTCTAAATTAGGTGTATTCCATTAAAAAATATAAAAATTAAACCCGACCAAAAATTAAATCATTTCTAAAAATAAAGTGCGACATTTCTAAGAAAAAAAAATCACAACAAAAAAATAATTTTGAAGTTGTGATCATAAAAGATTCAAATTATATTCACGACTGCATCCCTTCCGGGACACGCTGTATATAAAAAAATGCAACTTCCATAAACAACAACCACCCGTCAACCCTCACGAATTCACATCCAGCACTCTCTCCCAGCTAAAATCTTCATAATCCGCCAATCGCACGATTTTATCCTCGAACCTCTCCAACAGTTTCTTAAACGTCGAGAACACCATCAGCGTTTTAACGTCGCCGACGACGAGCAACTTGTGCTTGGCCCTCGTCATGGCCACGTTCAACCTCCTCTTATCCTCCAGCAAATCGTGCCTGCCGGGCGCCGCGAACGCCGCGACGTCCCTCGAACAACCGCACGAGTAAATTATCACGCCCTTGTCCTTCCCTTGGAACTGATCCACCGTGTTCACGTCGATCGAGTACGGCCGTAGTACCGCGTCGAGCTGCTCGACTTGGTGCCGGTACGTCGCGATCACTCCTACATCGACGGAATCCACGCCCGCGGCGAGTAAAGCTCTAACGATTCTGACGATAACGCCCACCTCGTGGATGTTTATGAGGGTTTTGGAGCCATCATCGTCGGTTTTGTAGCGCTTGTTTATCTTCCAAGCGGCGTTTTGCGGAAGGTTCCACACCGGACCGGTGTCGACGAATTGCACGGCTTCTTCGATGGAACCGTCGAGCACTTTCGAAATCCAGCTGGCTTCTCCGCGAAGCTCCAGCGAATTCGCTTTGATGGTGGCGTTCTCGATCGCCTCGTTCGCTACCTTCAACTCCCCGTTGTACGTCAGACAGTTAGCGAAGGATGTTATTGTTCTGTTCATTCGGTAGTTAATGTTCAAAGCTATGGCGGCGTCGGGTCTGTAGAGCCTCTCGAACAGGCTCTCCGCCATGCCGAGCTCCTTGGCGGTGTTGTTTTTAATGACGGCTGGTAGTTGATCGGGATCGCCTATCAACACGAAGGTTTTGCAGGAGTACAGGGGGCGTATGATGGCGCTTTGGAGGACTTGCGTGCTTTCGTCGACGATGCAAAAGTCCAGGGAACGCTTGGTCAGAACGGGGTGGCCGGAGGCGTAGCAGGTCACGGCCAGGATCCGGGCGCTGTTGTACGCGGCCTCGTACTCCTCGGGCGTCGAGCAGTGTTTGGTCAGATTGTGCTCGGAGTACTGCAGCACGTCTTTGTGGATTTTAGAGTCGGCGCCCAAGCGCATGAATTTAACGCCGCGTTTTAGGAGCTTCAGGCAGACGTTGTCGACGGCCGAGTGCGTGTGGCTGGTTATCAAAACGGTCTTGTCCAGCTCGATCAACAGCTGTATCAAGCCCACGATGGTGGCGGTTTTGCCTGTGCCGGGCATGCCTTTGATCAGGAAGTACTCGTTGGCCGTGATCGCCTTCAGCACGGCTCTTTGCTGGACGAGATTTAGGGTTTTCAGGATGTGCTTGCCTTTGCTGGCGATGATTTTCGGTAGGGTGGGTTTGAACGTAGGCGGCGCTTTGTCGATGATCGTTTTCCTCAAATTGTCGGCCTTCGGGGTGTTTTCGAGCAGCAAAGCGAGGCTGCTGAATTGGTACGTTTGTAGTCGGCCCGATTCGTAGGTGTCGATGGTGAATTTTCTGTTGGGATATTTCTGTTCTAAATTTTTATCTAAATTCACCACGATGGAATCGTGCGAGATTTTGCTAACGAAACCGCAGGCTACTGCGTATCGTTTCTCCGTGCTCACTATCACGTAGTTACTTTGGTAGATACCGCTGTTTAGAAAGTTAGAATTTGCATTAGGCTTGTGGAAAACGTGTTGTACTGCTTCTGCGGATTCTTCGATTACCAGATCTACTTCTAAATTAGTAAGACATCTACCCCTTACTTCCCGTTCTTCTGGAGGAATCAAAAAAATATCCTTAGCCTGCTTTACGGAGGATTTAAACTCGTTCTCTTGGCTCTCCATAATCAACAGAGCGCTCCATTTCATGAAATATTCAATGTGGCTTTCGTTTAAATAATTCAACGTTTCTTGTTGGATTTTTTTAAGGTGTTTCCTGTTAGTTAGGTCTTCGTTTGTGTAGTAAGAATACGCCGCGCAAATGTTATTGTAGGAACAATTCGAGCAAAAATGATGATCTATCGGTTCCGGCAGGACTGGTGGAAGAAACTTATCGTTACTTACAGTCGATGAATTCGTTATGTAATAGATGAATTCGTTTCGGAGTTGAATTAAATCGGTTTGTTCGTGATTCGAAGCGGGTATCTCCTTCAAAATTCCTTCCTTTAAATACAACAGCAGCCCGGAAGTTGCGTTGTAGCCGATATTTTTTATCATAGCCAGATACAATAGTATTTGCCCGCGATGCTCCAAAGATACTCTAGCTCTGCCGGTTTTTATTTCGACGGGCATTGTTCGGCCTTCGGCCGTAACCATCGCATCGATTTTTCCTTTTAGACCCAATTCCGGGCACCACACGTTTTCTTCTATATCTTCTATTGCGTCTATTCTGCCTTTCCAGTTGTTTTTGATCGACTGCTTTGGGAAACCAGGTCGAATGTAAGTTTTAAGGAAATCTTCGATTCTCGGAATGTACTGATTCACTTCTTCCTCTAATGTTTCCATGGTGATATCGCATTCGTACAAGCATTTTATAACGCGTTTTTGATACATGTGTTTCTTAGAAATTTCGATTAGCTCTTTTGTGTTGTTTATGTCGTTTTTCATTGCTTCTTGTATGATGCTATGCACTATAGAGCCTACGAGCATAGCTTGATTTGTGGATTCGAAGCCTCTGTATCTTTCACTGAGTATGCTCTTTCGTTTACACCATAAGAAACTTGTAATAGTCGTTGATGGTATTAGAATATCCGGTTCTAGGACGATCAACCCGTGCTTGTTATTTACGACCCATTTGCCTTCGACAATACCGGCTGTCATGTAAAGAATACTATCCACTTTAAATTTCGTGTACATCCACAAGCCTTCCACGTAGCACAGACCTTTGTGCTGATTTTGTAAGGATATCAAAGTGAGGAGAATCTTTGATTGTAAATGGGATATTTCGAGCACTTTGCATCGCTGAGGCTCTGTTAGTTCTAGAAGGTTTTCTTTGGATAACTCGAAGGTATCTTCCCAATCGCTGAAATCGATATCCGTAAATTCCATTTCTGTTATATTTGCTTTTTTGCTAAAATTGATTACTTAACGTTATTAAGGAATTTTACGTGAATTTTTCGTAAAACAATTACCTGTGAACTACTTTTTGAGAGTTATTACGGTGATCGGAGTCATTTAAATTCCTGTTTAGAGAGTCAATTAATATTCCGGTACCCTTCATGTTATCTTCTTTATCAAGTGTACTTAATATTATACCTCGTGCTTTTTTGTATGGTGGGCTAGTTTCATTTTGGTTTTCCTTACGTTTCTTTATGATAATATCCGCGCAAAGTGCAGGTTGATTATCTTGCTTATCACTTTTTCCGAAGGCGCATAGATTTATATTTTCCGAATTTTCCAAAAAGTGTTCAATCGTACCACTCTTGTTTTCAGACACTGTCTTGGTGTTTAATTTATTTTTGTTCATTTTATATAGAATATGTTTGTTGTAAATGCAAGATATTTTTAAGATCTATCAAATCAACGAAGCCCGCCAATAAAACTTGAAACGTCAAATTTATAGGTTATGTTAAACAAATAAAAAAGAAATGTACTCTTACTCAGTGGACAATTGGTTAAAAATTGATAAGATAAATATGAAAATCCGTTTGAGAACTAATGGGCCGAATTTTTAAACGAGCTTAAACCGAATAATACACAATATATAACTTTCTGATTACTGAAAATACTGCAAATGAAAATGTGATCTAATTCTCTATATGATCGCAAATTCATATTGTAATCAATCAATAAATACCTCCACTAGTGTCGGGTCTTAGCTTCACTTTTCCTTCGTCTAGAACATCATTAAACGCAGGCCATCCGCATTGACTATCGTACTTAGTGTCCGAACTAAATAAATGTTGTTCGCAAACTACACAAACATAAACCCCTTCGTTGTAGGTCTTATTGTAACAACCTAAGTATTAAATAAGTTAATGAGCTAACCACATTAATCAAATAAGAATAAATAAACATACCACTGTAGGGCCTTTCCGTTCCCTTCTCCTGGGTTACATGATATTGTAGAGGGGTCAGCCTTTTTCTCAGTTCCTCCTTGTCAACTTTGAAATCTTTGTCCATTTTTACAGCTTAAATTACAATGATTGTGTTAACATACACAACAAACGCTGAAGTAAAATGGTGTTACTGTGTCAAGAACATACTAGAACGAGTGCAATATTACGTCGCACGCGTTAAACTGCTCGACAATAATTTGTTAATAGCGCAGTTATTTTTGACTCACCTCCAGAATGGATATAGGATACGAATTTTTTACGATTGATTGAATACAAGCGATTAGTCCCAGCCTTTTGAATGTTACGTAATAGTGATAACATTACATACAGAGCATATGCTGAATTAAAATATATTATGGTTGTCCCTTCGTGATTTATTATTAATATATTGTTTTTGATTTTTGGAACATATTTACGAATTCCATTTTTATAGAATTAGTAATGACACTAATGACTGATAACATGTGTAATGTGAAGTTTGAAATTTTTGTCGCTTTGACATTTTTATTAATGCGGCCTTTACTCAAGTTGTTATTGAGCCAGAAGGTTGATTAAAATTTCACTCACAGACAGTAGGCGTCGTAGTTTCTCAACGAACCAGTTCATAAAGTTTTAAAATAACTAAATCGAAACACAATTGAAGATAAAATTGTATTAAAGGAATAAAATTCACCAACAAAAATCATCATTACAAAGAAAATATATTACAATTACTAATAGGTAAATATGAATACTTAAAATAGTAACTTATATACAGAATTCACTCGTACAAGTAGACTCGCTAGTACTTGCTCTTTACATAAGATACCCCCACACGTTTACGCCAAGGTATCAATTTCCACCATATATAACAATGTCAAGACAGTCAAGAAAACAAAACTCCATTCTAAACGCGAACGTTTCGATCCCCCTCTTCAACGTTATTTCCTATTCGAAGGCAGCAACAACTGCGTAGTCGTCATAGCATCAGGAAACAGCGAATGGTAATTCAAAAGCGGCACGTACGCCGCAGTAATAACCCGCCCTGCAAACCATCGACCGTGCAAAGTGTTCACCGAAGCAACGGCCGTCGCGATCGAAGGACACTTAACGTACACATTTCCTTGCGGTGATCCTTTATCAACGTACACGTGCAACACACCTCCGTGTTTATTGCACTCTTCTATCACGTCGTCTCGAATCTCCACGTCCCAATTTTGATTCGTTTCGCTAAAAACAATAACACCATTAATTCGATTCAACTACAAACGATTAAAAATAAACATACGTTGCGGGATCAAACATATTGCTCAACATGAAACATTGCGTGGCGATCGGCGGCGTCGTATGCGTTTGTACTTGCGGTACGACGGGCTGACCGGTCGCCATACTCAGAGCATTGGCGGCGGCTTGGGGCACCTGCATACCCGCCCCTTCGGCCAATTTGAACATCAATTGTAGCCGACCCGTCGCTCCCAAATCGATGCCGGATCGGTCCAGCTCGTCCGAATCCAAAATCGACGGGCCTTGTTGCTGCAGGTCCAAACGTTCCGTAACGTTACCGACTTTCATCGGCCTACCGGCCAGTTCGAATCCGTTGAGCTGTTCGAGAGCTTTTTTAGCGTCGTCGCAGTTGTGGAACTGAAAACAAAAGCGTTCATTAACATTTAAAAATTTTGTAATTAGATGGGTTAACTTACTGTGATGAAACCGTATCCTTTGGATCGACCCGTTTCAGGATCTTGTATTAGTTGAATGCTATCGATTTTACCGAACGGCTCAAATATTCCCCTCAACATATCTTCTGTAATGTTGAAGTGCAGCGAACCAACGTAGAGCCTCATAGGACCGGTCATGCCTTTGGGAAGCATATTCGGCATGGCATTTCCCATTCTATTCTTCTCCGCTTGAGTGTGCTGCACGATTATAGGAATGCCCAAAAGTTTTTGTCCGGACAAGCCTAAAGCCTAAAAAAAATATTCAACTTTAATGATATCATCCAACATCCGCGACGCACAAACTAATTACTAAAGAGAAATATATACTCACCAGCGCCACACTTTCGGGATCTTTAAATTCTATGTAAGCGATACCTTTGAATCTTCTAGTCTTATTGCAAACGATCATTCTGACGTCTCGCACTTTCCCGACGGCGCTGAAGAAATCTTCCAAATCGCGGGCTCTGATCCGTTGCGACAACTGCATGACAAACACCGTTCGAGCGTCCCTTTCCTCGGGACTCAGCTCTTCCAAAGGCGAGGCGCCCCTCAAGCCGAGCGGAGAGCGATTTCTTTTAGGAAACTGAGGTTTAACTGAAAACGATAATTATTAATAAGGCACATGTGTACAATAATAATTCGCAAACTCTTACCGGGAGGAGACGGCGACCGTCTTTTGGGACTGGGCTTGCGTTCTTTGCTTCTGCTACGTCTGTCTCGTCGCCTTCTGTCTCTGGATTTGCTGCGCCTGTCCTTCGATCCGCTGCGTTTGTCTTTCGAGCGGCTTCGCTTGTCTTTCGAACGAGACCGTCGCCTGTCCCTCGATCTTCTGCGTTTTTCGGGCGTCCTGCTGCGTTTTCTGTCCCTGCTGACGCGTCGTTTCTCCTTCGATTTGCTCCTCTTCGTGCGGCTGGCGCTCCTGCGATTCCTGCTCGTGCTGCGACGCCTCTTCCTGCTTTAAATAGAGAAAAAAATAACTCCCGTCAATTGTTGAATTTATATAAAAGCGATGTTGTACTTACTCGGCGGTGCGACTGCTTCGCAGGTCTCCATTTTCCTTGGATTTTCCATTGACTTCATCCTATGAACAGCAGAAAGTGAAGAGGGACCACCAAGGTGAAGAAAAACAAATAGCATTAATAAAGATCGAATAAATAAATACAACCTACCACTTTAATTATAATTTTAACGCAGTACTTTGCAAATCTACAATCATGCCGAATGCATTTGGTTATTTATTCTTAAAAGACGCTAAGAGAACACGAAATTTAAACGCATGATTGCAGATAATAGTGTGTGTTTTTTTTATACGCAGTTGACCGAATCATTGTCCGTTATATATTTGTTGTCGTTTTTCGAGGTTTGCTGAAAAACGCTGTCTAGCCGGAACTAGACTTACCGTCTGGTCGACTTAACAAAGGAACGAAGTGGAAAAACTTGATCTGAAAAAATAGACCCAGTAAGACCAAATTTCTAAACACATATACGCTGGTTTTTATATCCAGTTTCTCCGACGTAGGGTTTTGGTTCCGAACATTTACTACAAGGTTTTTAAATAAATCAAATGTTTGATGAGTTAGGAGGGAATGAGAATCAGTGGATTTGCAAGGGTACAATTATAACTAAGACGATTTATAATATTAACTATATCTCGTTTCAGACTGATCATTTAATTGAATTGGAGACTGAACAGTGAAGAAGTAGCTGAAGAGAAACTATAAGAAAAAAAATGGTTACTGTATTTCAGAGTAAGGACCGAAAGAGCATCGACAGATTGGAGGATAAAATTGTATTTAACTATTTGAAAAACCTTGTAGCAAATTTATTTAATTTTTTTCCAAAGGCCCTTCAAAAACCAAAACCCTTTCAACTTATCAAACGATTCAACACTTTGAACTAAAGACACACTTTAACATTTCTCTTTACATTTATCGTTATTTAATAGATGTTGAAAGATCTACTATTATCAAAAAAAATCCATTAATATTTTAACGAAAATCAGCACTAAATGAAAACTGAAAGCCAATTTCCTTAATGAAATGCTTCAAAATATCAAAACGATGACACAAGCTGTAAAATTATTAATTCTACCTTATAAATTTCCAGAAGAATGTACCTAGAAATAATTAAAAAAATCATAATTAAAACGAATTCCCTCAAACTTTCTTCAAATTTGCATACATGCATGAGATGTAGTGAAATTAAATCATCATAAGATATCTAAAATAGCTTAATAGGCGATCTTTCAACAATTCTAAGAGAAATTAAGTGTACGCTTTAATTTAAATGAAGTATCCGTAAGTTGTCCTTTGTTGTTAATTAAAGTATTTTCGTTTTATTACATTCCAAACTCCACCTCGTGATTTTTTTGTGCAGAAAGAGACCAATCGGATGATTGGCGTACGGGACAGGGACCTTGCTATCTGATGTCCATTACAGCAACCCTATGACGAGAAAGCAGCTATGAGCTCATGTGATCACATACTCAAATATATTATTTTCCGATTTTATAGCCTAATTTAAGTTAAGAGTAGCAATAAAAAAAGTATGCCAATTTTCTTTTATATTAAGACATCAAATCCCTAAATACGTTAAAATAGTAACTTATTGCTAATTATGTATCAGTACCTGTCTGTTGAAGGAGCCGAAAGCCCGAAAAAAACCTCATAAGTCTAAAATATAAAATTAGGATGTGATGTAAATGTTGTTACAAGTTATTTCATAAATACTTCAAGCATTGCAAATTGCAGCAGCCATTTTTTTTTCAAACATTGGCCAAAAATGATCGCGAGCTTTGCCGTTTGCAATGCTTCTTAAAATAGCACTAATAATAAATACGAACCACTTAAAGTGAACTAATTACTTACATCTTTTCTAAACGGAGCTTCCAGCATAGCCTCTACATCCAATTCTTCGGCCATTTTGCTCTAGAAAAATTACTTTGATGACAATACCGCAAACCCACACACTTCTGATATACCTACTTTGTAAGGACGGTTTACAAAGGTTTATGAACGATTTGAATTGAATAAAAATTGAACTAATAAATTAGATAGGCCTCGAGTATAAATTATAAACGAAAACCTACTAACAACGTACACGAATAATGGCTGGGCAATTAATGGCGAACGAAACGACGTAGACGTAAATGACTTTTGATTGATTGGCATTGTGATGTCATAAAAGCAAAGGAAACGGCTACTGCGCAAAAGCGTCAAGTGCGTTCAGTTTGTAAATAGTTAATGGGAGGAAATCTCCAGATTTTAAGAAAAATTGAGTGTAAAACTAGCCGATATTGTTTATTTAAATGCTAATTATACATTCGATAAACGAATAATAACGTTGAATCGATCAAACAAATCAATTGTTCGAACGCGTAAGAAAGTTTTTGACATTTGTGACAACTGACTTTTGACATATTTGGACGTTGAGCCATTTTAATTTTCAAAACTGTGTAGACTACACATCTAAACCTGTTTGTAGTAGTGAAGAAATAATTCTTTTGTAGTATATGTTGATTTAACTTTAAAATTATCTACGCCATGTTAAATTCAAAGAAAAGAAGTTCCGCTGCATCTACACAAAATGTGAAAGTAGTAGTAAGAATAAGGTAACTATTTTTTATTGTAAATTTCATGCTCTTTGTTTAGTTTTTGCTTCACAACATACTTTTTCATTGTTCAACAGGATACCGCACGCTTTACCACATAATTTATTTTACCACAAAAAGTGTATCCCCAACTTTTTGGGATAGTCGTAATGAATGATCTAAAAGTTTCATATTATAGTTTCTCTCTAAATAATTTATTTATACAAGTATCTTCTCTTTTCACCTAAAAATACATTTTTGCAGACCTCTGAATCCACAAGAGTTAGATGATCATGTGAAGCCTATTTTGAAAACTCACACTCATAAAGATTTGTTCTTGAAAGAGAAAAAATATACATTTGACAGGGTATTCAAGTCATCTGCAAGTCAGCCCGCTCTTTACAATAACGTTATTGCTCCACTGATTCCGGATGTAGTCGAGGGCTATAATTGCACGGTTTTCACTTACGGCCAAACCGGTACAGGTAAAACTTATACCATGACCGGAGACAAATGTAACTTGCAAAACAACTGGAAACAGGTACATCAATTAATTTTCAATTGTAAATTGCGTTGTTAATTCGTACTTGAAATTTTCTAGGATCCTGATGCCGGTATTATTCCAAGGGCAGCTTTTCATATTTTCGATGAACTGAACAATAGGGCAAATTATAATACAACAAACGTAACGATTTCTTATATTGAACTGTATAATGAAGAAATTCGCGACCTTTTGAGCGACGATCAAGGATTTAATGTCCTACAGTGAGTATTTAAGAACAAGGGTTTTTTGTGAATTATATCTATCGATTCTTTTAGAGTATTTTCGGATGTGAAAGGCAACGTTACAATACCTGGATTAAAGGAGTTTACAGTGGATAGTGGAGAAGAAGCGTGCAAGCTCCTGCAAAAGGGCATTTTAAAACGCCAAATGGCTCCGACTCTCATGAATCACCAGAGTTCCAGGTCCCATACTGTTTTCACTATCACAGTGAATACTCAAGAGAGCACCGATTCCGGTGATGACATAATAAAAACGGGTAAAATTAAATTGGTCGATTTGGCTGGTAACGAGAACATTGCTAGATCAGGTTGTAAGGATATGAGAGCGACCGAATTGGCTAATATCAACAGGTAATATTATTTATAAACATTCAATATTTAAAATTCTATTCAATTTTTTTGTTTTAGATCTTTATTGACATTGGGCAGGGTTATTCATTCTTTGGCTGATAAATCTCAAAAGCATGTGCCCTATAGAGATTCAAAGTTAACGAGGATTCTTCAAGATTCTTTAGGAGGATGCACGAAAACTGTTATAATAGCTACAGTGTCTCCTGCACACGCCTATTATGAAATTACCCAGAGTACGCTAGATTATGCAACCAGAGCAAGGGACATCACAAACACCCCGTTAATAAATGAAAAGTTAACGAAGCATCAAATTATTGAAGAGTTAACGAGCGAAATCGAGAGGTCAGTGCAATAATTCGCTCTTTAATCGTTTAGAAATAATAATTTTTATATTACAGATTGCAGAAAGATTTAGATGCAGCAAGAAGTGGCACGGGTTTTTATGTCGATAAAGAAAATTATCAAAGAGTATTAGATGCCGTTATGGCTATTACCGGAGAACCGTTAACATTGAGCGAAATGGCGAATCGTAAAGTCGAAAGAATAAAAAGCTTAGGTAAGTATATTAAGTAGAAATTTGTCAAACAAAAACATTAAATCTTTACGTTGCAGAAGTAGTATTGCAATCTAAAATTAAACATTTCGAGGAGACCGTTATACAGTGTAAGCGACACAAAGAAGAATTAGAAACCGCTAAAGCCCATCTCAAGGAAAAAGACAATCTTATAGAGCAGGAAATGTACCTTTCCAAGTGGTACGAAGATCAAACGATGCAAAAATTAGAAGAAGCGCAACATTTGTTGCAAACAACAAAGCAGCTCAACAGCGAGAAGGAGATTCTGTTAGCTAAATTGGAAAATATGTTTGCTCTTAATACGACTAACGACACTGTCATTAAACAAGCTGTGGTTAAGGCGAATAATATGTGTGATAAACTCGAGAAAGGAGAGAGCGCAAGAATCGGCTTGATGCAGAAAAAGTGTAACCTAATCAAAGATGATTTATTGAGTTTGCCTAAAACTGTACAAAATTCGACAGATTCGCTGAAGGCCAATAGCAAAAGTTGTGATACTAAAATCAGGGAAAGGAAAAAAATTCTTTTGTCCGGTGTACAACAGTCTTTTGACGCGATCAGAAATAGTGCTGTAATTTCCGGTACTGTAATTGCTGATTACGATCGACATTTAAACGAATTTAATAATTCAATTTGTCAACTGGCGGATAATTGTAAAAATACTACAAAATCGGTAAGTTGAATTTCTTTTACACGTTTCTTTTTTTAAATTAAATTTCTTCTAGTTTCTTGATGAAACTATGACGGAATTGAAGAGAACAAAAGCTTCACATGACGACATACTATACAGTTGGGAAAAAGATATGTTGACGAGCATACAAGAAGATGAGAATCACATTATCACATTAAAGAAAAGGAGAGAAGAAGACAAGAATCACCTTGCTACAATTATGAAAAGGTTAGAAGAAGATGAGAACCAGATTATTACATTTAGGAAAAGAATAGAAAAAAATAAAATATTGTTGAACAATATAAAAAAACCCAAAGACACATTTTTAAACATGGAAATAAATGTTAACATGAGCTATGCAAAATCTGCTAAAGTAGTAAGTTCTACTCTGCACATTTGAAAATTTATAAAATTTAACGCTTATTATCTTCTAGTTGGACAACTCCATCGGACTTCCAGATTTGATAGAAAGTCATAAAAATAATGTTCAAAATTTTTTAACAACCGTTAAAGAATTTGATAGCAAATTGTCTGATTTGGCCTCATTTATTGATGATGAATGTGAGACAGTAAGTAAACTGCTAATCTATTGAAGAGTACATTTTAGTCTTACTATTACGATTTGTTTTCAGTTAACAAAATATTCAATGAACGAATTGACTGAATCCATTCTAGACTCTTGCAATGATATGCAAAACGATCTGGAAGACAAAGTTAAAAACCTAATCAATGACATAAGCCTAATAATAGATAGTACCAACGTTCAGAGTGAATCTTTTAAAAAATTTGCTATGGGTATTAAGCAAGTGAGTAAATTTTCATTTAGTCAAGAAAACACAAGCAATAATAAACATGTTTCCAGACTCTACAAGAACAAATAATGGATAAAAGTATTAAACCACGTCACGAGGGAAATACTCCTATGCGGAATTCAACTTCAGTTCCCTTAAAAATTAAAGACGTAACCCCAAGAGATGCTTTGTTAGCTAAATTTAAGGAAATTGTAAAGGATCAACTTGAAAAAAATGACGTTGAAATTGATGACGATAGTTCAAGCAGTGCTTCTAGTGATTTTTAAAACGCCGTTCCCTCTACATTATTTTATTTTATTCACGTATAGATTAAGGAACATGTAAATATAATATAGTATTTCAAGTGCAACAAAATTCTTTAAACGAAAAGTTACTTCACTTATTTTTATATAAATTTTGAGAGTTTTATAAAATATAATATACATTCTACAAAGTGTGTACAATTATTTAGCGGTAATTAATATCTGGTATGTTTTGTTACAACTCCAATAAACAAATAATCAGTTTGTTATTAACAGTATATGTTAAAAATAACTATTACCCTTCTAAGGACTGAATTTCCATGAACTTTTTTCAATAACATGGCTGAAGTTAGCGTCGAATCAGCTGAATATTCAAATATTCTTCTTGTAAGTTACTGCCTTTTTTAGTAGGGCTATTCAGGCCATTCAATAACAATGTGGATTTTCACAATGATTTAGGAGTAATTTCATTCATTCTAGCAAATATTCTCTTCCTTGACCGAGAGCTTCAATATTGGCAGGTATTCTTTCAGTATCATTACAAAATTATTACGTTGCGATTTTATGTTTAAATTTGGCGGCGTCCCTCTGACATGACGTCCTTATTCTGATTGGTGCTCAAGTACATAACTAATTTTAATTGGTCAGGTTGATTTGATTTTCGACAATTCGTTAAGTTGACATGTCGGTGTCGGTTGGTTTTATTTCGAAGAAGGAAAACGCTTGAAGAGAATTGAATATTTTTTCAGTGGTACGTAATAGGCATAATAATAACCCTTTATAGAGTATAATTTTATCTTTTTTACACATTACTATTATTTTTTTAGAAAATGGGCGACTTCGAAGTTCGTCAATCCGAATTTCCCAAAGCAGATGAAACTATAAACTGCGGAAAACTTGAAAATTTATACGAAGTAGTCACTTTGACTAGTTTTAAATGCGATAATGAAAATATTACAGTAAGTATGAAGATAGCACTTTAACTATACTAAGGATTTTTAATTAATTAAGTGCAGGACAACGATTCAATGCTTGCATGGTAGGGATGTTATTTATTGTATCCCAGTTTATTTATTTAAGTTATAACAATATTTAAATGGTTTGTTTATAAATTTATCATGTGGAATTAATCCCGAGTGACAATTTTCTATAAGTTACATTAGTTTAAAAATAAAGGGTTAGGAGATAGGTAAATAAAAAAATTTCTTTACAGGATGTTGCTGTAAATTCCACAACAAAAAATGGATATTTATATTTTGCAACCAATAATATTCTAAAAATATGTGATGGGCAATGTTTTTCGAACGTTATATTTAACAAGTCGTTTAATTCCAATATAAATAATTTATCGGTTTCTTCTAATTCTCCGTTTGTGGCATTGGGTACAGAATCAGGACTCGTCGAATTGATATATTGCAATGAGTATCAAAATTCTTCTATCTTTTCAAAGTGAGTAATCATTTGGATTATTTAAATTATCTTAAATTTTAATACTTTTGCTCATTCCAGATGCTTATTAGAAAACTCTGTTCCGCAAAATGTATTTGCTGAAGCATTTATATTAGAAGATGATTTGTCTCTCGTGGATAATTTTTTAGTAATATACCAAAGTGGCAATATATTCAGGTAGGCTTTCACACAAACATATCCCGAAAAGTTATTTAATATCATTTTCTACTTGCAGAGTATCTATAAAGAAAGAAGATGAACACGGGCCTTTCCAATTTGATGTTAAAGAACTGTTTAGTTTAAATTCTAACATAAATTTATCAGCATTTAACTTCCCTTTTGTTTCTACGAATGGGACAAATGGGACATTAAACATATTAAATGTCCACACAAATGAGAGTATTTTTGAAGATAATTTACAGTTTAAGAAGATTATGCCTTTCAAAAGGTATAGCAGGACTACCTAATAAGTGTGGTGTATTTGTTTCTAAATTTTGTACATTTTTTAGGGGATTTCTGTGCTTGAATTTTGATGGATCATTAACGAAAATATGTAGTCTTACGCTAAAATGCTCGAAAATTTATTACGATTATTTTTTGGACGATATTTTATTGTTGCAAGACGAGACAAAAATTCTCACTGTTACAAAGCCAAACGAAATTGGAGATTATTTCTTGCAGTTAATCGATACAGGTAAAATTTTTTATATACAATTTTCACTGATTAATCGTATAATTTTATAGACTTCAAGGAAATATTTTCGTTGAAATTGAATTATCCTGTTCATTTGATAAGCACAAATTCTACAGAATACGATATCATGTTCATGTATTATATCATTGATAATGAAGGAAAATTCATCGAATTCAATCTACAGCAGGTATATGAAACTGATCACGAATCAAGATACTCAAAACTCATCTCTATGGGAAGGTTCGAATTTTACTGATTGTTAATCTTAAAGGTCTTTTATATACGAAAGCTTTTTCTAGATTCGATGAAGCTGAAGCTTTAGCTAAAAAATACAATATTGATCCTTCGTTTATGCTAAAGGCCAAAGCTCAATTGCTTGTCGATAAAACTGAATGCAACTCGGATGACATTAGCAAATTAATCAGTTTGATGGACTCCATTTACGACGGTCCATTTAAGTTGCAATGCTGCAATAAGGTCGATTTTTCTCAATTCAGCGATGTTAAAAGGATATTGGAATATGGCTCAAGGATTCAACTGAACTCGAGAGTATGTTTACATATTCTCTATTCTTCAAATTTATTTTTACATAAGTCGATACATTGGATTGTTTGTTTGCAGGAAGAAAAAAAGGAGCAAATTTTGTATTTAAAAAATACCTTAAACGAATTGCTGTTTAGATGCACCACATTTACTGCTTTATCCGGTAACAACAAGGACATACAATCTTGGCTGAATTTTTCTCAGTGTAATTTATTAGACGAGATCAAACATTATCTAAGAAATGTAAGTTTCTTAACTAGAAACGATTCGTTTCATCTAATTTTATAACATTCTAGCAACGTATTGAAGATGCTATATTACTATACAGTAGGCTGGATCAAGCTACAACCAGAACGATAAATCAAGATTTTGTGAATGAAATTTTGAATATTTTTAACGAGGTAAAGTATCAAATGATTGAAACTTTTTATGAACTTTAGATTTACCCTCTTAAAGATGCCATTTAGGTAACTAAGAGAGTCATTTATGAATCCCCCGTTCAGTATTAATTTCTGAAAACAGATTCGTATTTATGCAGTACAATTTTCAGTTCCAATGGGAATTGTATCAGCCCTTTTTGCCAGTGTTTATCCTGACGAGCGCGATAGAATGTCCATCAATAGTAACAGCGGTCAGTAATTGGCTGTGTAATAAAATACTCGCAATGGAAGCGAAAAGAAAAGATTTCTGCGAGTACGCGATAAAAATCGTTCGTTACGTTATCGAAATTTTCATCGGTTTGGAGCAATCGAACGAAGAGGATTACCATCAGTTAACGCACTGTCTGCGAGGTTTGAAAATCTTGCGGAAGCTGAAGAACGAATTCAACGTGGGAGTGGAATTGATAGATTTCTTAGAGGTAAGTTGTACAATAATGTTCGTACTAATCTAACGGTTATTGGTCGTTTTCAGGGTCCTCAGGCGTTTGTAAGCACCCTATTGAATCTACCGCTGTCGCCGGAAACCTACGAAAACGTTTTGAAAAAATTCTGCCTGTCGTACATGCTGCAACACAAAATAGACTGCAACGAGATATTCGAAGAGAAAATATCCGAGCATCTGATCGATTTCGACGTTAAATGTCTGCCCTACGTGGACATTTTACTGAGTCACATCGATTCGGTAGATGTTGTGATCCAATCGGTTTCGGAAATATTGTTAAAAGCGCCCGTTCCTTGGGCTGGTGAAGTTAAAGCTCTGGCGTATCGTACGATGCATAACTATCGGGGCACGGAGAAGATCAAATACATGTTAGCCAACGAAGTTCCTTATTCGGTTATAAACAATCCTAACTATTCGATAGATTTCAGAGACGGGGTAAGTTTCTATTAGCTACGTCTGTTGATTACATATTCACAAACTGTTTTCAGTTCGACAACGTGATCAACGGAATGATTGCAGTGGGTGTACCCGAAGTAGTAGATGATATATTTAAATTATGTGTGGTCGATAGTGAATATGTTACAGCCACTCTAGTATTAATCGATCACTTTGTTTTGAAAAAATGGTAAGGATTTCTGTGGTTGCGCTTTATGATGTTAATGACAATGTAATTTCAGTGAAATCAACGAAGCCCTTTCGGTCCTAAATAGGAACAAACCGGATGTAATCGAACTGTGCATCGAAAAGATCATTTTGAAAGCCGAGCTTGCTTTTCAAGATGGGGTAAGTCGAATCGTCCGAAGAAAACGCGATTTACTATGAAACATATTTAAAAAATTGAGTGTATGTTTCTTACAGATTTTTGTAACGTCGCAATTACGCAATTACGCGACTTTCTTGGAACGGTTGTTGGAGAAATTTCCGCATGTGGACGACGGGGAATCTTCCATACGAGAAATCGTAGCTCTGTTTTGGATCAATAAATATTTCAAGCTAAATTTGTCATATAGCGAAATTCAGGACAAGATGAATTATTTGAATATATTGGAAACAATCAGCAGAAGTTTGTCTATTGGTAAAACAAAACGTTTGCTATAAGAGTGTATATGTTGTGGGTAAAGTTAGATAAACTACTAAACCTAGGTTTACCCAAACATACACAACAACGAGTTAAAACTATCTAGAAATGGAGGTTCAAAAAATGGATGCTTTTAACTCGTCATAAAACACTTTGTAATAATCATTAAAACAATTAACTGTGTATATTTTAGATTCCGATTTCGATGAGATCCTCGAGCACAGCAAACGCATCGCTTACTACCTATCGAAAGACAAAGACGAAGTGCTAATGCAGCTCTGCGATTGCATCAAAAGGTTCGCGATTATAATAAAATCAGCCGAGTACATGTGCGCGAAAACCACCAGTTCGAAAAACCAATGCTTGATGGCGATGTTGATCCTGAAATATTTGGGTTACGTGGAAACCGAGCCGGTGAACACGACATTTTTCGATAGCTGCGATCAAACGCTGCCGATTTTCAATCTGTCGCCCGAGGGAAACGGGAAATTCGTCAACGCTTTGAAACTGGCGGAGAAACTCATCGGGGAAGCTTCGCTTCAAGACGACAAAGATTTCGTCGTATACGATGTAAGTTTCTGCGAACGAATGAATTGAATGAAATGATTGCAACGTTTTCGATTTGTTCCAGATCCTCATGTGGGTGCGTACTTGTTTCTATTTAATCAGGCCGCCCGATCATTTGAAATCGAACGTTATACCCAGCTCGACTGTATTGAAAACCATCAACGCCTGCTACTTGAGCTTCATCAAGATGAAAAGTAAGCGCGATTTTATACTTGAAATTCCTTTATTTACACACCTAAATCTTTCCAGAAACTTCATACGATTCGTATTCCGGATACTACAATTTCTTCGCTTCGGAAACCGATACAGACGAGGTCAGTTCATTTGCTGCTTCATTGTAAATCTTTCTGCAACCGAGCATTTACTTTTAGGACATCCACTCGGCTATAAAGCTTATACAATCATCGTTGGATGTATTTTTCCGCGAGAGCCAACATCTCACGTTGTTCTCATTGCTATCGACGCTGTCTGTTTATTTCGGTTATTCGGACAACGATGGAACTGCGAAATTCGAGGAGACTTACCAAGCTGCGAGCCCGATGTCCGAGTACAGTAGAACGTCGGAGGCCAAACGAGAGCTGGGTTGTAGTAAATTACAAGAAGGGAACACCGTCGTCGAGAATATAAAATTAATTCGTAACAAATGCATTCGGGAATTGATAAAAGTGATTGTGCTGCAAGAAAACATCGATACGGGTTTTCTGATCGATTTGTTCGATTTCTTCGATAAGGATTGTTACAAATATCTTTTTAACTGTTTGAGTACGTTCAAGAGGGATCCGAAGAAATTGGAGACTCTTTCTAAAGTGGGTAAGTTATTTTGTATCGGCTTTTTTTTACGTTTTATTCTAACGGCTTTTAAACGCTTTTCAGGTTTAGAACTTTCGGAGCTACACGGAAACAACAAAGGAAAAACCGCTATGGTGGCGACTATAATAAGTTGTAAATGGTGGAGGAAATACAGTGACATTCAAGAGAAAACTAGCTACGATGATTTCTTTAGAGTCAACGCTAAACTCCGGTTAAAAGTGCTGTTGGAATTGAACGCGATGCAATTAGAGGATATCCCCGAATATTGCCTCGATTACGAATTGGAACCGGAAGTTTGCTATAGGGAATATTTGAAAAGGTAAAGATTTATATTTTCGTACGTTATTTATTAATATACTTTAATTTCAAGCTTGTTAACAAACTTTAAAACCGAGTATGAAATAGAGGTAGACGATGAGGGCAAAAGGAAATTGATTATAAAAACTAGCATCGATGATTTTTTCAAGAAGTGTATGGTCGCTTTGGATTGTATCAAAGATAAACAAAAAATGTTCGATATTATGGAAGAATTGCTCCAAAAGGTAATTTGCTTTAAACTCTTCATTCATATTTAACTCTAGCAACATCTAACGGTTCATTAAATTTATTTTCAGCTAAACTTTTACTACTACGAAGTATTTATCACGATATACCGAATACTAGGTGCAAACGATTACAGTAAGGAGCTCGAGTTGCTAGACTTCTTGACCTGTTACTCGAGAATTAGAAGTCCCAGTCAGAGGGAAATAGACCAATGGTATGTCCTGCTATCGAATCCGGACGTTCAAATCTTGGATCCGCTTTCCGAGTTTCGCTTTCCCTATTCGTTTTTGCTATTTTCTTCGGATATATGGAGCATTTTGCGATCCGAAATCGGCCTGGATTGTTACACCGATTGGCTGTGCCTTACCAACCTGTTGAATGACTACTTGAAAATCGATGATATATGCACGTTCGCCGTAAAACAAGAGGTGAATAAAAATTGAATTTTACATTACAAAAGTGTATTAATTGATTTATATTTTAGGTACTACGAAAAACCGCAGATTACCCGCCATCAGAAGACTGGGTAATGTGTCCTAAATTGAACGATCTGATAGAGAAAGTGGACGAATGTCTTCAGAATATGAAGAATTTAGAAGTAGCAACAGCCACTGCTTACTTCCTAATGAATAGCATTCCAAATGGTACAAACGATTTTAAATAGGGTTATTAATTAATGACAAATTGCATGAAAAACTAAAGATACGATAAAAATAATAGACGTTCGATCAATCTAATGAAATGCTCGATATAAAATTTACCTGCTCTTGCAAAGTAGGGTAGAGTGGGGTAAGATAGTGTAGGAAAGGGTGGAGTAGTGTAGCATAGTATTTAGAGTGCACAGTAAATTAATTAAATCACAAATGACTGTTACAGGTGCAGACAAATTAAACGCGGCGAAATTGTGCGTGAAATACGCCAAGCAATATCGAAATCAGAATCCCGACGATTTCAACGCGAACGAAGCGTACGCTAAAATCGAAAGTAAAGTCAAATTCCTGTCGGTGTGCCGCATTCTGACGCTGCACAATTTAAACCGCGAGGACTATTTGAGCCAATACAATCAACCTGCTATCCTAATTAAAAGCCTATACGAACGAGAAAACGTCTCCAAAGCGAGCTTCGATGAGCTAGGTAAGAAAATCTACTCCAAAGCGGTCCTTTATGTACCTATTAATTAATTGTAGACATCAACGGCGCCGCTTACGAACTGGCTGAGTTCTTTAAACTCGACATTAAAGACCTGAAAGTGCATTTGCTGGAATTCTGGCTGTCGCAAAACGAGCACGATTCCGCCAACGATTCCTCTGGGCAACTCATCAGCGATGAGGATTATTTAACGAAGGCCAAATACCTTTGCAGGGATGGCGACCAGGACTATTGGGAGTTGCATTTGCTCAATATCGTATTGAACGAGAGCGGGCAGAATTGGCACTTGCGCGAGTCGTTGAAAGTGAACGCTGCTAAGTGTTTCTACGGGATAATGAACGAGGAAAGGATCGTCGAAATAACCAAATCGACTTTGCAAGAGTTTCGGTAAGCGATTTGTTCGATGTAAACGATCGTTATTAATTTGTGTTGTTTCAGCGATTTCATAAACAAACTGGAGTTGTTACGTGATTTGAAGTTAATTGGCATAACGTTAGATATGGATGGTTTGAAGAATACCAATAAAAGGGATTTGATTAAAAAATTGTCTCACATGGGCACCCATTTGGCTATTAAATGTATGGGTTCCATTTGTGTTATATACAATATAGAAAAATCGAAATACTGGGAGTATATTATTAATAGTTGCATCCGACTGGAAAAGGTAATTTAATTTAAACTCTGGTTGTTTTAAAATGGAGGGATTTGAAGTATAATATTTGTAGATTTCCGAGTTCAAAACGTACGTTCGTTTCTTAAGAAATCACTTGGATAAATCGTTCTACCTGAAAGCATGGCAAGTGATAGTTGATGAGGCTTTTAAAAAAATAAAAACTATGGATGGGGAGCAATTGGAAAGCAGTTTGGTCGATATTTTCCGTATGATTCAGGTATGTTAATGAATTACTGGAAAACTAATTTAACTAAATATTATCTACTTTTAGTCGTGTCCTGTAGCGTTTAATCTCAATTTTGAAAAATGCGTTAAAGTATGTTTAGAAATAAGAAAAGAGGAATATGTTAAGCAACTATTACGATATATTCCAGATGATAGCAAAACGCGCTTGACTCAGGTAACTAAATTATTGTTAAATAATATTGCTTTATATTTACAGTATTTTTTTAGCTTCTGGAGAACAATGTGACAAATAAACAAATGATAATAAATTAGAATAAATGGACTTGTAATAACCGAATGTTGTAATGTCATCACGCCAGAAAAATCGAGTTTGTAGTTTATTTTTATAAGCATACATGTGATATATTCGAAATAATTATAGTTTTTCATGGAAATAAAACATTAACTAAACCAAATATTTTTTAATCCTAGGCTTTAATAGTTGGGTAAAAAAATAAATTTTTATGTTTTTAAAATTGTGCCATTTATCGTGGCCTGATATTATCACAGTATACAGCCACATCAATGAAGTTAACTACGACTGCATTTGACGACCAAAACAAAAAACAACTGATTTCTATCAATCAGTTGTCATACTTGTCATATAGCAAAGGCGAGTTGAAAATGGTAAACTCAGGATTTTTTGAAAGACCGTGAAAAGAAGTTAAATGAAATAGAAACGATTTTTAATTTCACAAATTCTTAGAGGGACAATAGACTCGAAACAATATCAACATGAAGAAAAAGGTAAAATAATTGCATAATTTATTTTCATAATCTTTTATTTTTATGACTCGTAGGTACTACTTATGGGTAAAAGTGGCTCCGGCAAGACCAGCATGAGATCTATAATTTTTGCAAATTATATCGCAAGGGACACCAGAAGATTAGGAGCTACAAGTAAGTTTATTCACACACTTCATTTGCTTCAGTATTACATTATTACATTTTTAGTCGATGTGGAGCATTCCCATGTGAGATTCTTGGGCAATCTTGTCCTCAATTTATGGGACTGCGGAGGCCAAGAGGCCTTCATGGAAAACTACTTCGCCTCTCAGCGAGACAACATTTTCCGAAACGTAGAAGTCCTAATCTACGTATTCGACGTAGAAAGCACTGAATTAGAAAGGGACATGCACTACTACCAGTCCTGTTTGGAAGCCATATTGCAGAATTCCCCCGAGGCCAAAGTATTTTGCCTAATACACAAGATGGATCTCGTGGCCGAAGATCAAAGGGACATCATTTTCAAGGAAAGAGAAGCTGACATCATTCGCCTCTCCCTGCCTTTGATTTGCACCTGCTTCAGAACGTCCATTTGGGACGAGACTCTGTACAAAGCTTGGTCGAGCATCGTTTACATGTTGATACCTAACGTTAAGGAATTAGAAAATAGCTTGCACCATTTCGCTAATATAGTGGATGCCGATGAGGTTCTGCTCTTCGAGAAAGCTACCTTTTTGGTGATATCGCACTGTCAACGGAAGCAACATAGGGACGTGCACAGGTTCGAAAAAGTCTCGAACATCATAAAGCAGTTTAAGCTGTCTTGTTCTAAACTGGCTGCGCAGTTCCAAAGCATGGAAGTGAGGAACTCTGCGTTTGCTGCTTATATCGACATGTTTACCAGTAACACGTATGTGATGGTGATCATGAGCGATCCACAGATCCCGTCTGAAGTCACTTTGATCAACATTAGAAATGCTAGGAAACATTTCGAAAAATTGGAGAAAGTTTCCAACTCTGCTTCTAGCATCGCTCGATGAATCCCGTTGTAGTTCAACATAATTTTATTTAAATGTTAATTTATACATGTATTTTTTTTCAGTAAGTTTGTTAATGAATATTACTTAATGATATTTTTGTAAATTTGGATTTTCGTTATACAATGAGTACCTAATATATTTAAGAATGATGGATTTTGGCGGCTTTTTTGTATTCACAGTATTACAATTGTTGGAGAAAGAAAATGTTTCTTAAGAAATATTGAAAATTTCCCACAATTTCGAGTCATTCAGATAATTTAATTTATCCACAAAAATTTCTCTATAAACTTGCTAGTACTCGTAAATATAATTATACAAATTAATTGCTTCACTGAACTTTGTACTGACACAAAACGCTGGCAGATAAATGCGAATATGATACAAATAATTATTATTTCAAATAAACTAATTTTTCCTCAACAGGAAAAACAACAATGCTTTCAAAAAATTCACATTTTTCCACCACAAATCCCTCTACGAATTTCAGTACTCGTAAGTACATCCGTAAAGGTCATAACCATTCGTAATTAACTGAAACCTTGCGATACACCATTATTCGAAAAAACCAAACGAAAGTAAATCCATAAATGAAGTGCGTGTAAAATTTCCAAATTGACCCGGACTCGCGACCACTGATAACAGCAAATAGTCCCAGCGAAAACTCAAATTAGAACAGCCAATTTAATCCGAATCCAAAATGGACAAGTTATTGAAAGGCATCATGAAATATAGATGTAGCGTTAGAGAGCAAATGGTTAAACAGTTTTTACAAGTCAAGGACAATCCTACCGTAAGTTCAATAATTTATTCGGTATACTTCGTATTTATTAAATTTTAACGACACAAACACTGTTAAATTAGTCGGACTGTATTGTAATAAATTCGCCTAATCGTGGAAATAAAATTGATAAGTTTTTTATCTAATTCTACAGAGTGATTTCGATTTACTGCTTGTATACAATGGAAATAAATATTTTTTTATTATCTAAATAATAAGTTTTGGATTAGTTGATATTTTTTCTATTCAAAATAAAAATTATTAATTTAAGGACATTTATTTTTACAGCCCAAAGCTGTGTTTTTCACATGCATCGACAGTAGAATGATACCCAGTAGATTTACACAAACCAATGTAGGCGATATGTTTATTGGTAAGTTTAAGATTAGATTTCGATATTAAAGAATTCCAATGACCCACTTAAAAATTCTGTAATCATTATTATATTTACTTCTATTGTTGCGTCACACTCAAAGGAAGTAGTACATATATTATACATTTTTCTTTCAAATAAAAACCCAAAATTCACTCATAGTTATTTAATTTTTAGCTAGTATGAAACACATCCATTCTGCACTTTCCATTCTAATTAACTTTCATTTTTCTAGTAAGAAACGCGGGGAACATTATACCTCATTCGCAACATTTTTTTGACGAATTAACGACGAACGAACCGGCTGCTTTAGAGCTGGGTTGTGTGGTGAACGACATAAGGCACATTATAGTGTGTGGACACAGTGATTGTAAAGCCATTAATTTATTGTACCGGTTACAGGATAGTGAATTTGCCTCTCAGGTAAGACGATTTTTTATTAAGGGGATCCCCCAGTTGTCTCAGCTAGAGCTTAGCTCGCTATGTAGAAAGGGAATTTTGAGGTGTTCCAGGGGGTCATAATGGGCTAATACCATCCTGTGTAATATTACTGGACTATTTATCTTTAACAATATTTTCAGTCGATTCATTTTCCTCAATATTCCAATTTTCTACTAAAATTGATAGCCTTGTTAATTTGTTTATTAATTTTATTGCACTTATGAAATATGTAAGCTTCAAAAGAGTATACATACAGGTAAATATTTTATCACATTTTTTAATACCTACTAAGATAAATTTATAAGAAAATATGTGTAGTACAAATATTTTTCGGACATACTCCATCAGTCCATCTTGAACATTTCGGAACGACCTTATATTAAACTATCCATCATCCACGCGTCGTCATCGGAATTCTAAATTTCGAAAAACAACCTCGCGCTATTGTAACTGTAATAGAGCAGCCTAAACTCCTTCTCGTACAAAGCCACCTTCTTCTCGGTCAACACCAGCGCCTGCCTCAGCTTATTATCGCAGTTATCGGCGACTGCCATCTGCTCCTTGATCCTCGCCCTGTCCCTGCCGAACTTCCTCTGCACCGACTGGAACCAGTGCAACCCGTTCAACTTATCGTGCTGGTTCAAGATCTCGATGGCGTACGCCAAGCCCAAGGCGAACCCGTCGTCGGTGAACGTGTACTCGGCCCTGTTGCGCTTGCTCAACCGCTCCTTACAAGCCAACGAGTACTCCACGAAATTCACCGTCAACGGCGGTACTATAGCGTAGAAATTCTTCAAGTGTATGTTCTGCTTGCTGCGCAACACCGGCACGAACACCTTCACCAACAACTGGAAGTACTCCGTGGCGTCGTCCATGTTCTCCAGGTACAATCGCAACGTCTCCAACAGCGTATCGGCGGCTTGTTTGGCGAATTCCGGAAGCTCCTCATCGCCCACGACGCTCTCCAAAGCGGCGTTCCTGAGATCGGGGATGAAGCACGTCCCGTCGGCCAAACACCGCCTCCCGCCCGATCTGATCAACCTCACGTACCCCACGGCGTTGCCGATCTGCGTCACCGCTCGCCTGAACAGATCCAAGTAGCTCTCGCCCTGCTCGTTCAGCCCCAACTTCCTGATGCCGGCGTTGAACTTCTCGGCCCGCTCGTACGGGTACATCTGGCCCAGCTCCGACTTGCGCTCGCCGAAGAAGCGCAGATCTCGGATCAGCCGCGACTTGATCTGCTCGTCGTAGATGAACTGCGAGAACACGTAGAACTTGGCGCGCAAGAACTGATAGGTGAAGTTCACCGTGGTGTTCATGATGCCGATGCCGTGCGTGCGGATGGAATTCGCCACTTGCGATATGTTGATGGTGTTGAGGTGCTTGTTGTCGCTGCGCCGTTCGACGAACGCCTGCGAATTGAGGTTGTAGTGGTACTTGGCGACGAACACGTCGATGTTGCGCATGATCTCGAGCACGTCGAGGCCCTGTTCGAGCGTCTGTATGGGCAGATTGTCGTCGACGGTGTCCAAACCGTATTGCAAATGGGCGAGGCGGCGCATCTCGCCGTAGGTCTTCCAATTGTGCAACACCACCGACGTGAGGTTGTAGAAGACGGCGCTCAGGTGATGTTCGGCGTCGCTTTTGACGTTCTTGTAGCGATCGCGCAACGCCACCGGCCGGTACTTGTTGAAGTTTATGCTGAAGTAGTTCTCGAACGGATCCATCGGAGGTAGTTGCAGGTGCAGGTGCGTTTGCAAGCGCAGGTTCCTTTCTATGATCTGCTCCAGCGGGTTGTAGAAGTGTTCTTTGATCGTTCGATCGGAGGATTCGTTGGAGGAGTCGTTCAGGGCGTGCACCATCAAATAGTGCCGGGATATGTCGGATTTGGAAGATAGGATTTTGGAGAAATACACGGGTAGCATGTAGTTTTGGTGCCAAAATACGAAGGAACAGTCGCTGGTGGTTTTCACGCTGTCCGAGAAACTCATGATGGTTTCCAATTGCGATAAAACGTGCCTCATGTGCAATAGATCATTCGAATAGAGACCACTGGCGGAAAGAGCCAAATTCGCTATGAGAATACTCTTCGGAGTGGGGGCGGATTTTAAAGTCTGCTCGCAGAGATTCAACGACGATAGCACGTCAAGTTGCCGCTCGTTGTAAGACTTTTCCTGAGTGAATTGCTTCCTTATGTTACCCAACAACGCCAAGGCTTTATGCGAAAGGTGCTGCGTGGTGAGGAGGAATATGCACGTTAAAGACACGATTTGCTTTCTAAAAACCAACGGAACAGACTTCAGTATCTCTATCAGCTTGCATATCGATAGTAAAACGGATTTCTGAAGGGGCAAATTCTTATCGGCATGAACGTTCAACGTCCATTGCACTGAATAGCTGATTTTCCTCAGAAGCTTCAGACCGTCGGTGAAAGTCGCTACGATGTTTTGCAGTTCTTTTAATTTAATGTTGTTCCGATCTAACGCCGAGATTTTCTCCAGTTCTATGAGGAAGTAGCACACTTGCAGGCACAGCGCGCTGCACTCTTTCGGATAATTCGAATTTCTGATGCTGACTAAATTCAATCTGTGATTTTCGATGGCTCGCTCATCGATGTATTTGTGCAGGACGTTTAGGTGTTTCAATAGGAATTGCTCGGGGTACCACATGATGTTGCCGATCAACGTGCACGTCGAGTACTTCTTGTTGACGTCTAGAATTCGTTTTATTAGTTTCTTGTCGGTGCTTTCGAAAATGTTGAAGTATAGTACGACGAATATGTTCATTTTCAGCCAAATTTCGCGCGAGAATTCATCGTCTTTTTCCAATTCCGCGAGCATGGACGCAATGAACGAGTTAATCTCCTGGTTTAAGGTGCAATTTTTCAATTGATAGTAGAAGGTTTTGTCCTCGAAGCACTTTTCGATGACCCCTTTTAGAATGTGGCCCATTAGTAGATCGTTCTCAAAAATCTGTAGCATTTTATCCAACGATCTGATCTTATTTCTGTCGACTCCTAATTTATTCGAATGCGATTGGTTCCGAATGTATTTCCTATACCAAAACCAGTGGTCTTTTATTATTTGATTGTCCAGTAAGCCGTCCAATTTCAACAAACAAATCAACAAGTCGCCTATTTTGTGTAAAACTTCCGGAAACGCCGAGTAACTACCCGACGAATAAATATTTTTACCTAACAAACAACATATCTGCTTCAACGATAGAACAACCACAGTTTGTACTCTTTTGGTGAACAGGTGAACCCGTTGCAGGGGTTCCAAAATCCTGCTGATCGATTTGTGTCTCGAGATTTTGTGGAGGGAATCTTCGTACATAACGAAGCTCGGGTAAATGTCTTCCGCTTCTTTAATTAATGTCATCATTTCTTCGCACATACCACCTGCAAAATAAGAATTTGGATTGACAAATAAAACTAGTAGTCATAAAATAAAATTATAGTTACCTAATGTAGCCAATATTCGGCTTAAAATTTTATTATCTGAGTGAACTAGATGACCTATAGATTGGTTGTCGTGAGCTTGTTCCCTTATGGAAATCACTTGAGCCGTGACATTGTTAGAGTTTACGAATTTTTTCCTTTGAGTTGCAGTTCGATCTGCATAATCTTCCAAAAACGAGCTGAACTCGTGCAATTGTGCTTCGCCTATGAGCCTGTTCGTTTCGGCATTGAATTTTTTCTCGGCCAGCTGCGATGTTTCCCACATCGTGATTTTTAAGAGCTACCCTAAAAAGGAATTCTTTAAGAACTGAAATCACCAATTGAGTTTTATACTCACTAATGCAGTGTTCAAATTATGTAAATAATATAAGTATTTGTAAACGTTTCCTGTTATTTGATATTCGGGAAAAATAATTCGGCGTACAATGCGATTTGACTACTTCTATTCGACAGTATTGTTACAAAATCACAGTAAAATCACTCTCATGTTATTTATGTCGAAAAATGTTCAAAATTGTTGTGATGAATAACATTTTGGTTGAAAAGTTTCTAATACGTCAAAAAAAGTTCCTCTTCTTTCAAATGTCATATTTTAGTATTCATTATCCTAACAAGTAAAAGGCCAATTTCAAACAAATCATTACACAAAATCTGACAGTTAGGCAACCCAATGTACATTCACTCTATTTTTTTTTAGGATAACCGCAGAATATCTCCATTACGAGCCTGGTTATGCACGCACGCCCTTTCTAGTTTAGAAAAATTCCAGCAATTAGAAGTAACGGATTACAGCAAACCTCTTATATTCCAAGCCGAAACTCCGCTTAGGAAATTCGTAGCCTACATTGATCCAGACAATAAATTTAATCTAGAAGATAAACTTTCGCAGATCAACACCTTACAGCAGCTACAGAACATCGCGAGTTACGGGTTCTTGAAGAAAAGGCTGGAGAAGCACGAGCTGCACATACACGCTCTGTGGTTCGACATTTATTCGGGAGATATTTACTATTTCAGCAGGGCGGCCAAACGGTTCGTTTTAATCGAAGAAGACTCTTTCGAAAACCTGTTGAAAGAAATCAAAAAATACTATTCCTAGCCCTCGAAGCGGAATATTTGTGATAAGCGTACGAAACACGCTAATTTTGTCTAAATATGTAATTAATTATAAAACGTTTTGTATCAAATAAAAACAGATTGAGTAACCAAAGCTTTCATGAATTTATCGGTATCGACGCCGTTCTCGCTGATGTGGTGCTTTTTGAAAAACGAGTTCAATTCGGAACAAGCCTCTTTCAAATCGTCCATCTGAATCGATTTGTTAGAACAAATAAATATTTCGTTTAAATCCTCTTGCAATTTGTAACTGATGATCGATTGAAAATGTGTTTTCAATGTGCTCAACACGCTCGGCCTGAGCGCATTATCTCTCACAACGAGATTCAATATGAACAAACCTAAAAACATGGAGTAATGAGAGGAATTAGAAAAAGTTAAATTAATTTGAAAGTACCAGAATTCGCAATAACTTTTGCTACGTTTCGCAGGACGTTTACTTCTAAAAATTCTCTCGGAGGGCAACTCATACCAATCGATGAATCTTTACTATCTACATCAAAGAGCAAAGCGTCCAAAGTTTCACCTACAAGGAGTACGAGTAATTAAGAATAATTCAAGTAGAAGAAAAAAAGTAATATACCTTTTTTCGAGATATCTTCCAACCATTCGATACCATCCTGAATTCTAGACTTTAATTTATCGTCTTCTTTAAAATCGAACCATTCTCTAGCCACTTTCAACATATCTTCGTCGATATCAATACCTAATATATTAATTTTCGGCATAAATTTGTGCAAAAACAGGCAAAGCCCTCCTCCGCCCAATCCTACAACTGCCACATTCGCTTTTGCATTTCTACTGCATATTAAATGGGTCGCCAAAGACATGTACACGTGGTGTCTACAGGTCAAAAGGATCGGATCGACGACTTCTTTGACTGCGCCCTTTCTGGATTTTATCGTCCTTAATTTCGCTTCCGACTGTATCACCAGTTGAGAATTTAAATAGAACAATCGGCGATATTTCTCGTTATTTTCAGTCACTACGTCTTCTACCACAAACTCCCCGGACAACTTCGAGCATCCTTTGTATCTCAATATTCTGTGACCCACGTCGGATCCCAAAGACAAGAAGGCAATCTGCGAAATTATATATCATTGCAGAAATTAATGCGTGAATTGTGTATTAGTACCTTCTTGTTTTTTAAATGAGCAGGAGCTAGATTACACACAACATTAGATAATTCTAGTTGTACAGCTTCGAATGAATCGTATTTTTGCTCCCTGTGAAGGGTAATAATAGCTAATCTATTATATTTCGTTATTTCCACTAACTTCTTTCTACCGTTCGAAGTGGAAAACAGCCATTCTGCCTCCCTGAAACAATACAATTACTTTAGTTCAGTAGGATTATTTTTAATAGGCAATTACCTTCCTTCTGGTACAATAAATGCTGCGTACTGATCGTGAGTTGGTTTCGGTTCGATATCAACTACGTATAAAGTAAAACGGGGTTTCGACGATCCTTGCTCGTATAAATCTAACACGATTTCACTTTCGGCGTCTATAGAAGTCTTTTTCAAACCGGAACAGATAAAAGAAACGTTCTGAACGTTTAATATTTGAGAGGCTACATCGGATTCGCAGGTGCATCTCTGCATCTTGTCGAGAGATCCCAGATTTAACTCCAATAACTGTAGAATATGTAATTCATAATACGTAATAATTCATTCGGCTTTAACTTACTTTATGTGGCAATGTTTTGAATTTGGTGCAAATCATAATGAAAACGGGTAATGTGTTTTCGTTGTTATCGCTGGCTTTGGCTTCAGCTTCGAAGCAACGGACTATCCTGAACATGAAATTATTAGACGGGAAATAGTCCAAGGCGTACTTCAGGATGTGCTCTTGTAATAACGATATGCAGATGTATCGACCCCCGATTTTAAGCACCCTTTTGATCTCGTCGAAATATTGTTTAATGTTTTCTAAGGTTTGTGTAGAATCGTCCGGCATCAAAGCATCGAGTGTACCCTTATCTAATACGACGCTGAATTCATCGTTCTCGAAAGACATGTTTAAAACATCCATTTGGATGTATTTCAAGTTGTCTCTTTGCTTTTCATTTTGAGATAACATTTGCCTGATGACTACCTGAGATATATCAATGTTTGTCACTTTGCTAAAAAACGAGTTAGTTTTTATTCGTTGAATGGAGATGAATCGGTTTGCTTACTTGTAACCGATATCGTATAGATCTCTACCTAAAGTTGAATTACCACAACCAGTGATAAGGATATTGTCTTGCTTTTTTATATATTTGTGCAAATGGTCTGCTAATTCTGGATATTCACCGTACCTAAAATATTTCAGAATTTAGATTACTGCTATTCAAAAATGAATATTGTTACCATTCGAATGCCTTGTTTCCTCTTTTTTTAAAGAATGCATCCCAGTATTCCTTCTGGCTAAATTCTTCCTTGGATTTTGGTAATAAATTCATTTTTAAATTAATAAATCAACTTTTTAGTTATTTAAAATTAAAATAAACTTTTTTTTATCTAACCTAAGAAAAACTTCTTTTTACGAGATTTTAAAGTGAGGTTAATTTGACAACTGACAAATCTTTTACATAAGTGATTTAAAAACCGAATAGTCCCAGTCTATTTTATATTGAAATGAACTACTCAGTGTGACAGGTGATGACATAATGACAGTTTCATTTTTAAATGGAAGGTTAAATGTGTAGAACGTATTTTTCGGTAAAAAAATAGGTGCTAGATATGTGAAATGAATTTTAGCAAAATAATCACATAATGACAAAAAGCCAACTATCCTTTAGACTTCGCCAAAATGCCCCTCAACAAAACCGGAGGGAATCGCGCGAGAAAAGCCACAAGAAAACGCAGAAACCTCAAACCACGTAAGTGATTGCAATTAAGGTTATGCCTTTATCAACAGCTAATTTTCTATCTTTTTCAGAAAAGTAGACACTACCAGTCCAGGACTTATTTTCCCAGCCGGAGATACAGCTTTCAAATCGTTGTTATCCGCAAGGTTTTGTGCAGCAATATGGTCCCATATATCGGATTGTGATGAGACTTACAATTATTGGGAGCCGATGCATTATTTAAGTAATGATTCAAGTCAATTGTTATAGATTTAAGTACCTATGAATTTTTTAGTATTCGGAAAAGGCTTGCAAACATGGGAATACAGTCCGGAATTTGGTTTGAGATCATACTTTTACCTAATGGTACACGCAGCACCTGCTTGGATATACCACAAATTGCTCCAACCGAATCCTCTCCTCATGTTCTACTTCATAAGGTGTATCTTAGGCCTCTTTTGCGCTGTGTCGGAAGTGTATTTTTACAAGTTAGTTATAAAAATTCCGAGTTGATTCGAAAATTGAACAATTATTATTTTCAGATCAGTGTGCAGAGAATTCGGGGTACATATTGGTAGAATTTGCCTGGCATTCCAACTGTTTGCAGCAGGAATGTTCGTTTCGAGTACCGCTTTCTTACCATCGAGTTTCGCTATGTACACCACGACGGCTGCTTGTGCTGCTTGGTGGCAACAAAAGTTTCCACTGGCGATATTTTTTACTGCGCTGGGCTCGATTTTAGGTATGCATTTCACTCACATGGAAGAATATTGATTATTAATTGATCTATTTTAGGATGGCCGTTTGCATGTATATTAGGCGTACCGATAGCGTTCGATATGTTAGTGAGAAGAAAATTGTACCTGCAATTTGCAGCTTGGTCTGCTCTATGCGCTCTAGTCATTTTAGTGCCGATGGTCGTTGTAGATTCGATGCTATTTGGTAAAATTACAGTAGCACCTTTCAACATTGTAAAATACAATGTATTTGGCGGTGCCGGACCTAATCTATACGGAACTGAACCTCTTTCATTTTATCTTTTTAACGGTTTTGTTAATTTTAATATTATATGGGTGAGTTGTGAAATGGCTGATAGCAGGAGAATATTCGGTTAATTTGTATGTTTCAGGTTTTAGCTTTACTAAGTCCGATCGCACTGATTTTGCACTACTTTTTCGTCCCTACGAAAAATAAATGTACCTTTTATTTGCCGTATTGGCTGTCGTTGAGTCCTCTCTATTTGTGGTTGGCGGTCTTCATGCTTCAGGAACACAAAGAAGAGCGGTTTTTGTTTCCAGTGTACCCGTTGATATGCCTTAGTGGGGCCATAACGTTAGACATTGTACAGAAATTGTTTTTCCGTTTACTGAATTTGTTTCAAAAGATGCCGCACGGGACGCATTACTTGGACAAGACAATGTTCATTATGTTTATAACTATTATACTCACTTCATTATTAGGTGAGTATGGAAAGTGTTTGTGAAGTGGTACAATGTTGATACTCGTTGTATTTTTAGGCATATCTAGAGTATTTTCGCTATACAGAAATTATCACGCTCCTTTCGATCTTATGATGGAGTTAAATAGATATCCAGTGGATGTGAAAATATCGGAGAGAGCTCAGGTGAACGTGTGTTTCGGGAAAGAATGGCACAGATACCCCAGTTCATTCTTCTTGCCAAATAATAACTGGAATATTAGGTGAATTAATTTCTATAATTCCACTACAGAAATCTACAATTATTTATTATGCAGGTTTATAAAATCGGAATTTGATGGAATGCTACCGGCTCCTTATTCGGAATTGGAGAATGGTACAATGATCGTTCACAAATATTTCAATGATCTCAACAAGGAATCGCCTGAATTGTATTTCGACATCAACAAATGCCATTTCCTTTTAGACTCTGATTTGGGCAAAGAAACGCCGCTAGAACCGAATTATTCCAATCAGAAAGACCGATGGAAAGTAATAAAATCGTATAAATTTTTAAACGCTGAAAAGTCTCACAGTTTTTTCCGGGCTTTTTTAATATTCGTAGTTTCCGATAAGTATATCACTTTTGGCAATTTCAGTTTGTTGCAATCTACCAAATTGAAGATCAAGTAAAACCCAGCAATATTAAATTTTGTACATTCCAATGAGCAGCGTTTTTAATAAGTACTTATAGTAATAATTTGTTTACAGTAAATATGGTGTCGAGTGTTTATGTGAATGTAAAGTGTTTGAATTATATAATACTTGTGATAAATTTTTTTTAATTTTTAATCAATTCGAAAAATTATATTGAAATATCATCAATCTCACTTTATACGATACTTCTAATCACCACTTGTGCCATAACGTTAAAGGCCACATAAACAAAATATGTCAATAAAAAAAGAAGTATTTTGTTGGTTAGGTGGGAAAAATAAATTTTGAATAAACCAAAAATTGTAACTCTTCTGAAAAGCCGAATAGAAAATAAATATGCGATGTCGAATCCGAAATCGGAAGAAGCTCGACAGAAATATTTAGACGAAAATCCATTCCAGGGCTTCAAAATCGACGACAACTCGATTTTGTCGACCTTAGAAGGCAGACATCCTTGTCCAAAATGTGGTAAATCCAGAAAATTTTTCTGTTATTCCTGTTACGTCCCTATAAAAGAATTGGAAGGTAAATTGCCTCGAGTAAAGGTAATGAAATTAGTAAAGTATTTTTTTAAATAAATCAAACATTCGACATGTTTCCAGCTGCCCATAAAAATAGATATAATTAAGCATAAACACGAAATCGACGGGAAAAGTACAGCAGGACACGCTGCTATATTAGCAGCAGATGATGTTAATATCTACACTTATCCCGATATTCCTGATTATGAACACGAGAATGTAGTACTCGTGTTTCCAAGCCAGAGTGCTATTACCGTAAACCAACTTATTTCCAACGGCCTCGATCCCGAAGCTATTAAGGAATCTCAAAGCGCTACTCTAGACGATTTGCCAAAAGGACACAACAAGGGTACCCTAATGAAAGAAATTTCAAAATCACAACAGGAGTATCAATTTTGTAGAAACCCCGAGTTACTGCCTATCAATAAAGTAATTTTTATAGACAGTACTTGGAATCAAAGCAAAGGTAACCCATCCAGTTACAGAAGTTAAATATGCAACTCATACTTATTATTACAGGAATTTATAAAGATGCGAGATTAAGGAAAATACCTTGCGTAGTTATCCAGAACAGGATCTCCCAGTTCTGGAGGCATCAAAAAGCCAGTCCTAGGTGGTATTTGGCCACAATAGAAGCTATACATCAATTCTTAATAGAGCTACATCTTCATAAGTGGGGCTTGAATCCCGATTACAAAGGAATTGATAATTGCTTCACGGAAACGTGTTTAAACAATTTCAAATTTTTATATAACGACAATGATGACGCTTATAACGGGCAATACGATAATTTATTGTACTTTTTCCAACACATGTATAAGTTGATACACGAGTATTATAATCATGAAGAACTATATGCTTATAAAAGGAGATTAATGTAAATAATAAACATTGAATATTTCTTCAAAAGGAGTTTGAAAGAAAGCGAAGAATTGTACACATATATTATACTGATAAACGAATTATACTTATACTCAAAACTATAAAATTTTTATGCTATAAACGTACAACTTAAGCTATAATATAGTGTTAAATCTAAACGTTAAAATAATTTACCTATTGTAGATAAATGATAAATTTTCCATACCCAATAACTTGAGTAAAAATTAAAAACACTTAATATATTTATGAAGTTGCTCAACTCTCGCTACTGTTAGAGTTTACGCAAATCTAAGACGAAAACACTGCCATCAGAAGCACTAGCTCCCACTTTGTCCCCTCTCGAATTCCAACATACCTAAAAAAATCGAAATTGTAATGCTAATTTTATTTCATAATTTTTGAGATGCTCACCTCAAATATACCCCCGGTGCCTTTGTAACTGTGGACCAGCTGACCTGATTGAGTGGACCAAATATGGACACATTTATCGAAACTCCCACTAGCCAGAAATTTACCATCTGGACTGAACGCTACCGAATAAACGGGCTCAGTATGCTTTGTGAGTCTGTGGATGCAAGCTCCCCTTTCAACGTCCCATAATCTAAAATTAAAATCAAATTATAATACATTTAAGTAGAAAAGAAATTGAGTTTGGCATTTACCTCACAGTTGAATCAAAACTAGCGGATGCCAAGATAAGGTTCATATTCGGATTTTGAGTTCCAGGACCAGTGGGGGACCATTTTATTGTGTAAATTTCTTTTGAATGAGCCTGCAAATCGTGAACACATGTATCCTGCTTCATGGACCAAATTTTAAGCGTCATATCATCGGAACAAGAGGCCAACAATTGACCTTGCGGATCCCACTTTATGGCGTTTACTTCATTCTACAAAAAAAAACCAATTAATCAAATGTTGTTTGATAAAAAAGTTTATCGTACTTACGGTGTGTCCTTGGAACGATTTAATAGGCTTGTCCATAAACAACTTACACACGTGAATGCACTGATCTGTCGAACAACTTGCAAACGATGTATTCGTCTGCCAGTCCACGTCTAAGGCCGGGGCGGAGTGGAAACTGAATTGTTGGGTGCACTCACCGCTCGCAGCATCCCAAATAATCGTCGTTTTATCCACCTACAAATCATTATTTAATGTTTATGATAAATTTAATGTTAAATTAATAGAACATACTCCTGCAGATAGAATGTAATTTCCCCTTCGGTTCCATTTTAGAGCAAAAATAGGTCCTTTGTGTTGTCCTAAAGTACTCGCTAAGCGACCGTCATTGGTCCATATACGAGCGTAACCATCGTAACTTCCTGTAGCTAACAAACTGCCATCGCACTGTAATATGAATTAATTAATTTATAGCGATACAATAGATTTACTTAAAACTTACATTCCAGTCTAAAGAAGTAACATCCTTATTACTAGGAACCTCGGTTTCTCCTTTTCGTATGCAATGTCTCAGTACTAACTGATTCGGGCTGGCCGTGTTATCGGACATGTCCCAAATTCGAGCAGTACTATCACCAGAACCGCTTGCTAGTAAATCAGTCGTGGGATTCCAGGCGCAAATAAATACCTCCGATTCGTGACCTCTCAGTACCGTTGCCTTAGAAGAAGGGATTTCTATGGATGTATCGACTTCCATAGTTTCGTTTTGAGTCGAAACGACCGCTGCAATAACATTTCGGTTGATTATCGATGTATTTTTAATAGATTATTTGGTGTACCTTCTTCTCCGTTGGTCTCGTTTTGTTCGGCCTTAATGGCTTGTTTTTGTTGGTTTTGTTGATTTTGCCTGCTGGCTACCACGTCCGGCATCACGGCGTCTATTAAACTGAGGCTTTCCACCAGTCTTTGTTCAGTCCCATCTTCTCCTATACTGATTTCGGCTTCGGTGTACTGGAGGCCTTTTTGTATGATGCTCAAGAGGGCCGCGGGCGGTACCAAGGCCCCGTTTATGTTAGATTGCGAAATGTGGGATTCTATGCCGAACGTATAGGCGGAATGTTGAAACCCTACGGATTGAATCGAAGTTAAAAAATAGCGTCCGGGTAAACACCACGTTGTTACTCACCGGATTCCTGCAAGTATCTATAAACCAAGAAGTTAACTTCGTCGCTCGAAAAACTCATCTTAACATCGGCTGCTTAGCTTCATTTAGTTTAGTTTTAAAATTTGAACCATGAAGCATCCGCATCAACATAAACACGAAGATAAAATAAAATAAAATCGAACGGTAACGTCAATTGTCAACGACAAAATTGTCAAAGTCAAATGTCAGATAGTGTAGGGCACGAACGGTAGAGTCGTGCCATATGTCATTCGAATGCAATTCAGAATGAGACTGAGTAGCCCATGTAGATGAGGCCAAATAATTTGAAAGAAGAATATAATTCCGAACTGTCCCAAAAAATAGTGTCGCTAGTTTGGGAAAATTGAATATTTGAATTTTTTAATCATGATAGATTTTGCTTTGGGAGTTTTTTGAAATAGTTAATAGTACAGATTACTGGTAAAAGTATATTGGTAGATGAAGTTATTAGAAATAAAATTTTACGTATATTAAATAAAAATATTGGAATATTTTAGCGAGGTATAATCCTACTCATTGGGAATCGTAAAAATATAACATATTAGCACTTAAAAATTATTTATACAGTACAACATACTATAATAAATATCTAGTATTTTTCTAAATAAGAAAATAAACGTAAAATAAGAAATTAAATATACCTAATCAATTCAGCCTTAAAAGCTACATCACCATTCACCATTTTTACCTACCTAAACAATTTTAAGCAGCGTTACTATTAAAATTCGTTGTACTTAGACCCCGTTATATTTATCTGTAGAATTGTAAATTGAATAAAATTTTAAGTAAACAAATAATAAAACCGACAATACTAAAATGCATAACGCTTCCGCCACTACAAACTTTCGCCACTGAAGTCGTTCTCAGTCCCCTGCGATTCAACATATTGTGCACTTTGAGAATTTCAACGTGATCGAACTTCAATTCTCTCGACAGAATGATAGTGAACAATTCGACCTCCGGCAGAACGTGGCAAAAAGTCAGTACCATGTGATCACCGACTGCTTTCAAAACCTGAATAGTCCCAGCCAAGTGACCAACTTTGGGATCCAAAGAAGACCCTAAAAACATCACAATTTAAACAAATTGAATATCTAATACACTAGATTGAAACCTACCCCTAGCCTCAGGCCCCGAGCTCATCCAGAAACCCGGATGAGTGATGTTGAATCTCATGTGGAACTCGGTGGTTTCCCCGCTCTCGTCCCAAATTACTCTCAAATACTGCAATTCCCCCAAGTGCCTGTTCAAGTCGAACAGATGCTTCCTCCTGGTGTTCGGGTAATTACCGTAGGTCGTCTGTCGATCGTACTCAGCTTGCTCGTAAATCCTCCGTCTGAGCTGTTGCTCGGCCGTTCTGGTCATCGGTATGGTGGTTTGAGGCCTTTGGCTCACCCCGTACCTCGAACGGTAGTTCGTTTCGTACCCGGAATTGTAGCTATTGTCATAACCGTGAGCTATAAAATATGGTAAATGGAGCTACAATTGTAGTTGTATTGTTCAGATTTTTACCTGGTCCGTAATTGGTTTTGTAATCGTAATTTCCGTATAGAGGATTGTAAGTGGTGGTGCGTTCTTTATCTTCAGATATGTGGATTATGGGACAGGAAAATTCCGTTCTTTTGTAAAACTGTTCGTCTCGATGGTAAATGATTTCTTTACCGAACCAGATACCCATTATCTGAAAGTAGAGAGAACAAATTCAGAACTTTCTGCATTCTCTACACTTTATTAATCGTAATTATTACATACCTGGCTAATAATAATATGTGGTTGGGGGCGCGTTGTAGCACAGAACTCACCAGGGGATGTATAAGTTGATGAGGCGCCAGCAAAAAACCAAGCACTCAGCAGCGGTAACGCCAACATTTCGAAAGTGCAAGAGAAAGGAGTCTTCCTCTTTCGAGACCGAGCAAGAAATGTAACAAGGTAAACGTGAAAACTATTCAAAATTTTATGATTAACGTGTGTGGGCGTCGGGGAATTACGTGTCCCTTTTTAACTTAATTTTAGCCACTTAAGAGTCTGGTGTGGACTTAAAAATGAGATTAAAACAAACGATGAATGTATTAATTAGGATAACACGGCGCAGTGGCTTACCAAATAGGTCTAGTGTTTTTTTTCGGGTGTTTTTTTTTTCGTTTGTCCAAATATTTTTGCTTATTTTTGGGAAGGGAAATTATAGTAGGTACTCAAGTATACAATCTTTAGAGTAAGAGGTTTTTGGGGCATTTGTATGGAGAAAAAAAATATTCTGTGAGGAGGAGACCGAAAAAGTTTCAACTTTCAATGTATTTACCTCATTTTAGCTGTAAAGTAGCTAAACCCATTGAACTTTCCTCTCAATTCGTATCGTTCGTGGAACAATTACTGTGAAAAATTGATTATGCCAAGCTAATTAAAGAAGGCTGTTTTAAATTGAAATTTTCACAAACAGTTCAAGCACTATATTGACTTTGAGAGCCTGTGGGGTGAAGTAGGTTAGTCGTATTAAATTAATTAGCCCATTTTCAGCGTTAATGGGTTGACGCAACGGTCACCTACTAGTGTCATCCAGTTTCTTTATTTCAAGGTAATTATATTCCAACAGAGTAAGTAGAAACAAAAAGAAATTAGTGAATTAAGTAATAAATTTGAAGACGGCAGTGAATATATTTAACAGTGAACGGAAACAATTTATTTAAGTAGATGCATCGTCGCATTAAAAATTAAAACTATCACCCATATGAACCATTGGTCATTATTGACCCCATCAATGAGGTATATTTGCTTTTTGTCATTTACACGAATTTCTAAATATATTTGAACAGAATTTATTAAAAAAATAAAACCTAGCAAACCTCCACACCTTAGGCCGACCGCTCACGGTGCAACTGTTTTAAAATAAAAATTGTAAACCAGTTGATCTTGCAACTATTTTGCAACCTCGGCAATGTACAGTAGTATGGAACCGCACACAAGTCGATTCAAATGAAACTAGTTTGCAATGAGTCATAAACCAGTTGTATTCGACCATTTCCCGCTGTCGCAGTCGCTTTGCAGTTTCAAGTTGCTTTAAATTCTTGCCAATTTCTGGTGTAATTCATTCGACATTTGATAAATTACTATGCCAACTGATTGAAACTATTTTATAATAGTCGCATCCGTGTGCGTACAGAAGCTTAATATTAGTTCCAAACTGGTTACAGACTAAACTAAATTGCAATCTTCATTTCAAAACAGTCGCTCGGTGAGCGGTGTGCCCTAATCGTCCTTCTTCACCATTTTATAAAAATAGCTGTTCTCATCGCGAAGCAACGTGGCCGGCTCGTCGAACTCCCTGATACCTCCCCGATCCAAAACCATCACTTTATCGCAATCTAAAACGGTCCGCAATCGATGCGCTATAGTCAGCACCGTGCAATCCGCGAACACCTCCTTAATAATATCGTCGACGACGGCCTCCGATTCGCGATCCATATTGGCGGTGGCCTCGTCTAAAACGATGATTTTGGCCCGGCTCAAAATCGCCCTGGCCACGCAAATCATCTGCCTCTGGCCCAGACTGAAATTCGCCGTTCGATCGCCCACCGCCTCGTCCAAACTCGCTATGGATTCCTTGATGTTGGCCCTCTCCAGGGCCCGCCACAAGTCGGATTCGCTGAACAAACCGAACGGATCGAGATTCGAGCGAATCGTGCCCGTGAACAGCACCGGATCCTGCGGAATGATGGCCAGGTTTCTTCGCAGGTGATGCAACGAGGCGGTTTTCGTGTCCACGCCGTCGATGGAGATGGTCCCTTCGATGTCGTAGAGTCGGAATATGGTGGAAATGATGGAGGATTTTCCGGCTCCCGTTCGCCCGACGATGCCGATTTTCTGCTTCGATTGAACGTCGAAGTTGAGATTGTTTAAAACCACGTCGGTTTCGTTGTATGCGAGTTTGACGTTTTTGTATCGGATGATTCCGTGCTCGGGCCATTTGTACAACACCACGCCGTTTTCGTTTTCGGTTTTTATGTCGGTGTATTCGAACACTCTTTCTACCGATGTCATCATGCTCTCCAAATCGGTGTATTGCCTCACCACCCAATTCACGATGTTCCCGATGCTGAATATTTGAGACAGAGCCAAGCCTACGTTTCCAGCGCTTGTATCTGTTAATTAAATCTACATTAACACTCATTCGATTGAAATTGTAACGACTATAATTATGTAGAAGTGGAGTTCTCTCACCTGTATCTAGAAAAATGAAGGTGCATAAAACGCAGGTAACGAGAATATTGGATAACACATTAGCGAAGAAACCATAAGCTGTCTGGCAAACGATCAAAGTGAAATGACTGGATGTGTAAACATCGTAGTATTTATCGTATTCTTTCTTTAAAATGGCATCAGCTTTGCATGCCCTGATTGTTGTTAATCCTTGAAACGTCGATTTTAAGTGGTTTATAATCGGACTTCTGGCTAAAATGGTTCAGTTAATGAGCTAAATTTCAATTATTTACTTATAAATAATCACTTACTGGCAACTTCCAATCTTTTCATGCTACGTCCGAACGGTAGATAAATCCTTCCCAATCCTGATAACAATACCGAAACGATTCCAATGTATATTATGAAATAGTAATTCACCGACACCAGCAGAATCACCGAGCCGAATATGTAGTAGATAGCCTAAAAAATCTTCATATAAATATTTGTCAAATGAATGTTTTAATAGAACCTTGAAGAAAAATGTAAACATCTCGTATAAATCTAGATAAATAGAATCTCTATAAACAAGCAATGGGGTACAGGATAAGGTGTTGGCAATTCACACATATTTACCTCGAACGTGTAATTCAGAATTTCGCTCAAATTCTCGTCCATGTTAACCAAATCCTGCGACAGCCTGTTCAGTATCACTCCGATGTAATGCGAATCGAAGAACGCCATCTCGGCCGCGAAAATGTTCTTCATCAGATGAAAGTGAATGCGAACGGAGGCCCTTCGACAGAAATCGAACATGACGAACGTGGTGAAGACCTGCAAGCAGGTGGAAGAGCCCAACATCCCGTTGTACCAAGAGAACGTGCGCTTTTGAGCCTCATCAGCGACGCTCAATTGCTCGGTGAGATTCGCCAGAATCGTCGAGGCGTTTTCGAACAAATCGTAAAACGTTTTGTTAGCTTCGTGCGCTCTTATCTTGCTTTTGATGTTCAAAAATTTTTGCTGCTCGTCGACCCTGCAAAAATTACAATCAATTTCGTAGCAATCGCGTTAGACGTTTAATTACCAAGTACTTAGAAGCTTCTCCGTATAGCTGGAAGTAAATTGGTAAATACCGCTAACGAAGCAGAAGAGCAACATGATCCAAACCCCGCCGCCGAAGGACATGTATTTTTTGTAATTCGATATCGAAACGCTCCCGGTTTTGAGCTTGTCTTTGAAGATCTGCTTCTTCTCCGCGTTTTGTTCGGTCTCCAACAATCCTCGAGTTTCGTCGTCTGCCTCTTCTATCCCGGCATCTTCCTCGAGCGTCTTCTCCACCTCTTCGAGTTTCTTCCGCAACACCGACTCGTTCGTGGAATCGCGCGGTTCGATTACCCCGTCAACCCTTCCGTTCTTCACCACCACCACGTAGTCGGCCTCCTGCAGGTGGCGCTTGGTCTGCGTGACCAGCACGCAGAATTTCCCTTTCAGAAATTTCCTGACGCACTCTTCGTAGATGAAATCCGCCACGTGGCCGTCCAGGGATGTCAGGGAGTCGTCTATTAGGTATATGTCGCTGGTTCTGTAAACGGCTCGAGCTAGGTTGACTCTGGCTTGTTGGCCTTTGCTCAAATTGAGGCCGTTGTCCGATAGAATCGTCTCGTCGCCTTTGTCGAAGAGGCTCAAGTCGTATTCCAAAGCGCAGACTCTTATCACTTCTTGATACCTACGAGGAATGTAGAAAAATTGTTGGAAGGTAGAACCAGTAGGTAAATAGGAGAAACGAACCTTCTGGATTCACCAATAACTAGGCTAGATAACTAGCATTTATGGTATGGATAAAGTAAGACAATCTACATACCTTTTTTGGTCGTATTCTTGCCCGAACAAAATATTTTGCTTAATGGTTGAAGCAAACAACCAAGGGGTTTGTGAGGCGTAGGAAAGGCTTCCTGCTATCGACACTTTGCCTTTGGTGATGGGGAAATCGTGCAGTATGGTTTTCAATAGAGCGGATTTTCCTGCTCCCACTGGTCCAGTAATGGCCGTTAAGCCGGATTGAAGTTTCAAATTGATCTGCTTTAAAATTTCCTGTTTGCCTATGTTGATGGTGACATCGTCGAGCTCTATTTTGGGTTTGTCGTTGTTGATGTTTTGAGCTTCTATTGCAGGTAGTTCTTCGGCTTTTAGGACTTTGTTTAATCTGAGAGTGGCCGACATAAATTCAGCGCCGGTTGTAATTCCTGGAAATCAATCGATTACTGGTGGTTAATTTCAAATACAATTAAATTGGTTTTTACCGTAGGGTAAAACGTATCCGAAGAAAAGTTTTATGTCTCCGTAATTCGACATTAGGTAGAAAATGATGGCGGAATCCGCCGGTTGGTCCATCCAAATGTACGCCATGACGAGTATGTAGAAGCCCAGATTCGACACTAAAATGCTCAAAGTGAACACCAACAACTTTACATAGATTCCGGCTAGCATTCGATTGACTTCCAATCTGAAATTGTACGATATATAAAACAATAACGAACGAAACCGCTCGCATCCTTACTTCCTAGTCGAATCGATTTTCCTCATGAAATATTCCTCCCACGTGTACATTTTTATTATCCTGATCATCGACAGGGCTTCTTGGGTTTGGTCCAAGCGCTCGTCGGTTTTCACGCACGTTTTCAACCTGAGTTTCTTCAAAATTTTCCCGAGGTACACTTAAACAAAAATTTACACGATTATTTGCAACATCCCACCGCGTTTTGCAGGCATTTACTTTGCAACGGAATGACCCCGAGAAACACGAATATCCCAGCGAAAGTGGTAGCGCCAATTCTCGAATACAACAAGTAACACACGAATGCAGTGTGAACGGAGCCGATCCAGAAATCGTTCAAAAAGTACACCCCGTTCTCGAACGCCTGGACATCTTTGGTGATCAAAGTGACGATATTCCCGAAGGAAATGTCCGCCAAAGCGGCGGGAGATAGTTTGAACAGCTTCCTGTAGAGGAACGCCGAGAAACAGGTCCTCACCTCGATGCCGATGGATATCATGCTGATGTACAGGTTGTTGTAGAACAGCGTTCCGGTAAAGTTGAACAGGACTATTATACCAGCGTTGTATAAAGCGTCGTTTTTTGTTAGTTTGGTTTGCCCTTCGCCGAAGAACGATACTAAATTTTCGAACGCTCTGGGCTCTAAAGCGCTGAAATAAAAGTACACTTCAAGATGGAATTACAGACGGCTCTAAAACTACCACAAAATGGATGGAAAATGCTTTACAAAGAAGAAATGATAATGATGATAATAATGATAAAGAATTATTGATCATTGATTTTTGCCTTTGAGCTTGATTATGGGTTAAGAACCTTAACCAAGGATTTGGTAACTAATAAATTTACTTACCTTCTGGTTAATTTGTAAGACATTTCGGCGATGCCTAAGAAAATGTACCTCACGAAGAACATGTTGAAGAGGATCCTGTATATCGATTTGGGTTTTTTTTGGGATTGTTCGCGATCCCATCGTCTTTCTAAATCGTCGCCCAATTTGCTGGACTCGAAATTGCCGGTGACTTCGTACAAATCGTCTTCGTCTAAATCCTTGCGAAACGCCTTCTTGAATATGCTGCCTGTGTATCTAAAAATCGCCTTATAACGCGTTCGTTTCTGCTCGAAGTAGAACAGAAAATTTAATACTTACGCAAATGTAAACAAGGAAAAGATATTCGCAGTTTCTCTTGGGTTCTGTTTCCGTTTTTTTCGTACGAAATAATCCATCTTTCCCGAGCTTTAGATATGTCAGAAGCAGCTAGTAGAATTTACGTTCCATTAAAATATCATTAACTATTAAATATTTTAACCAATATTTATTTTCTTTATCAGTTACCATGAATTAATTTTAATCCCTTCCCATTCAAGCGTAATCGCACAATTCAATTTTTTAATATAAAAAAAACAAACCTTGCGAACACCACCTCTCTATAATCTCAAACTGTGGATTATTATGATTTTCAGGGCAAAACTTTTAAACGGTTCCACGTTGCGCTATTACAACTCCTACGCCCATTTAAGGTAATAGCTCTTAGTATTCAATTTTTAGGATACAAGACAACAGTATAGTTTCTCTAGTCAATTGAATCTAACACGCAAATGTGATCTAAAAGAAAATTATACTTTTGTAATAAAAAAATTCATCAAATACTTTAGTATTTTTATTAAAAAAAAAATGCTCTAATTTGCTGGAAATGAAATGGGGCTTCCTTAAAACAATCATTTATTTTGAACAATACAGTTGTACAGAAAACGTATGAATAAAATTCGTTTAATCCAATGGAGATTTCCTGCGAACATCATCTCGCGAAATCATTCTACTGAGCCACCCGTTATTGTCCTGCAGCAAAACTCCAGGCTGGTCGAATTCCACAATCCTCCCGCGATCCAGCACCATTATCTTGTCGCACTCCAAAACGGTTTCCAGCCTGTGAGCGATGATCAGTACCGTACATTCCGCGAAATTCTCCGATATCGTCCTGCGAATCAATCGCTCCGTATCCGGATCCAAATTAGCGGTGGCTTCGTCCAGAACGACGATCCTCGCATCGGCCAGAATCGCCCTGGCCACGCAAACCATCTGTTTCTGACCGAGACTGAAATTCGACGCCCTGGCGTCGGCGTCCAGACGCGCTATGAACCGCTTCAGGTGCGTCCTCTCCAGCACCGTCCACAGTTCCTCGTCGGTGGATTTTCGGAAAGGGTCCAGGTTCGATCGGATGCTTCCGGAAAACAGGACGGGATCTTGCGGGATGATAGCCAGATTTCTCCTGAGGAATTCCAAAGGGAGCGATCCGATATTTACGCCGTCGATCAGAATCGTTCCTTCTACGTCGTACAAGCGGAATATGGTGGACACGATGGAGGATTTCCCGGCGCCGGTTCGACCGACGATGCCTATTTTTTCTTTCGAATCCACCGAGAAGTTTAGCTCGTCCAAAACGATTTCGTTGGCGTTGTAACTCAACGAGACGTTTTCGTATTTAATGGTGGCTTTGTTGGGCCAATTGTTGCTGATTGTGCCTTTCTTCGATTCGGTTTTTATGCCAGTGTACTCCAAAGCTCTTTCCGTAGCGGTCATGGTGCTTTCCAAATCCGCCCAGGACTTCAGAGTCGTTTGAACTAACGAGCCTAAACTTAGCACTTGCATTAGCCCCAAGCCGATATTTCCAGCAGAAGCATCTAAAATAAATTTGATAAAATCATCGAAGGGTGTCTATTGTGCGTTTAAAATATACCTGTATCGAATAAAATAAAAGTTGACACCACCATGGTGACCATTGCAGCAGCCATGGTTTGCATGAAAAACGCGAAAGCGTATTGGAAATTCATTAGAGTGTAGTGGGCAGAAGTGAAAACATCTTGGCGCTTTTCGTATTCGTTTATAACCAAATTTTCCGCTCGGAAAGCTCTTATCGTAGTGGCGCCTTCCAAAGCTGCGTTCAAATGACCTATCATCGGACTGCGAGCTTAAAAAAAAGTATAAAAAATCCTGTAACAATGCCTGCAAATTGTCCAGTTGCACTTACTCGAAGCTTCTAATCGTTGCAAATTCCTCGCTATCGGAAGATATATCTTGGAATAGATCAGATAAGTGCAAAATAGCAACAAGGCGTATATCAAAAAATATGGATTTACCGATACCAGCAAAGCTACAGCTCCTCCTACGCTAAATAACACCTACGAATCAATTATCAACCATGAGTACATTCCTGGTTCAAAATCAGGATGATCTGTTATTGAACTTACTCCCAAAGACCCGCTCAATTCGAACGGCAGGTTCTCGTCGACGTTGGTGATGTCCTGCGAGAACCGATTCAAAATGTTCCCGATGAAGTGGGAATCGAAGAAGGTCACGGCGGCGTGCAGGACGGTCCGCACCATCGATTCGTGGATCCTGATGGACGCTCTCCTGCAAAAGTCCAGGAACGTGTAGGTTCGAACGAGCTCCAGGACGACGGCGACCGCCAGCATGATGGTGTAAGTTCGAAACGTCGAAGCCGCTCGGGAATCGGCCGTTTCTAGAGCATCCCGCAGTTCGGAGGAGTTGGTGGAGGAAATGGTGATGTTGATTTGGAGGTTTAGGACCCGTTGCTTTTCGTCGCTCCTGGAAAATTCGCGGTAGCGATTGAGTGAGTTTGCAGAAGGTATCAATTGACACAATCGTTTATCTACCTTCTAAATGTCTAATGCAAATCGAATACTTACCAAACGGATAGCAGTTTTTCGCAGTAACTGTCCGACGCTTGATTGAAACCAATTAGCAGCAAATTCATCAGCAGTATCAGCAAACCGCCGCCGTGTGAAATGTACTTTTTATAAACCATCGCATCGACTCCGCCTTGTTTCAGCTGTTCTTCGTAGATATTTTCGTGAACAGTCTGCTCGGTTTCCAATAACTCATCGGTTTCGTGCGATTCGAATTCTGAAAATCCAATTTCCTCGGGACTCGATTCGTTTAAATCCCGCAATTCGCTGGAATCCTTAATGGAATTATCGCTGGAGTATTTTTGTAGTACACCATCGTTCATCGCGAAGACATCTTCTCGATCGAATTTACTTTCATCCTGGGTGATTAACAAGCAAATTTTGCTGCTGAGGAAATTCTTGATGCATTCGTTGTATATGAAATTGCGCACGTGCGCGTCCAAAGCGGACAAGCAATCATCTAGCAGGTAAATATCGCTTTGTTTGTAAACTGCTCTAGCCAAATTCACTCTTGCTTGCTGGCCTTTGCTCAGGTTCTGGCCGTTGTCTGTGAGAATTGTTTCGTCTCCCTTTTCGAAGAGGTTTAGGTCGTATTTAAGGGCGCATACTCTCAACACTTCTGCATATCTAAAGCGAACTTGTAATAATTATGGTTGTTTAGAAGACACTTCAATGTTCAACAAATACAACCAATGAAATTTAGAGTTGTTTTTACCTGTTTGCATCGAATTTTTCGCCGAATAAAATATTCTGTTTGATAGTGCTGGGGAATAACCAAGGGTTCTGGGAGGCGTACGAAATTTTCCCTTCCACCCTTAATGTACCGCCTTTAAGGGGATACTCCTGCAACATAGTTTTTAGAAGTAAGCTTTTACCGGAACCCACTTTGCCGGTGATTAAAGTTAGACCTGTTATCGCGTTGAAATAGATATTTTTTATAATTTCTTTATCATCGATGGCGATCGTGACGTTGTCGAGGTGTATCGAAGGCGTGGGGGTGTTTGAGAAGTCGTTATCAGTATTTATTTCTTCTGTTTGCAATACTTTGTTTATTCTCGACAAAGTGGTGGAAAATTCGGCGATTTTGCCGAAGGAGCTCGGTAAAAGATGGGCGAAATAGATTCTCAACGTTTCGAAATGGGCTGTTATGAAAAACACTACTGAAGCATCAGTCGGTTCGTCCATCCAAATGTAACCCATGATGAGCAGGTACAAACCTATCTTAGATACTATCGTTCCTATTAGCATGAGAATCATTCGAAGATAGAAAACTATAAGCATTTTCGCTACTTCTTTCCTAAAAAAAAAACGAAACATTTTGTTGCGAATTTCGTGCAAGGAAAACGGTTTTTTGTGGTAGAAACTGAGACTGTTTTCCAGTAGAAAACGTGATTGGAAAGTTGAGGTAAGTAGCATGCAAGTAGTTTTCCTCTACAAGCATATATAAAATAGTTTAGAGCAAAAATAATTAGGTTGAGTAGAGGTACAATTACCTTCTGGCAGAATCAATTTTTCGCTCGAAAAATTCCTCCCAAGCGTACATTTTGATTATTTTAATGGCCGTTAGAATTTCTTGTGTGAGTTGGAGTCTCTGATCGGTTTTCTCGCACGTTTCCGTTCGCAATTTGTTGATGAATTTACCAATCAGCACTGCAAATTCGTCGGTATAAAAACATAATAACGGGCTACGATAATATATTACCTTCTAGTGGAATAGCGCAGATAAAAACTCCGCTCGCGATCAATGAAACAGCGCCGATTTTCAAATATAATAAAAAACAGGTGGTGCATACTGTGAGGGTAAACACCCAGGAATCGTTAAAAATGAATATTGTTCTTTTGATTTGCTGGACATCTTTGGTGATTAAAGTGACGACGTTGCCCAAATTCGCTTGAGAAACGGCCGCTGGGCTCAGTTTGAGCACTTTCCTGAAGAGAAACGAGCACAGAGACGTCCTCACCTCTATTCCGATTAAATTCAGGAACAAATCGTAGTTGTGAAAGTACATTTTTTGGTACAAGTTCGCGAACAGTAGCATTCCGGCGTTGAGGATCGCGTCGAATTTCGTCATTTTTGTTTGGCCCGGGGTGAAATAATATACCAAATTACTCACAGCGTTCGGTTGCATTATCCTAGAAATTAGCTGTTAATAGAAAATGCGTTTATATACTTTTCCCGACCGATTTTTGGCTCACTTACCTATGATAATATTTCTTAATTGCTACTAGAAAGGGACATGCTACTCTTTACGCTAACCTGTTTATCAGTTCTGCTATCAGTTGTGTTATTCCCCATAACAAGTATCTAAACCCGTAAATTTTATACAGTACGTGAAACAATGATGGTGGTTTTCCTCCAGTTTTCTGTTTTCGATATTCTTCTTCGATTCTGTCCCCGCAGGTTTTCGATTCGCAACGTTTCGTAACTTCGTAAAGGTCATCTTCTTCGATGGTTTTCTTATAGTAGCCCTTTTTGATTAGGTCTGTTATGTACCTGAAAATCGGAAATTATTTGGAACTACTTTGGAACTTGAAGTATGATTAGATTGATAAATCGTTGTAGTTATGATGGAGTATTCTTTGTGAATACTTACCAAAATGTAATTAACGAAAAACAATTAGCTCGTTCTCTAGGATTTTTCTTGGTGTTTTTATTTTTTTCACGGATCATTATTAGCTAGTTCTTTCGAAATGCTCATTAGAGGTTCCCATTCTTATATTGCATCGTAAATCATTCAAGTGCTATTTATCTTAACGCTGTTCAAATAAGAACATGTGTTGAATTGTGAATTAATTTTTGTTTCTTAGAACTTAATTATTAACATTAAAATAAATAGCTTAATTTATTGTTCCAAGGTGTCCTACTTTTGATTTTATAAGTATAAGAAATAATTTTGGCCAAAAATGAAGCGTTTTTTGATCCAAATTGGAACATCAGATTTTTTATTTACTGACTTTTTTTCGATTATAATTTATTTTCGCAACTAAATTCTAACAATCTCCTTCACATTACTAGCAGGTACCCAATTAAAGTCTTAAAAAAATACGTTTTATTTTAAAATATTTACAAAATAAATAACTATCGAGAAGCTATTTTCCATTTCACACATCCGCAACTGTTCAGTCCGGCAAATAGTTTAACAAACCGGCTTGGCTGACCATTTTGTAGAAAATACCCCCTTTGTTTTTCAGCAAATTCCTGGGAGCATCGAATTCCTTTATCTGTCCCCTATCCAAGACCATAACCTTATCACAAACTAATATAGAATGCAATCTATGGGCTATCGTCAGCACGGTGCAAGATGCAAAGTTCTTCTGTATCGTGTTGTGCAGCAGCATGTCCGTTTCGTGGTCCATATTCGCAGTAGCTTCGTCCAGAACGACTATTTTGGTTTTCCTCAAAATAGCCCTAGCCAGGCAAATGAGCTGCTTCTGGCCAGAACTGAAATTCGAACCGCCGCTGCTGGTTATCTTCATATCTAGTGTAGGGATTATGTTTTTGATGTTGACCTCATCGAGCACGTTCCACAGTTCGTCGTCTTTAAACTCCCCGATCGGGTCGATATTGGAGCGAATGGTGCCGGTGAAAAGGACCGGATCTTGGGGTATTATAGCTAGTTTCTTTCGCAGGAATTTTAACGATAGCGTTTTGATGTCGACGCCGTCTATGAGAATGTTCCCATCGGGTTCGTATAATCGGAAAATCGTGGAGATTATCGACGATTTCCCGGCGCCTGTCCTTCCCACTATCCCGATTTTCTGTTTGGGTTCTATTCTGAAAGTCAAATCTTTCAGAACGGTTTCCGTTTGATTGTAGGTCAACGAAACGTTTTTGTAGGTTATCGCGCCGTTTTTCGGCCAATCCTCCATTTCTTTGCCATCTTTCGTCTCCTCCGGTATTTCGGTGTACTCCAGAAGCCTCTCTACCGAGGTCATTAAGTTTTCCAGATCCGCCCAAGTTCGTACGCCCCATTGAACCAGCCCAGCAAGCATGAATATCTGGGTCAATGTTAGACCGACGTTTCCAGCGCTTGTACCTAAAAAAATCCAAATATACATAATACCAATTTGATGTTACGATAACTACATACCTGTGTCAACAAGAATAAACCTGATTACAACGATCATAATAAAAATGGAGCACAAGAAGTCCATTATAAATCCGAATGCTCTCATGGATAGAAGAGATGTGAAATGAGCTGATGTGAAGACATCTTGGTGCCTGTCGAATTCCTGTATTAAAATATTTTGGGCTTTGTAAGCTCTTATAGTAGTCAAGCCTTCTAGGGAAGCATTTAGGTGGCCTATCATTGGACTTCGTGCTGTAATTAATAGAAATATTAATGATGTTAGTGAAAGATACAAAAATTGTACTTACAGGCGGCTTCCAATCGTTTCAAACTCCTTCCTGTCGGTAAATACAATTTTCTCAGGAAAAGCAGGAACGAGAAAAATATCAGAGCGATTATCAAAAAGTACGGATTAACCGTTGCTATGAGAATAACTATTCCAGCAATGGCGAAGGTTACCTAAAACCTAACCGAAATAAGTGGGGAATATCATAAATCAAGAGAATTCCAATATGTTAATGAACCTTAAATTGGAATCCTTTACCATAAAATTAATATTTCTAGCACGTACCCTAATGCATTCAGTCAAAATTAGCAGCAAATGCTCGTCGATGTTAGTCATATCCTGCGAGAACCTATTCAATATGTTTCCGATAAAATGAGTGTCGAAGAACGCCATAAGAGCGTACACTATACACTTCACCATAGCCTTGTGTATATTTATGGAAGCCCTTCTGCAAAAATCGTAAATCCCGTACACTTTTATCAACACCAACAACGTCGCCACCAGAATCATTATCGAATACAACTTTATCGTGTATTTTTCGTTGGCTCTCGCCGTTGCTAATTCCTCGTATTCTGTGAATGTAGCGTTGTACAGAGACGAATTTTTTTCTAGATTTAATGCTATTTGCTGTTGATCAACCCTGAAATGTTAATTATGAGGATTTGTTGAACGATTGTCTAGGAAATTCAAAGTGAAATAGGTATTGATTCTAGAGGTATAAGTGTAGATGTGGAGGTTCTAGGTCTGAAGATTCTAGGTCTGGAGGTTCCAGGTCTGGAGGTTCTAGGTCTGGAGGTTCTAGGTCTGGAGGTTGTAGATCTGGAGGTTCTAGGTCTGAAGAATCTAGGTCTGGAGGTTGTAGATCTGAAGGTCTAAGGTCTGGAGGTTCTTAGTCTGGAGGTCTAAGGTCTGGAGGTTCTTGGTCTGGAGGTTCTTGGTCTGGAGATTCTAAAACTTACCACTTGGTTAGCAGAGAATCCGAGTAGCTTTCAGCTCCCTGCGTCAACCCAAACAATAGTACAATAATCGACATCAGTATGAAACCACCTCCAAACATGATATACTTTTTGTAGGTCGAGAAATCGACTTCGCCCTTCTTGTTGACCTCCCCGTAGACTTTCGTTTTGGTGATTCGTTCGGTTTCGAAGGGTTCGCTCGGCTTGGCGTCGCCGTTCATTTTTTTGATATCGTTCTTTTCGTTTTCGATGACTTCCTTTTCGAGATCGTCGTCTTCCACGACGATCTCGTTGATTTCCTTGATGACCCTCTCCGTCGGCGGTCCGTTGTATTTGATCCGGCCTTCGTTCATTATTAATACTTTGTCCGCCTCCTGGATGTGGCCCACCGTTTGGGTCACCATTATGCAGATTTTGTCGTTGAGGAACGTTTTGATGCACTCTTTGAATATGTAGTCTTGCACGTGCGCGTCCAATGCTGCAATTAATAGATGGAAATGGCAGAAATTATTTGGGGGTATTTAGTTTACCAGTCAAAGAGTCGTCGAGAAGGTAAATTTCGCTTTCTTTGTACACGGCTCTCGCTAAATTTACTCTTGCTTGTTGACCTTTGCTCAAATTCAATCCTTTGTCGGTGACTATCGTTTCGTCTCCTCTCTCGAAGAGGCTCAAATCGTACTCCAGGGCGCAAACTCTCACCACTTCTTTGTATCTGAAAAATTCAACAACCACATTAATGCAACTTTGAGGAGCTTCATTTTAAAGGATCCTCTAACCTTTTTTCGTTGTATTCCTCCCCGAACACGATATTTTGCTTTATAGACGAGGGAAACAGCCAGGGATCCTGCGAGGCGTAAGAGATCCTTCCGAATGTTAATATGTGACCGCTGTTTAGAGGATAATCCTGCAGGAAAGTCTTCAACAACGAGCTTTTCCCGGAACCCACGGTTCCCGTCACCAGCACCAATCCTTTATTGATGCTCAGGTTGATTTCTTTGAGAATGCATTTATCTCGGATGTGAACAGTCGCTTCCTTTAATTCGATACAAGGGTTATCGGTAGGAGCGTCGGATCCAATTTTGGGTGGTAATTCCTCGCCTAAATAAATAATTAAGTAGTGTATGAATTTAATTTTTTTTTTTTTGGGTTAATACCTCTAATGACTTTGTTGATTCTGGATATGGCGGAAAACAATTCAGCACCCCTTCCAATGCTGTGCGGTATTATCACACCCAAACTGTGTTTGAGGTCCTTAAAAATGGATAGTAGGTAAAAGATTATTTCGGCTTCCGTCGAAACTCCCATCCATATGCAGGATATCACCAATACATAGAAGCCGATTTTCGAAAACAGCACTCCCAGTAGAAAAATCACCATTTTCAAGTAGAAACCGATCATCATTTTGTTGATTTCTACTCTGAAAACGATTAAAATCAATCTTGTGGCGCACACGAAATCATTTAGCAGCCACTTACAATCGCGAGTGATCGATTTTATTCCTGAAATACTCCTCCCATTTGTACATTTTAATGATCCTAATCGAAGACAACGTTTCCTGCAACACCTGCAACCGTAGGTCAGTTTTCGCTCCTGCTGCTAGCCTCATTTTGTTCACATATAATCCGATGATAACTAAAAAATCTTCGAATTACCAGAGGTTTGTAGTGAATTTAAGCAATTACCTTGCAGAGGTAAAATACTCATCACTACTCCTATTCCAATAAAGGCCACCACTCCTATTTTAGCGTACAACAAATAGCAAATAATGGTGGTTTGAACAATAGCGATCCATCCATCATTGAATATCCAAATGGCTTGTTGAAAAGCGTAGACATCTTTGGTGATGAGAGTAACGATATTGCCGAGGGTTATTTCGGACACGGCATTGGGCGTTAATCTCAGAGCTTTCCTGTACAAAAGCGACGAAAACGAGGTCTTTATCTCGACGCCGAGCTGTTGCACCCAAATACCGTAATTGTGTATGTAGATTGTGTAGAATAAATGAAGGATTAATACCAACGCTGCGTAATAATAAGCCTCTGCTTTTGTCATCGTAATTTGGCCCGGCTTGAAATAGGCTATTAGGTTGCTTATAGCCCAAGGTTCCACGACGCTGCAAATGAATTTTGTGATAAATTTCGTCGGTTTGATGTGGTAATAAAATAATCGCATAATTTTCTGTTAATCCGAAATCAGGAAACCAACAATCAAACGACCGTTCAATTTACTCATTATGCAATTGTTGGAAATAACGTAACGTTGTTTTACGTAGAATAAACGAATTTTTTAGCGTAAAGTGAAGCAAGGAGTTTTTTCTCAAACAGGAAAATTTATTATTGAGTATGAAACAATACGAAGATTTGTTTGTATTTCCAGTGTTGTTAATATAAGCGAATAAAAACTGACCTGTTGAAAATTTTCCAGCAGACGTGAATTAATCCCATGGCGAGATACCTCAATCCGAATCGGGCCCACATGAGCCGGTATATCGAAGGGGATTTGTTCAATTTGTTTTTGTTGACCAATCGCCAATGTTTCTCGGTTAGGTCTCCGCATTTCGAAGATTTCAACGGCCTCAACACTTCGTAGAGATCGTCTTCTTCGAGATCGCCGTTTTTGTAGCCTTTCTTAAACAAACTGGCGGTGTATCTGAAAATCGGCGGGGTTTAAAATGGGGCGGTTTGCTGTGAGAATTTCGTGTATTTTTTTCGTAACGATTTAGCGAAATGAAGTGCATGCCGGTTTCCAAAAACATTCGCAAATTTAGCTTTTCTATACGTACCTACTGATGTGGTGTATAATATATTTACTTACCAAATTATTGGTAAAAATAAAGAAACTGCCAATATTTTTACTTTGACACTTAAATTTTGAATAATTCTGCGTTGGAATATTAATTTTTACAGATAGGAAAATAAACGTTTTATTGAGTTGAAGTCACTCTGGATAGGAAACATTTATCAATGTATGTATGCAGGGTGATTAATTAATTTACTATAAAAATCAGTTTTGTGATTAATTTACTCTTCAGTGGGAATTTCATGTTTCAAATTAAGGATAGCATATAATTTAGAAAAACTAATTAACATACCTACCAAAAACACGAAATAAAAATATTTTACAATTCGATAACAAATATTCACATGCTGTAAACGTTTATTAAAAAAAACAATACTTAACGAAACGATTATTGTTAAAAATTAATTATAATTATTTCGATAACAATTAAGCTGCTCCTCGAAAAGACGTGCTTTTATCGCATGAGCGATCCTGGTAATTTTTTACAGAAAATCGCTTCGAATCATATGATGCAGAACCGTAACAAAGAGTTACTTTTTTTTAGCAAACGGAAAATGCATGTGCATAAAAGGTACTTATTGTTCATGCACTAATGCCTGCAGTAAATCAACGATGTAACCAATTGCATCGCAATAATGCAACCGCGATTAACTAAATTATGGGCATTTATCTATTATTAAGAGACTTAATTAGGTATCTGTGAATTTTAATTTAAAAATCAAAGTTAACTCAAATTGATTAGTTTGATTTAGTTGTTTTCAACTGATTAATTAGTGATTGTACCTCTATTTCTACTGTGATGGTAATTAGAAATTGTAATGTAATATTTATTTAACGAAAATTAATCTGCTGTATTTGATTTCAATGAAAAACCCACTGAAGAATGACCACTTTCGATTATACAGGGTGGAACAGATTTGAATGTATTTTAGAAAAAAATCATGAAACAATTTATATGGATTACAATTTGAATTATATTCGTTTATACAGGATGTAATTAGTATGAATTGTTATCAACTTTTTTAAATGTTTAAATTTTCGATTGCTCATCTAAATAAATTGATATTTTTAATCAAATTAAGCTCAAATTACTTGCAAAGAAAATCTATTCAAGATTTTTCTCCAAATACCAGCTTGGAAACATCCCTATATGTTGAATATTTAATCGAAACATAAATTTTCATTACAACCAATAATTTCTAAAATAATCATTAACTGAATACAATTAAATAGATGATTTGAGATACTTACGAGAAAGTCAGAAGTGAGAAAATATTGGCCGTCTCGCGGGGATTGCGTTTCCGCTTTTTCTGTTCGCAATGATCCATTTTAGAGCATCCCTCGAGTGCGATATCAAAATGGAACTTTCATTAGCGCCCCCGTTGGACCTTCGTCAAGCAGAAAAAAATATCTGTAGAGCTTATACAGTTGGCGGACACTCGTTAATCGGCTAGTTAAAAAACTCATGGTGTCCCGTTTTCGAATTGCGGGTGTATTATAAGTTTAGCGCAAAATGAGTACATTTACAATATGTGTCACGTCTTTTAAATTTATTACAATACTTCTTAAAGAGGAAGTGCCGTGATTAATATCAGACCCATAATGGTTTCGTCCAAATATAGCTTTAAATTGATGTATTAAAATAAAGAATAAGCCAAGTGGCTCCTCGACGAACGTCAATGTTTAACCACTGGAAATAGGTGATAGTTTTATTAAATCTTATTATTTTAAAGGAAAATTTTTATAGTTATTTTTTTTAAATACCAATTAACCTGACCTACAAACGATACATGTAGATATGTTTTAAAAACATTCATTAAATGTTTTCAATTATTTATAAACACGATTTAGCATAATTGAAAATACCCCCATTTGTTAAATAATTTAGTTAATGTCTATTGAAATATTATCGATCGAAAGTTTTTAAATTAATTTGCAGTACTTGCTCATTACAAAAGAATACCTAAACTCCTGTTACAATTAATCATCTATTCCATAAGAAATTCCCCATCACATTCCAATTTTGTACATTTTATTATAAAAAATAGTTTAAAAAATTTTAAAACATTTGATGTAAAATTTTGGATAATTAAAAATTAATTCACAGAGTAGATACATTGGCGAAACTGCAGTCTAATTGAATTCAACATTAAAGTATAAATATTTCAGCAGTTTGCTAATAATTTTTTACATATTGTATAAGGTGTTTAAGTGTAACGATAAAGTTATTTGTGATACTTGTAACAAATTTTAGTGTGATATTTTTCAACTAATCTTTTTCAAAAAGTAAGTGCATAATAAAATTTATTTTCATTTATTGATTTGGTTAATTTATTTTAGACAATTATATTCCTTAATTGAAACTTTTTGATAAAAAATTATTAACTAAATTTTATGTTAAATACATTATTGAGCAAAGAATTTTTAAAATAAAAAAATGAAATTACCTAATAATTTTGTGCACAAACGAAAATTGCTTCGCAGCTTCAATTGACAACTGATAGAATTAAACTATTTTCATTTACTGCATTCGGCGTGAAGCATTTAAAACAAACAATAGTTGTCGTAAAAAAAATAATAAATAATTAAAAAATGTTGCGAACCAATGACCTATATTCAAAAATTCAGGGTCAATATTAAAGGTTAGATCGAACGGTCTATTGATTTTTTATTTTATATAATTCGAAGCACGCTTAATTTAATTAATTTCGCTCAACCGCCGAAGAATCGGAAAATATTTTGTAGGTTAATGTTATACAGGGTTATTGTTTTTTTATTTACAGGAACTCTCATATGTGGAATATTAATTATTTTCTACCAGTCGGTATAATATATGAATCACAAAAACTGATACGAAATTTTTTAAAATCAAATCCATTGATTCATCTATAAATTTATTATCTAGATATTATTTATTAAAAAAATTCGTTTGTAATTTTAATAGAAAACGGATTTTTTTTTTGGTACATACCCCGTAAAAAAATGCTCGGAACGATTCAAAAATTTAAATCATCGGAACTGCGAAAACGTCCGTACGTAACAACACAATAACGTATTTACAGTCGAGTCGGTTCAACTTTAATACCCAATTATCAATCAAAAACACTATTCACTTAATTTTTAAATAACTTAAATATTATTATTCCTATTATGTGTTTCTTAACACAATCATGTTTTAGCGTTTCGTAGATTCGTTTCGAACACTAAAATTTAGAATATGCGAAACATTCGCGATTTTCGCGAGTTTTATTCAAGTCGGAAGCCGACATTGTAAATTCGAGCAATTACTAAATCGTGTTATTAGAAAATTGTTTCTATTTAGTTCTATTTAGACTTTTGGTACTTAAGAAGACGCTGGCCAAAATTATCGCAAATTAAATGTACACAAACCTTGCATAACCAACAATAATTTACTATTTTTCTACAGAGAGATCATAATAAATCATCAAGTCTTCAGTTCTTCAAGCTTCCATTGATTGATTTACTTCAGTGCCCTATACAGTAATAATTTAACACATCTTTAAATATATAATTATACAAAATATTAAGTATATAAAATTATAACGAAGGTTTAATAATGTTACAAAAGAATTCATCAAAACAAAACCTACTAATAAGTTAATCAACAAATAAAAATTTAAGTAGATTTGCCGATCATTTGGTAGAAAACTCCGCTTGTATTTAATTTCAATTCCTCCGGTTTGCCTTTCTCCACGATTCGACCCTCTTGCACGACGACAATTACATCGCAATTCATGACAGTTTTGAGCCGGTGCGCCACCAATATTAAAGTGCACTCCTCGAAATTCTGCTGCAGAATGCAGTTGATCAGACATTCCGAAGGCAAATCGACGTCGGACGTGGCCTCGTCCAAAATAATGGTTTTATTTTCGCCCAGTAGACACCTGACCAAGCAGAGGAGCTGCTTCTGGCCGGCGCTGAAGTTCGAGCCCGATTCGGAGATCGGAGAGTATAGCGATTCAATCAATTTTTCTAGCTGGAGTTTTCGGATAACAGACCATATTTGTTCGTCTGTGTGTTTATTGCAAGGATCCAGATTCGCTCGAATTGTGCCCGTGAACAGAACCGGGTCTTGGGAGATGATGGAAATGTTCCTTCGAAGGATTTTGCGAGGAATGTTCGTTAGATTCGAAGGTCCTATAAAAATATCGCCTTCGTATGGATAGAGCCCTAGCAGAAGCGATATCAAAGTCGATTTTCCAGCACCTGTTCTGCCGATTATTCCAACTTTTTGTTTCGTTCCGATCTCCAAGTTGATATCTCTCAAAACGTAATCTTCGTTGTATTTGAAAGAGACGTTTTGGAACTTTATAGTAGCTTCATCAGGCCATGTACAAGGGCTTTTAGCATAGCTCAAGTCTTGTTCTAAATCGGTGTATTGCAAAATTCTTTCTGCGGACGTCATTTTGTTCTCGATTTCCGTCCATTTTCGAAGTCCGTATTGGACTACGCCTGTTAACATGAATGCTTGGGTTATCGCTAAACCCACATCGCCCACAGAAGATCCTAAAATTTTAATAATTATTACCGCTTTAGATGTAATTGTGTAATGATGTGTAATGTACCTAGATCGAAAAATATAAATGTTCCAATAATCGCGCCTATGAAAATAGTGCAAGACACGTCCAGGTAATAACCGAATGCTCTATCGCAGATTTTCGACATTAAACTTGCTGAAACATTTAAATTTTGGTGTCTATCAAATGCTTCAGTGAGGGTCGATTGAGCACCGAAAGCTCTTATAGTCGTTAATCCTTCTAACGATGAATTCAAGAACCCAACAACTGGACTTTTGGCTAAAAAGTTGGCAAAATTACGATATTGGTAAAATAAAAAAATTGGTATTACTAGCTGTATCCAATCTTTGTAAGCTCCTTCCAGCCGGAATGTACACTTTCCTTAATAAGTACAATACAAAGAAATTTCCAATTGTTGGTAACAGAAAAATTATATTCACGCTCGATAATAATATAACAATTCCAGCCATACCAAAAAATATCTGAAATTAAACAAAAATATTTAATATACTTTTTGTAGTACATTGCAGTTGGACAAACCTCTAAGAATTCGTACAAGGCGAATGGAATCTCCTCGTCGACGATGTTCAAATCCTTGGAGAATCGATTTAATATGTTACCCAGTAAGTTTCGATCGAAGAACTTCATGGAGGCGTTTAAAACCGATTTAATCATGTCTACGTGAAGTTTCAGCGAAGTTTTTTTGCTGAATCTGAACACTGTTAGTCCAGACAGTAACGCTAATATTGTGGTGGAAATGACGAATATAAAATATAATAATAATTGTTTGTTTTCTAATGGTCGAATTACTTGTTGCGTGGAATTGTTGTGTATTGTATCCACCCTGAAATAAAATTGTAATTATAGAGATAATTGATTAGCTATTAGGACTTACCAGTCACTTAAGATTTTTTCCGAATAACTTTTAGAGAAGTGTGTACCGAAAAATAGTATCATAAATAACGAAATAATCATTAATCCTCCGCCGGAGTGGATGTATTTTTTGTAAACATCAATATCCACTTTTCCTGATTTATTTTTTTCTCTATACACATTCTTGTTGTCCGACAAGGGAATCAATAATTTCGAAGATTCCGCCAAACCCTCATCATTTATCGTTAGTTCTGCATTACCATTTTTATCAACATTGATTTTATTTACGTCTTCTATTCGGGGAACGGGACATTCTTCCTCATCTCTGCGATTTTCAACCTCTACAATTTCGTGATCCTTCATATGAACTACTGCACCAGTTCTGACTAATTCCAGATTGTGAGTGACAAACAAGCAAGTTTTATTGCTCAAAAATCGCTGAACACTATTAATAAAAACGAATCTTTGAACGAGAGTGTCCAAGGATGCCAAAGGATCGTCTAATAAATAGATATCTGCTCGCTTGTACAGAGCCCTGGCTAGGTTGATTCTCGCTTTTTGCCCTTTGCTGATGTTCGCTCCTTTATCGCCGATATTGCGTAATTTATCTATAGAAAAATCCGTTCTATTTATTGGTAAATTATCGATAATAAATCGAATTAAAGCACTTACTGAGTGGTGTGCGTTTGAGGTCGAAATCCAACGCGCAAATCTCCAATATTTTTTTGTAGCGGTCCTCGTCGAATTCTTCCTCGAATATTATGTTTTCCGATAAAGTTCCCGGGAAAATCCAGGGTTCCTGAGGCGCGTAGGAAATTACTCCTTCTTTTACCAGCTTTCCTCCATCTAACTCGTATTCTCCCATGATAGTTTTTAATAGAGTTGTTTTCCCGCTTCCCACAGGACCAGTCAAAGTGACCAGACCAGAGCTGATGTTTAAATTCACATCCTTTAGGATTTGTTTATCGTTAATGCGCACCGAGCAATTGGTTAATTGAATTTGGATTGTATTAGTGTTGTTTTCGAGTTGATCGATAAGTGGAATTTCTTTTGACTTTAGTAAACCTTCTAGTCTTTCTATGGCGGGTCGAACTTCAGCTGTAACTAATACTCCTGTGGGAATTGCTATGTTCAAAGCGTGTCTTATTCGCATAAATAAAGTTGTTATGTAGTAAATCAGTTCCGCGGAAAATGCGTTACCCAGAAGTAGATAGGAAATTAGCAGCGAGCAAAAGGCTATTTTCGAGGATAAATTACTGAGTAGAAATGTTAAAATTTTGTATATTGATATTTTCAGGATGGCTTTCATTTCTTTCCTGTAAAAATTCGTAGCTGATATCTTAGGGTATGCTGAGAAATGTTTGTGTACTTACGATCTGTGCGTATTAATTTTTTCTTCGAAAATATCCTCCCAATTATTCATTTTTATCGAACCGATACCGCTTAAAGTTTCTTTGGTAACTTGCAACCGCGCGTCCGTTTTTTCGTTCGATTTCAGTCTTAATTTCGAGGTAATTTTAGCGGTGCAAACTAAAAATTACAACCCACTAATCATTCGAAAATTACTAATAGTAATTACTTCAAAAACAAACAGCGAGAGGCTTACTTTGTAAAGGAATTGTAACGCACAAAATTCCCATTCCAACGAAAGCGGACAAACCCATCCTAACGAACAGCAAACCGAAGACAATTACTGCTTGAGCAATTCCGATCAAAGTGTCGTTGAAATAGAAAATGAACTTCTCCACAGCGGCGACGTCTTTCGTCATTAAATTCACTATCCTTCCGGTGGTTAAATCGGATAGAGCGCTGACGGGTAATTTCAGGCATTTCCTGAACAACACCGAGCAAATGGAGGTCCTTATTTTTATTCCGAATTCAGAGAGCTTCAAGAGGTAGTTGTGGAGGTAGGTCACGTTGCAGAAATTTAGGAGGATTAGCAGAGATGCGTAGAAAATTGCTTGGTTTTTGGATAGTTCTTTTTGGTTCGGTTGAAAGTACAATATCACTTTGCCCAGAGCCATTGGGATGGTTACTCTAAAAATCGAAATGCTCGAAATCTTGAGACTTTCAGGGATACTTGGATTTTGATTATTAATGTCTGTATCGAGCATTTAGTATTTTTTAAATTGTAAAATGCATTGAAGAAATATTAAAAATGGAACTTACATTACTGCAGATCTTACTATCAGCTGCATTAATCCCAGCAGTAAATAATTCATTCCGTAGCATCTCAATAGAATTTTAGATAAGGAAATTTGTTTATTATTATTTTTGTATGTCTGTAAATGGTTTTGTAATGAAAGTCCAGACACTTCAGCTTTATAAGTTTTTGGAATGTCTGGAAGTTGATGTTCTTCGAACTTGCCTGTTTTGAAAGTGTTCCAGATTGTTCTTAAAGAGTATCTGCAAAAATTTTAAACTATTATATTTTTTTTATTTAAATATTTTTATAAAAATACATTTTATCAAATAAAATATTGCTAAACAAGTACCTACTTACAAAAAAGTTATATTCGATAAAAAATTCGCGTTCGTTTTCGGATACTTCGCCCGCTCTTCATTTTTCTGCGAAATCATCTTTAAACGACAAAATATCACTGGGAACTTCATTGTTATATAGAAGTGGCAAAAAAAGATAACGTAATCAAACAAAATAAAACATTAACAAAACCAAACAAAATTTATTCACATTTTATCCCCGTCTATATACTACCATGTCAAATAATCCCATCACTTACAATTACATTAAGTGTGCAATCATTTCCAGACGGAAATGTTTATCGAATGTACTTTATTACTCAGTCCGCTATTTAAAAGCTATCGTATTTTTTATATATTTTTTCCAACATCTAACAACAAATATTGCATATTTCAACGGAAATGCGCCTTTGTTTATTGATTAATTACGAGATTGTATCAATTAATGAGTCAATCATAATAATATTGAGGAGGTGCGGAATAAATAAACAAACAGTAAAGATAAAAACAATTTATTTCAACGTAACTTTAGAAACGTATTCTTTCGCTTTTTCCTTAACTAATTCGACGCTTTGTTCTGTTCCGTGCTGCTCCTCGAACATCCTGTACTTCATGAACAACGTCTTCATGCTCTTCAAAGGCAATCTGTGACAAACTGATCTCTCAAGCACTTGCCTAAAATCACAATAAACATTAATTAAATTATAATTAATGGAGTATTCCTCTCCATTGGTTCTAATAACAAACCTGGCTTGTTCGATGTTATTTTTCTTAACCAGTTGATCTACATAGGTGGTCCAAACGGTAACCTTTTTGGGATCAGAACTGAGGATCGTTTCGAAAATTGCTGCTCCGTGGTCAGGATCGCCCAATTTGAACTCCATTATAGCAAATTTAACTATTATTTCCAGTTCTGAAAGAGTAATAATTAATTAAAACCATTCGAAGTTCAAGAAAAGTGTTAATAAAATGGCTACCACAAAGTGGATATTGTAATTTGGTAACTAGAAACTCTACAGGCAAGTATTATTGTAATAAATAACACTCATTGTATACAGGGTGGTACGTTAGAAACGGAACAAAGGTGTTTTCGGGTAGATGGTCCACAACAAACACCCTGTATAATGTAACATTACTTACGAGATTTTTTGTTATCTATAGATTTCAACGCAGCATCCTTTATATTACGAGCGTCTTTGAATTGGCCGAGTTCGTAGTAAGTTTTAGCGATTTCCAGCCACATTTCGGGGACCTGTTTGTACTTGTTTCGGGCTTTCTTAATTTTCTCCTCCATGTCGGCCAGTTTTCCCGATTCGGCCAGCATTTTGACGGCCTGAAGGTAAATTTTTAGCGAGTCGTTGTATTTAACGGCCTCTTCGAAGGTTTTATCGAACGATTCCTGAATTACAAACGAATAATGAGTTCGAAAGATAATTGAAAATTGGCGTTAAATACTTTTGTTCCTAGCATGTTTTCTAAATTGAGCAGAGCTATCCAAATGTTGAATCTTTCATCTACTAGAGTCATGTTGATTGCTTCTAACGCCCGTTTAGCTACGACCCTGGCTTTATCGAACTCTGTGGCCTGGAAAAATAATGCGATTTAATACGATAATTTCCAATAAAATGCCGTTCTTACAGCAGTATGGAAAGCTATGTATTTGGTCCAAAGTTCCGACGAATTAGGATTAGCTAACAACAATCGATCGAATTGTTCCGCATTCTCTGGCGATTTACTCGCATCGGCCAGCTCTTTTTCGATCTTCGAAATTCTCTCTTCTTCTTCTTTGGCTTGTTGCAATCGTTCAGCAGCTGATAGCTTCTTTTTCTTCGTCACCGTCGTTTCCTGCAAAACGTTTCAATTGTATTATTACTCTCGATGAATCGCCGCTCAATTACCTCTAATTCTTCATCCGAAGAAACATCCGCTTGGTCATTGCTGGCTACATTGAAGAACGAGCTGACACCGGATAGAACAGGCATCCTGTCTTTATCGCTAATATTGTTATCAACTTGTAAATAGGTTTCTGTAATGTCCTCATCATCTTCACTATCATCTTCGCTTTTAATATCATCGCATTGCTCTTCCATTGGTTCGGTTTCTTCGTCTGCACTTTCTTCTTCAGATTGCACTTCCATCGCCTCACTTTCGTCATCTACATCTTCATCTTGATTGGTGTCTTCTTCCTCAATTTGTATTGTATTCTCGTTTGTATATTTTTTAACAAGTCTACGTTTTTCTATTTGCTCCAATTTGCTTTCGTTCTTCTCCAAAGCCGCGTAGAGTTTCTTGTTCATGCCAATTACGAGTGTATCAGCTTTCCTAAATAATAAAATGCATTATAGTGTGTTTGAAACAATTAAATATTAATTTTTTGGGGGTTTTTACTTACCCGCATATGCGAAGTTTGATCTTGTCTTGTTGATAATGCTTCGAGCAGCCTTCGAAATCGTTTTCGTGAAGATTCGTTGGTGCATAAACAAGTTGTCTGTTGCCATCTTTCTGTTTTAAAAGAGCCAATATGGAATCGTTTCCGATGAGTAAAGTTTCAGCGATGCAAGTCGCGATATTCAATGATGATATTGTCCCGTCTACAAAGAATAATAAGATAATTATACAGGAATATGTACATAATATTTACTAACCTTGAAGAGGGTTTATTTTTTGGTATATATCGGGTTTCAGGCATACTTCTGCGTAGTTTTTAGTGAAGTTTTGTGATAAAAACACACCCGTAACATTCTCGCCTTCTTTAAGTTTGTCTATAAAAAGCGTATGATTAACAAATATGATTTTCATGTACCTAATTAATCGGTATTACCTGGACAAAGTCGAGGTGCTACTAATCCATTAACTCCGTTCGGTAATTTAACAAGACAACCCCCTTTTTCACCTAATTTTTCAACTTTACAAACTATTCTTTCTCCCGGTTTATAAGCGCAAATGTCCCAATTGTGCTCCATTCCGAAATTTCGAATGCGTTGCAAGCTAGTCAAGTATTCCTTGAAATATTTGATGGAGTCCTGGAAAATTTACATATTTTATAGAGTTTAGAATATATTGAAGCAAACTTACATCCACGCTGCTACTAAATACATCGTTTAATTTAGCCGTTAAACGAATTTGCTGCGGCTTTTGCGTTATTTCAACAATTTTTGTAACTATACTTTGTTGTGGAGCAAACGAAGGCAGCTTCCCACTCGCAATAATATCCTGCAAAAATTATTAATTAGGCACTATAAAGGGATTATATGTTGAAAAACTCACCCTTTTTTTAATCAATATTTTCTCCGAATAATCCAAAATCAAAGGCATTACGTATATACCCGAATTACAAGTCGATAAATACGAACATCTAACGACAAAACCCGGCTTCAAAGTACTGAATTTTTGCAACCTTATGTGCTGATGTCTCTTAAGAGCCGAGGCCTCTCTTAACGACAGCCAATTTCTCCCTTCGCTTTTACTTACGCACAATAAATCATGCATCTTATCTCCAACCTTATACGTTTCTGAAACACCAATATTTCGTTTTATTTCCAACACAACAAGCCTGAGAAACTTACTTAACATAGTCGAGCATAAGGATACAGTACTACAAAGGTGATTAGCATGTACAGATCCAATCGATTCCCCCTTTTTCGACTTAACAAATATCCTATCTTTCTTAATTCCACTGATAATACCGCTAACTTTTCGTCCAACAGGTATATCTTCAAACTCCTTGCGCTTTCTAGGCTCGCTCAACGAAAGAATAGCTGCGTCGTTTTTCACGCCTAATATCCAGGGATTGATCTAAAAATAACAGTCACCGATAAACTAAAAATGTATATTAAAAGTATAAGAGTAACCTACGACTTGGCCGATGTAAAACAGCAACCTAGGGTCAGGTTTGTTGTCTTCTTCTGCGTTGAGGAATTTCTTACTGAGCCAACCTTTGGCGTTTCCGTAGAACGCTATCATGGCTCCACCGGGTTTGGTTTGAACAACGACGCCTGGATAGGTTTCTCCTCTTTTGGCTTGGTTTATGTCGGTTAGGCAAGCATCGGAATCCACTTGGCCGGTTTTCAAGGTAAATAGAACGTTATCGTCTTTAACATCCAGTACCCTACGAGTGGATAAAATGTTAATTGCAATTGCGAGGTATGCGTTAAAGTAAAATTTACCTAGCTTTGATGTTTTGTCCTTCCCTGAACTTCTTCTTGATTGGATCGCTGTACGCGACGTTGGACACGTACAAATTGGACACGAAGCCTGTCACTTGTCCAGTAGATATTATCAAGCCTTCTTGTTTAATATCCTTTATTGTTGCGTTTACTAATTGTCCAACAGCAAGATCGTTGGAATTGAAAACGCTTTCTTTAATAACGGTTTGTTCTACTGTACCGATGTACAATTTAGACAACCTGTTGTAGTCCAATATTCTGCATTGATGTCGAGTGTTTGGAGCGAATTTTAATCGAATTGTTTCCGAAAAGTCCAAATTGGCGTACTTTTTCGGTAGTGAATTGATAAGCCTCCTGTTTGTTACGAGGCAAAGTGATTTCGATGGAAGTTTAAAATATACACCGTTGGGTGCTTTGGAAACGACCTAAAATAAAAATAAATATTAAGATTAAGGAAGCTAATAATAGAATTATCGATTTGTTACCTCTGCTTTAACGACTTCTCCTATATTATAGTCTGGTGCATGGATTACATCTATGTCAAAAGTGGTAAAATATGTGATTTTAACTGCATGATCTACGTATAATACATGAGCATTTAAAATGTTTCCTTCTTGATATTTGCTTAGATCTTTCATCAAAAAACCTTCATCGATGTACCCGAAGAAATTGTCGAGAAACTTGCATTGTAAACCACTCGCAGTAATCTAAAAAACATATTTTAATCAACCTAATTAATTTAATTAAAAGGCACTTACCTTATCGACTACTACTTCGACTTGCATTCCGGGTATTAACTTATATAAGTTATCGATTTCCTCTATTTTGGCGTTTTTTAAGTGTTGCGTTTTGTTACCCACCCTAAGAGTACTCGCTGCGTTTGAAATCTCGCATTTATGTATCACGCACCACAATAGTTCACCTGTGACTAGATATATTTCGAATTAAATTAGTAAAATTTCAGCACAAATCGAATATCTTACATAATTTCCTCGTTTCATCGGTATTTTTGAACGGTAGAAATATCCTGCAATTTTTTATTCCGGCACTCAATTCGTAGCCGTGTTCCAATTCGGACTGGACTGCGGCCCACACGAGCATTCCTTTTTCGAAAGAATTGTGCAATTTATCGCTGTAGATTTCTCGGGGGTTTAAGGTGCATTCCACGTGGATGCCTTTATCTCGGTTTTCGATGTTCAGGACTTTGGTCAAGACGTATTGGCCCACGGTGAACATTTTTGTGAGGAAAGTATCGTTCTTGAAATAAATCGTGTTAAATTAAATGTTTTCTTCAAGCGAATAAAACTTACATCTTCGTCTGCTTGTTCGAGTTTGTGGTTCAGATACTTCGTCAAGCTGTCTGATATATTCGTTATGTTAACGTGTCCGAAGGTTAAGCCGGGTAGTTCGATTTCTAGTGAGAAATTCGTGATATGCCGAATGCATCCCAAAATTAGCATATCTGTTCTAAGGCTCTGTAAATTTTAAGGATTAGTTAAGCTTGGGTAATTGTTATTTGAGTGTATTACGTTGTAAGATAGAGTTCCCTGTATTTTTAACGATGAGTGGAAGGCATCTTCGTTTAGGGTACCTTCGGGTTTTTTCTTCTCTTTCTTTTGCTTTTTGGGTTTAGGCTTAGTAGTTTGAGAAAATAACTAAAAAATGAACGGTTAATTTAGTAATTTAAAATAAAAAATGGGTGGTCAAAATATAAAATAAGTATTGGTAAAATAAATTATTATATCGGTGAAACTTACATTCTCTTCTTTGTTAGGTCGCTTCAAAGATTGAGGTGGTCTGGTTCCTCCACGTGGAAAATTATCTTCTTCAATTTCTCCCATATTAACTAGAAAATACTGAATAAAGCAGAAACAATTTCAAAAACATGCACACAACATGGAAAATGTTCCAAAACTTATAGGTTAGATTCTTCTTCTTTTCTCATATCTCCAAAATTGGCCTCGTCTGATTGTTACAGCCAATCAAGCTTTCGAGTTGATTTTCAGCAGCCACTTCATTTATCTACTATAAATTTGGTTTTTGTTGGTAAAATGATGGTAAAAGGATAAAAAATATAAGACAAACTATAAATTAAATGCATTTATTCAAAAATTAATGAACAATATATCACAAAAATGTATCATTTTCAATTTTTTCTGGATATAGGACGCGTTTCTCTAATTAACCATTCCCTAGCCTGCATTTGGCCTTGTTGCTCCAACAAAGGCCCGACGACTTCCACGCACTTTTGATGGTAATCGTTCAGCTGTTTGATTTCCTCATCAGTGAGCATATCCACCAAAATCAACTTGTTCATTTTCGGCACCAAAGTGATCGTTTCGAACGTCAAATACCCTCTATTGGCGAAATTATGAGGCGGATTGGCTTCCACAATTTCCACGATATCCTCGATCCTCAAACCGAAGTCTCCGTCTTGATAGTAACCGGGCTCGTTCGACACGAACATGCCCACCTGCAAACCGGGATCCGTATCTATAGGTCTCCAGGATATCCCCATTGGTCCTTCGTGGACGTTAAGATAGGAGCCAATACCGTGGCCTGTACCGTGAGCGTAATCCAGCCCGACTTGCCAAAGGTACTCTCTAGCGAATGAATCCAAGCAGTTACCTACAAGTACAGTTAAATTAATAAGAGTACGAGGATAAGTAGTAGTTGTGCTAACCCCTAATTTTTAACGGAAATATTCTGCTTCCTAGCTTCAGTTGTCCCTTCAACACTCTCGTGTAGCATTCCTTTTCGTATTGCGTGGGATTGCCGAAATGAAGGGTTCTCGTTACGTCGGTAGTACCGTCCAAGTACTGACCGCCGGAATCGCACAGGTACAACTGATCGCTGGTGATTTGTACGTCGGTTTCTTTAGTGGGTTTGTAGTGAATTATAGCACCGTGCGGCCCGACCGAACTGATGGTATCGAAACTGGGCCCTACGAAGTCCTCTTGTTGCTTTCGAAATCCCTCCAGCTTCTCGGCGCCCGATATTTCGGTGATTTTTTCTTTGTTCACGTTGTGTTCCAACCAGGAAAAATAGCAGCAAAGCGCCGCGGCGTCTCGTATGTGGCAATTGCGCATGCCTTTGATTTCCACCGGGTTTTTTATGGCTTTCATTATAGCTATGGGAGTGACATCGGTTGTAATGCGACGGTTTGTTGGTATCAGATCGACGAGCGCGTGGCTGGATTGCTCGGAGAACCAAACGTTTCTACAAAACAAATCGATTTTTATGGTAATTTTTCGATTTATTTCAACGAAAACTCACCCGTTAACTTGCCGCCCTAACTCCTCTAATTTCTTATAAACGTTTTCGTACGGTTCAATTTTGTAATTGCCGGAAACTTGGGTGTTTAAATGGTTCAAAACGTCCTTGGAAACTTGCTTATCGTTGATAAACAAAGTGAAAGAGTTATTTGCAATTAGAACGTACGAAAAAAATACCGGATTAAATTCGATATCTGACCCTCTAAGGTTCAGGAAATACGCTATTTCGTCCAGAGCCGAGAGTACCAGGTACTCGGCGTTCTTTTCTTTCATCGAATCATTTAATGACTTTAGTTTGTTGTCCACAGTGGTACCCGTGTATTTCAATCCCAACGGTTTCACCGGGTTCGTTGGTCTAGCAGGCCTGTCAGCCCACAGGAGTTCTATCAGGTTGGTACTGACGGGAACCAATTCGTGGCCTGTTGCTTCTAGCTTACTGTGCAAGGATTTGAATTTATCGAACGAGTATACTTTGGGGTCCACTCCGATTCGAGAACCCTTCGGAAGGGTCTTTGAAAGCCAATCGCCTGTACAGAAAAATACATATTTAAATGCCTAATAAGTTTATGTAAAGAATATTTAATATATTTTAAGATAAGATAAGCAATAAAACTTGTAAAAGGTTGGATAAAAAATGCTATTTATAATAATTGTTACCAACCAATTCATTTGAATCAAATTGTGTACTTTTCTTTAATGTTTTTGTACTGTTTTTTAAATAATTCTTACTGACCTTGAGCTGGTGTGGTAGGTTGTCCCTCTTTTGCAAGAGTCCAATTCGGATCCAGTTGTTGACTCGCTTGTAAATAGTACCTCCCGTCTGTGTAGAGGAGCGCCTCATTTTCAGTTATAATAGCCGTTCCGGCGGATCCGGTAAATCCTGAAATAAAGTCCCTGAATTTATCGCATTCGGCCAAGTACTCGCTGTTGTGGGCGTCGCTCGACGGCACAATGTAGGCGTGAATTGGCTCTTTCACGTATTTCGTATTCTTCATGTAGCCCCTCAATTTCTGAAGGAGATTTGTGGTACATTTCGGTGTCATCCTTAACCTGCAATACGAAGTGTTCGGTCTTTAAACGGTTCGACTGGCTAAAGTTATTGTATTACAGATTCATAAAGTTTTTATGCTGGTAGCACAGATAATAATTTTATCTTATCAAAATAGAACCAATTGCACTCACTTAACCTTAAAAATTAATTCAAATGAATATGGATGGAAGCACAGACAGATCACCTATGAATTGTTCGAGTTTACTTTCAGTTTGTTGAAAGTTGTAACAATAAGTAAATAAGGTAATTTTGCATGCAATTTGTATAAAAGGGAATAGATGACATTGATTTGAATGATAAAAAGAAAAAAGTAAAAAATCAACAATAAACAAATGACCTCTTTTCTCAACACGGAACGCAGCAATGACTTGTCATTCTTGTCAAAATTATGTCAGCCACCAAAAGTTGCTATCTCGCTTCTTAGGGTCTGAAATATATTGTAGTAAGTGAGAAAGAAACAATCACAGCCAACGTCATATGTCAAAACAATGACAGATTAGCATGACATCATCATTTTGTAGGTTAGGTTATTTTAAGAATAAATTTGATATAATTTAATAAAATCAAAAAATGTTTAAAAAAAGCAACGCACCACAGAAGAGGACATTGTCCTTAACGACTGATCAAATTAAAGAAGACATAGAGGCAGTGTGGCCGCACGACGAGCAACGGAACATGTTATATTATTGTTTAGACGAGAAGCCTCCTGTCGAGTATAAACTTTCGAAAATGGAAGAGTTCCTAACAGGTTCCAATAATTTAGAAAGCGTTCAAGAATCTCTGAAAGATTTAGTCAAGGAAGTAGAAAAATTAACCAATGAAATCAGTGATAACCTCACGGGCATTAAAAAGAAAATCGAAGACCACAAATCGAGAACAGATACACCCTAATCTTAATAAAATTTATTTTTTTAATTTGTCTTTTATTTCTAATGCGCAAGAAATACTTCAATCCCATAAATACGTTTTTATTTTAGTACAAAAAAAAAGAAAACTATTTTTATAATTTTATTTTTTTAACAATTCAGAATACCACAGTTGAAATGCGTAAAAATTAATGAATACACAAAGAACCGCAGCAAACCGATTATTTCTTTCCAGCAGGCTTGGCCGGCGCCTTAGCCGCCTTCTTGGGTTTTGATTTCTTATCTTTCAAAATTTGAGCTCTTCTTCTTTCCTGCAATTTCCTGGTCCTGATTACAGCGTTGTCAGGGGTCAGGGTGATCTGAAAACAATAAAAAAATGTATAAGTAATGAAATTTAGTTACCAAAATCTCATCAGCTATTATTAAACTATCAGTATTGGAGGATTAAAATCACTATAATATCATAAACACGGACCAATAAATTCATCATAATAAAAATTGCATTTTTTTTAAATAGGTACAATCAAACGTTTCACTTACTCCGCGTTTTTTAGCCAAAGCCTCGTCCCTTTGCAACTGCCTTTTTTGGTTCTTCAAGATAGCTTCCCTCTTGAGTACAGCAGCATACGGGTTCAATTTAAGCATAGCTTTAGTGTTGGTCAAAGGATTAAGACGACGAACACGGCGTACCACCTTCTTCCTATAAAAAAAAAACACAAAATTATTTACAAGTATCCAAAGAATAATATATCCAAATCTCGCAAATTAATTCCTTCAGATTAATTACTAATCATGGTTATTCAGAACCCAATGCTCTGTGAATGTCTAAATAATTGTTTTATCATCATTGTAGATCGAGTACTATTCGATATTTAAAGTCAAAAATACGTACTGAGGAGTCTTAAGCACGGCTTTAATCTCGTCGGCTTTCAACAATCTAGACAAATCGGTATTGGACATCTTGGGTTGAGGTAAATTGTAACCCTTCTTCTCGGTCGATGGGTTCTTCCATGTACCGAATAATTTGTCTAAACGTTGGAACGCCGATTCGGTCCAGATGACAAATCGACCCACGTGACCTCCAGGAGCCAGCTTCAACAAGTTCAACTTTTGGACACTGATGAGGTCGATGCCCGGGATGTTACGGAAAGCTTGACGAAGACCTAGAATCAATTGTATAGTCTATAAAAAGCAATTTACAAAGTTGATATATGAAGATTTGCATAAAAGTAGGATTGTTTGTTGAACATTGCCCTTTTCTGATATAGTAACCAGAAAGGAACGCCTGTAGACAACAATTTCTATAGCACATTTTTGGAACACCCAGGGAAATTGATTCTGAGAGGATGTGGACATTTGTATGTGCATAAATCTGTTCAATAGAAATATTCTTATACCTTGATCTTTGTAGTAAACGATGAGTGGCCCTTTACGTTGGATACGTCTCCTGTTGCGCATTTTTCCTTTACCGGCACGGAACCGTTGGCTCTTGTAAACCTACAAAAACCAAACAAAACAATTATTAATAATCAGCAAAAGTATAAAAGAAAGTCGATTGGTTCGTAATAACATCAGAGCTTTTGAAATAAAATCAAAGTATCTCAGAAACACGGACCAAAAGCAAATCATCATTAACAAAATATAATCGAAATCATAGTGTATTCATCGTAATTACCAATACAGACCTTCTGGATGTCGGCCCAGGCCTTGATCCTCCTCAGGAATTGCACCGCCTCCTTGGTCTTGTGCATCTCCTGCACCTTGTCGCTGACGACCAACGGCAACTCGGGTATCTGATCGACCACGTGCCCCTTGCTCATCACCAAAGCGGGCACGCCGCTGGCGGCGACGGCCGACGCCAGGGCGTAGCGACGCTGGTTGATGTTGACGCGTCGGTGCCAGCGGCGCCACGGCTTGGTCGGGGCGAACATGCGACCGCCGCGACACATGTTACCGAAGGCTCCCTGGCCCGATCGGTGGGTACCGCCGCCTCGAACACGAGGTATACGGGCCACGGCGCGACCGGTTCCCCAAGACTCTGCGGAGGTTTGGTGACCTAGAAGACAATAAGAACTAAATCAGTTCACAAAGTTCGATTATTTGGCTGTGTAGCTGAAGAAAAGAGGCCACATAGACCTCTCCTAGAATCTTATGAAACTTTCTAAAAACTATAACCTACCAGCTTTGTCGCTGACGCTGTAGGGCTGGCGATGGTTCATGGAGACCTGCTGATGAACGAAATTGACGACATCTGGTCTGATTGGGGCCTTGAAGACAGCGGGCAGAGCGACACCGCTGCCTTTTACTTCTTCAGATTTCTCATTGTAAACGCTCACTAAAGGGCGAGCAGTGGATAAAGACTGAAAAGCAAACGGAGAGAAATTGTCGAGATGTTAGACCGATCACCATGATGGTATAAATATTGAAGTTTACTAACACACGTGGTGGAGACTTTCACGTTTGATTTAAACTGATACTCATCGTCGGTTATAGTTTTATTTAAAATAGAATATACGCCGGTTTTTAATTTGCTATTATATTTGTAAAGTTGCTTACCATTTTTCCTTAATTCCTAAATTATTTATAAAATCACCGCACACATCAAGCGAACCTTACGTCCGCCATTCAAAAGGAAGTTCACTTTAAGTTGTCGTTGTCGTGTCGTTTTTTCGATTGACGTTTCTCCAATTTCCGTTACGGTGTAGACTAGTGTAGAAAGAGTACACCAGTGTAATTCCGAATAAATTTTGTTACAAATCGAAATCGCCTATGACATTGACGTATGACAATGACAGTGACAGATCTGTGAAAAAAGTTTGTGATTTCTAACTTGTATATTTTTGCTGATACATTTTCAATTTCGTTGGAAATTTAATTACACTAGAGAAAAATGAGCTACGTTTTGTGTCCGGAAATACCAGAGCCGGGATTTTCATTCGAAAACTGCAAAAGGTAGGCATAATTTAATGTGGATATAAATTTGCACTGTCACCGACTTACTAACCTTAAAAAATGTAAACTTTTAGAAATGCCTTACTGGAAAGCAAGGGATTTACCACCCCTAAAGCTATCAAGACAGGTACTACAATCGTAGGGATAGTTTACAAAGATGGCGTGATTCTTGGAGCTGATACTAGAGCTACAGAAGATACTACAGTAGCCGATAAAAACTGCGAAAAAATCCACTTTCTGGCACCAAATATGTAGTAAGTACACAAAAATTTGGCAACCATACAGTCTAAATTAGATTGCAAAAGTAACATTGAACACCTTTTTCCAGTTGTTGTGGTGCAGGAACTGCCGCAGACACCGAAATGACCACTCAAATGGTAGCAGCCCAACTGGAATTGCATAAACTCTACACGAACCGAGAAGCTCGTGTAGCGACAGCCAACCAGCTCCTGAAGCAATATTTATTCAGCTACCAAGGCTACATTGGAGCTGCGCTGATTCTTGGAGGCGTTGACATCGAAGGGCCCCATTTGCACATGATTTATCCTCACGGTTCCAGCGTGGATTTGCCTTATGCTACCATGGGATCCGGTTCTTTAGCCGCCATATCAGTGTTTGAGTTAGGTTGGAAACCGGAGATGGGAGAAGAAGAGGGCATCCAGCTGGTTAGAAACGCTATAGCTGCTGGTATATTCAACGATTTAGGATCTGGTTCCAACGTAGATGTGTGTATCATACGTAAAGGAGTGGTAGATTATAGGAGGACCTACGATGAAGCCAATAAAAAGGGCGTGAGACAAGGATCTTACAAATTCCCCAGGGGCGCTACGGCTGTTTTGTCTACTAAAGTTGTCGATGTAGAAGAAGTTTCTGTTACACCCGTAGAAGCTGAAAGAATGGACGTTGCCGCTTTTTAAGTTCAATATAATTTTTGTCACAGGTTTTGTAAAATTAAATTATACATAATATGTATTTGTACTTTCTTTCGTATTTTTCGTGGAAGATACGTAGTGATTTGGGTTATCGAAAAAACGCCACAAATTTTTGCTTAAATTTATTATAAAAATAAAAAATTATCATAAAATATTCGAACATTTTTAAATATTAACAAGTAGATATAAATAGAATTTATTTAATATAAATATGTCGATAAAATCGAGATTCCTTCTTAATTCTTGTGAACGATAAAGTCCCAAGTGTCTTTCCATCTTAAATTAATAATATCATCCGTAGTTAAATCGGTCGTTCCATAACTGAGTACAAGGAACGTTTTGAATACAAACACCACATAGCCCAACCAACAAACAATCAGTACAAGAACAAACGTTCTTAAATATTTATAGTTAAACAAATAGCTACTTACAGCTGTATAAATGTGCTCTAAAGTAGCTACCAATAGAAGAGTTTTAAACGCGTAAGCTGGAAGGTAATTGTGTAAAAAGAGAGTCCTGTCTACGAAGAAATACGGTAAATAATGAATCAAGTAGCCCGTTAGAAATATTTCCCCGGTTTTTTGGAATTGCGACCAAACGAACGGTGGTAAATCGTAACACTGACGCCGGCGCCGCAGGAGGTATACAATCAATAAAATTATATATGTAAAAAATCCCAAGGTGCCCGTGTACCATATCGCCATATTGCCCAAAAGATGTACTTGCGCCTAAAAATATTGAAATAGAATCAAGTACTTGTATTTGAATAGTTCGAATACACTTACATTACTCGCTGAAGATATCCAATAAGCTATACCTCTAGACATGAACGGCCATTCATGCGGTTCCGAGCTGTACATGTGATTTTGCACGCTTTCGGTGTTCGCAAACACCATCTTGTAATGCAATTCGTAAAACTTTTGCCAGAAACTCAATGTAGTCGGAGTAGTCGGTATCATTTCGGCCGTTATCATTTCCCGTTCTCTCTCCTTCTGATCTCCGGCTGCAGTAACGTTGTTACCCAGTTACAAAATCCACTCGAATTATAATGTATTATACTTACATTTAGTGTACCTGTGTTCTTCAACATTCCACACGGTGTCATCTTGAACAATCACCCTGTCGGCTGCAACTTCGTGTTGATGGAATGCCCAATCGGGTAATTGCCTTCCCGTGAATTTTAAGGCTGTATTCGTGTCGATATGAATGAGCCTTATCTGAGATTGGATTGTGTGCCATATATCACCTATAAATATAAAATAAATAATTTTAGGAAACGTAAATAGTCCATTAACCCGACCATTCTGATCCCTGTTGATAATTTCGACTCTCCAAAGGTTCTGAGCAGGCATCGAGATGTTGTAATCGATATAGCAGGAAACTTCCTGGCATTGCGGGGACATCGGAGCAGCCACGTCGTGGGTGTTTAAAGCACGACTAGTTATCCCTAAAAAATACCTAATTTAGTAAACTACAATCGAAAAAATATCAAACATTTTTACCATGCACGAGCTGTATTACATCCCCATGTTTTATAGCATCCACAGGTTGTTCTACGGTTAATTCGTTTTTCTCCGGCCTTTTCACAATCCACCAATTATTAACATCTTTAAACGAATAACAAGTGACTTGTTGTTGATGACTGGACCCCCTTTTATCCGGATATCTAATCGGATAAGCGGCATTGTGGGAATGCAGCCAGCACGTTCTTCCATGTGTATGGCTAAAAAATCCACAATTAATTATTAAATTTCAATATTACTTCTATAATTTACCGTAAAGTTATTTGTGATCCGTGTGCCACGAGTAACGGTTGGCCTTTCGTGATGCTCGCAAGGCCCCCTTCTAGTGATGCTTGAAAAGCGCTGGTCATAATGCTGTCGTGCGGCCCCGCTTTATACAGGGTGTTTAAATGTATATAGAACACTCCTAAGTAAACGGAAATTGCTACAACTAGAGCAGTGAATGTTTGAACGAAGAATCTAAAGCAGAGAGCGGAATCGGAGACTTTATCTGATGATAGAAGCTTCCAGAAATCTTGCAAAACTATAATAACAGCCAAAGCGCAAGTGTAAATCCCTACGTATTTGATACTTACAGCGCAAGTTAACGAAACACACGATGAGATTAACCAGAGAAACCAAAATATCGAATACGGGTTGCTGTAATACTTTCGAAATTTTAAAATGGATAAGAGCCCGAACAACGAGAAAAATATCAGCATGGATTCCATGAGAATGAACCTACTTTGAGTCAAAAAGGCGTTATCTAGTAAAAATAATAATGCGGCTAGAAGAGAACTCCATTGAGACAAACCTGCTTCTAACATTAAATGGTATACAGTGGGAATTAAAATGCTGCCAAAAAAGGCAGGAACGAATCGTAATGCCACTAGAGGGACTGAGGAATTGTAAGGGGACCCTATTTTATCGAATTTGTATTTACCATCGTAGCCGGCAATGTAAGCTACAAGGGCAATCAACTGCTTGCCTAGAGGGGGGTGTGAGTCGAAGAAAAATGTGTTTTTCATATACAATGAAACGTATTTTCCATAATGTAATTCGTCAAATCTGAAAAAATTAAGAGATTAGTTTGAAGATGTATTTTTGAACATATGGTACTTACACTATATTTTTGGGTTCTTCCAGATTATACATTCGAGTTAGAACGCCTAAAGAAAACAGGACTAAAGATAGAATGTCTATTTCACAATTAATTCGAAACATTTTCGGCTTTTCATTTTGCTCCACAAAATATTTGGCCTCGTTATTTTCGAATTTCTTTTCGACTCCTTTGTTTACTTGTTTTTCTTTAAGAGGTTTCGAATTAGTTTCTTTTCTTTCATTCTTCAGGATTTCCATATTTCTACGAAAATCCGAATATTTTTAAAGTTTATATTTGATAACTGTCAATTAATGACGTTTTCGACCTTGCCCTTTATTCATACGTGTCTTTTCCGGTTTCTAACCGGTTTATACCAATCGGATTATGGAACACGAACTCAAGAAAACAGATTTCATGTCATTTATGTCAAAAACTGACATCTGCCAGTGTCAATACTTGTAAAATTCAAAACACTTTTTGATTGGGCAGGCGAATGGCTGACGGCGTACGTGTCAAAAAGTTATGAGCCGGTGAAATTTATTGTAAAATATTAACCAAAAAAATGGAATTCGTCAAATTTTGTATTCTAGGTACGTATATTTATCGTCCATTAATATCAAATCCAATTAAAATATCATTTCTAGCGTTATCAATTTACACTCTGTTCGAATCCACTCATGGTAGCATTGGAGGTTACATTAACCCCGCTGACAGGAACAAATTCATCCAAATCTTACAAAAATCCCTGGACATCGACGGATCGGATTTAACGCCCTATTATTATGCAGCCAAAGCACGCTCCATATTAAACTCCCCCTACGAGCCCCAGCAAGTTACCGACTACTGCAACAACATCAAAAGCAAATTCCAATACCAGAGCATCGAAAACAGTTTTTACGTTTACAGTGCCTGGAAATTATTAGGATGTCGGGGCCAAATTCATACCACTGAAGCCGTTAAGGTAAACTATTTTACGAATAATTAATTTCCATATTGATTAGTTTGCGGTGTGTATTTTATCAATATCTAGTAAGCTGATTGGTTGGGAAATCAACACTCAGCAATTATTATATTTGATGCTTTCTGTTAAAAAAACTGATAACAGTCTTATCAACACTTACTAATTTATACAAAGCACTTGAAACTTTATACTTTTAATACTAATTTTTAATGCTACATATTCAATTTATTTCAGGCTATTCAATCGGCTATAGAAAACCCCAAAGCAGCGATACCGGACATCCGTTACGGTCTGGAAATCCTGGTTATCGTAGGACAACAAGTTTCCAATCCCGCGAAAATAGCCCAAACCATTCAAACCAAGCTAAAAGAGGACGATAGTTTGTCGAATCTAGGACACGCCTTGCACGCCGGCTACCTCCTGGGAGATTCCGGTAAATTCGTATCGAGCAGAGTCGAAGACATTATCGTACAAGCCGACGAAGTAGACGGCAAATTGCTCCAATGGGAAGGCGGTTTGACAACAACATCTCTGTTGCTTACTGGATTGCTGAGAGCTCCGGGCTCCGCTCCTTTAACCGCTTCGCAATCCGATAAATTCGCCAATTATTTGCTAACCAGGAAGACTGTACAAACTCCTAAAGGCGTGCTTGGTTTAGTCGAAGCCGCTAATGCTCTTCAACATTCCACCGTCCCGCCCGTGAGCGTATCGATTAAAGGAATCCCTCAGGTGTCCCCGGAGAAAGGCGATCTGGTATTCCAAATCACCAGCATCTTCGGCGTACCGCTTAAAGTGCCTCCGAAACCGATCCAAGTGGAATCCGTTACTAAACTATCCGATAACAGCGTCGTGGTTTCTAATCAGGCTCTGAAACAAGGAGGATCTTCCATCGATTACGTGTTGCCGTTGAAATTGGACCCGGGTTTGTACAAAGTTGTAATCAGCGCCGGTCCGAATACCGCCGATTTCGCCGTTAGAGCTCTCGGTTCTTTGGCTATAAAGTCTTTGGAAATCGGTTTGAGCGATACGGACGGAAGCGCGGCCACTAAACTGACCAAACTCCCTTACCGCAACAAATTGGAGAAGCCCCTTCAAGCCGATTCCAGTCAGAATTTGATCGTGAAATTCTCGCTATCCCGGCCCGTTCATCAGGCGTTCTTGCGGTTACATTCCGTCGCTAAGGAGATCATTTTCGTGGCCGAACAGGATAGTTCCAAGGTGTACTTGGTGGAGGTCAACTTGGAGAAGGAGCTATCGGAGAGCGGTAACTTCGAAATGGAATTGTTGCTAGGTGACGCGTTGATTACGAATCCTATTCGTTGGAATCTTGGGAAGATCGAAGTTAGTTTGGGAGCGATTGCGGGTAAAGAAGCACCGAGGGTGGCGAGAGGACCCAAACGGGAGATCGAACATTTGTTCCGTCCCGCCGAAAAGAGACCGCCGGAGGTTGTTTCTGTGTTCTTTACCGCTCTGACGGCGAGTCCTTTCTTGATACTTTTGATTTTGTGGGCGAAGATCGGCATCAATTTCGAAAATTTCACGGCGATTTCGTTGCCGTTCCATTTGGGTTTCGGAGGTATCTTGGGCTTGTTTACCTTGTTTTGGTTGAGATTGGACATGTTTGTCACCTGTGCTTGGTTAGTACCGATTGGGGGATTCACGTTCTTCTCCGGGCATAAGCTGTTGAGCCATTTGGCGAGAAGTAGGAAGCAGGAAAAGTCTGATAAGTAGTAGAAATGCTTTATTTTTTAATTTTTTTGTAATAGAACTGGTTATATTTTTCGTTTTCAATTGTTGTATTTAGTGCAAATTTTGTTTGTCCGATATTGTCACACAACTTTTCTAAGAAAACTTAAAATTGTCTAATAAAAAATTAGAAAATTGATCTTCCTTTCAATAAATTAAAAAATCTTGTTAGTGTAAGTATTTGCAGTAACGTAAAAATCGAATAATATAGAGGAGTGAAAGATACGTATTCTAATAAAGTACTTGATAATTTATCGATACCGGATTACGTATAAGTTTTGTTGGCTGAAATTTTAAGTTACCGAAAGTTCTTTAGTAAAAGGCCTCCCTGTTTTACAAAAAAGAAGTGGATGCTTGACATGTCAACCGCCAATTCTGTCATCAGTGTCATACTGTGAAGTGAATCTGTCACTTGCGCCTGTGTTTATCGCCGAGGTAAGTTGTTTTCCGAAATTTATTTCCAAATATTTTAATAATCCTTAAATAAATTTAAATTTTAACCATGTCCTATTCAAAACCATCATTATTAGAACTATGACATGGACATATTTATAAAATTTAGTTTCTAAAAATGTTGAAATTCGCCGATAAACAATTAGCTAGGTTATGTAAGCTAACGTGTTGATTTTCTTTGCAGTTCTTAAATTCGACTAACGAGTCCCTAAACACAAGATGGGTAGGGAGGACAAGGCAACTTGGAAATCCAATTATTTCACCAAACTCATCGTAAGTGTATTTGTATTGTTTGAATATTATTTTCGCCATATTTACATGATGCAAGCAGAATCTGAATGTCTTCCGTTTCATACTAGAGCTAGAAATAGCTGAACCCACTAGTATGTGGAAGCCGCATGTTTATAAATTTTACTGATTTCTACATTAAAAAAAAGTAATTATTTTCGCGTTTGGATGTTTTCTAAAGAGCATTTGTTTTTCAGCAATTATTGGAAGATTACCCTAAGTGTTTCATAGTAGGCGCTGACAATGTCGGCTCGAAGCAAATGCAGCAAATTCGTATTTCATTGCGAGGTAATTATTAACAAAAATCTATACGAAAGAGCAAGAAATTTCTAATGTATATTTGTATTAAAGGCAACGCAGTGGTCCTTATGGGGAAAAATACCATGATGCGTAAAGCCATCAAAGGTCATCTAGAACGCAATCCTGCTTTGGAAAAAGTCTTGCCTCACATCAAAGGCAATGTAGGTTTCGTTTTCACCAGAGGCGATTTGGTGGAAATCAGGGACAAACTTTTGGAAAACAAGGTCAGAGCTCCTGCTAGGGCCGGTGCCATTGCTCCGTTGCCCGTTGTCATTCCTGCACAAAACACCGGCTTGGGTCCTGAGAAGACATCTTTCTTCCAGGCCTTGAGCATTCCAACCAAGATTTCGAAGGGTGAGTTAATTGCCCCAGTAATCCGAATTAAACGTTAACTAAATTCGTTGTATAGGTACTATTGAAATCATCAACGATGTTCACATCTTAAAACCCGGAGACAAAGTCGGAGCTTCCGAAGCCACTCTGCTCAACATGTTGAACATTTCTCCTTTCTCGTACGGTCTTCAAGTCGAGCAAGTCTACGATTCCGGTACCGTATTCGCACCGGCTATTTTGGACATCAAACCTGAGGATTTGAGGGCCACTTTCTTGTCGGGAGTGCAAAACTTGGCGGCCGTTTGTCTATCGATCGGCTACCCGACCATCGCGTCCGCTCCTCACAGCATCGCCAACGGTTTCAAGAACTTGTTGGCTCTCGCTGCTGTTACTGACGTCGAATTCGAACAGGCCAAGACCATCAAAGAATACATTAAAGTGCGTAGGATGATCGGTAGTAATGTAGTGTATTAATGATGTATGTTTTATAGGATCCTAGTAAATTCGCCGCCGCCGCTCCCGCTGCTGCTGCAGCTGCACCAGCTGCTGCTGCTCCGGCTGCTGCCAAGAAAGAGGAGAAGAAGGAAGAGTCCGAAGAGGAAGATGATGACATGGGCTTTGGGCTGTTTGATTAAGGAAATGTCGTTCTTCCTTTGAATTGAACGTTTATTTGCTGTTTTGCTCAGTCAGACTGTCAAATAAATTATGAAACTGATTTGTTGTTTTGATTTTGTGAAGCCTCTCTTTGCTTTTATACAGGATGTTTATTAATAACTTAAAATGGGTCCAAGAAAAAAGTATTTACTTCTCAGAGTTTCAAAGTTCAATTACAAAAAGCTAGTACTGTATCACTTTATTTATCACGTTTGTACAAGCTTAAATTACGTTCTACAACCGGCTTTCAAAGGACATCTTCCGTGGGTTCTAATGTGTTTCGGTACCACGAATTTCTTGAAAGTCTGGAATTAAAAATGTGAAACTTTGTACGTGAATGAGTGAAATTGCTTACATGTACCCAGGAAATACCGAAATCGAGGAGAGGTCCCGACTCGAAGGCTATAGGGTCTCCATAATAATCCTCCTCTAAAGGATCTTTGCCTAAGAGCCGGGCTATGGCTCTATAAAATACGGATAGCATTGTAAAATTTCCGGACAGAAAAAAACATTTTAAATTTGGATATTTTAACGTCAAAACCGACAATAATAAAATTTCGAAATCTCCAGTCACTAAAGTAACGAAGTGAAGTGATTTCAATTGATTGACTTACAGGGTGATCTAAAAATAGGATAACCTGGGTTTTCTGTTAATAAAAAAACATCGGATTAAAATAAATTTATGTAATTCTACTGTTAAGAGGATTGACAATTTTTCCCGCCATTAGCGCAACGTGAAGTTCCGCATCGATTACAAAATACAGAAATGGATGATCAGCTCGAAATTCTATCGGATTATACTCCGTGTATTGTCCTGAAATAAAGAAACATTCTAATAATCAACACATACAAAATAACAATTTATTTAATTGTTTTAATTCGCTGCAATTTCGTCACAAACAATTTGCAGTTATGCCCTATGACCTATTCATTACAAAACGCTCGGTGTAATTTAATTGTCTCACCGTTTGACCACGATAATTGCAATTGCAGCTCGTTTAGAAGAAACCAAGTGAGCCTGTCGAATTGCAAAAGACTTAATTAAAAATTGAGGCATTAGCTAACGATAGTTAATGCTGTTTACCACATGGACAGAACGGTAAAAATAATAACACGCGACAAATTCCAAGGTGAAAAGGTAGATTATCGACGATTAAAAATTAGTCGCGGGGTTTTGTTACACTGCGGGTGTTTTTTCCGAAATGATGCAAAAATTGAGAGATTTTGGAAGAGACAATTAGAGGAAAAAGTCTTACTTCTTGTATCGTATGCTTCAGGATCTACGTAGTTTTTTATATTCACAGATATGGCTTGCTCAATGTTGGTGATGTAAATTTCTCTCATCCTCGTCATCGGTGAAAAATCCGCTTGACCCGGCTCAAACACCTTCCTAACCCCCAACTAAAAATAAAGAAACTTTGCTCTCTAATACTGAAATTAACAATCAACCAAACGAAACAACTTCACCTTCTGCAGACTAGGCGTTAAATTGACATAACCCTTCAGCATGAAATTGGGAATAACAGCCACCACATGCCTGTACCTCAGCCCCTCTACGATGCCCTTCAAATTCCCGTTCAATCTCACGTCGCAAATCAACTTATCGACGCCGGCCTCGTCCAGCGGGAGCACCAGCAACAGGTAGTACTTGTCGCTGTCCAGCGGGAAGCTCAGGGCGAAGGCTCGAAGATGCGATAGGAAGGCGAACGGCAACACCGTGTCGTACTTCATGTAGTGCACGTTCCGTTCGGGGAATCTCCCCTGCACGAGGAAATCGGGCCGCGTCTGCGGTAGGTAGGGCTCCAGATGGGGGGGTTCTGGATAGCTCTGGAGGGCCAAGTGATTCGCTGTTTGGTCGCCGTCGTAATGTCTGGCTATGATGTAATCGATGAGCGATCTGGATTTTCTGAAATTGGAGCTCTTTTAGTCGAGAAATTTAGGGATAATGAGAGTTTTATCTACGAGACATTCTACTGCAGTTTACTCACCTGGTTGTTCTGTTGACTCCATTATTTGATTCAATAAACGTATTTCTCTTAGCAACACCTTCTTTGTTATTAATTTCATTTTCTTCCATCGTCCCCGTTGTAATATCTCCAGCGGGAGGAGCGGAAGCATCGGGATAGGGAAAAGACACCAGCGTTGTACTTTCGCTAGTTAAAGTAGAAAGTTCAGTTGATGTTTCTGATTCAAGCATGCTGGTTGAAGACATTAACAATGTTTCTGTTGTAGTTTCTTCAACGTTTTGTTCGGTGGTATCCACAACAGTTTCTTCTTCGCCAGCAGTGCTCAGTGGAATCTCTGTTGTAGTTACCATACTTTCAGGAACAGAACTCATTGTAGTTGTTGTAGAATCAGTATTTACATTAGTTGTTGTAACGATTGTAGATGTTTCTGGGTCATCTTTAGCGAGAATTAATTTCGTAGTTTCTTCAAAAACAGTTGTTCCTTCTGTACTGGTGCTAGTTGGTGTAATTGTAGTATCGCTTGGAGTGAATGTACTAGAAGTAATTGCTGAATCGGTTGTAGTTGTAGTCACTTGCTCAGTAGTTGTGGTGATCGGTAAAGTAGATATTTCATTAGCAGTCGTATCAGACTCAGTTGAGATGGTTTCAGTTGAAGTCATTGTAGATTCTTTATTAGTTGTCGATTCGGTTGTAATAGTACTAGTACTGTTCTCGTCAGTGGAAGGAGTTGTTACTACACTGGATGATACAGTAGTAGGTTCGGTACTGGTTGATGTAGGTATGTCAGTTTTAGTTTGTACTGCGATTGTGGTACTGGTCTTTTCTTCGCCTTTCTCGGTAGTGGTGCTAAGCATAGCAGTGGTAATTTCTGGTCTTTTCTCAGTGGTGGTACTAAGAATAGTACTAGTAGTTTCTGGGCTTTTCTCGGTGGTGGTGCTAAGAAGAGTACTGGTAGTTTCTGGGTTTTTCTCAGTGGTGGTACTAAGAATAGTACTGGTAGTTTCTGGGTTTTTCTCAGTGGTGGTACTAAGAATAGTACTGGTAGTTTCTGGGCTTTTCTCAGTGGTGGTAATTTCGCGATGTTGGTTTTCTGTGGTGGTGAAATAAATTGGTTTTTCAGTGGTTTGAGGATCCGGATAGAGCGCGTTATTAAAAGACATGATATCGAATCCATAAAATCTCAGCACATCTTCGTATTCCGGTCGAAGAGATACATTATCGTGATTAAGCGTCAGTCCTGCCAAAAATCCTTCTCTTGGTATGAAATAGCTCTGGAAACATTGAAACATAGCCACAAGATTGGTAATTAAATAAAAAAAATGTCACCTTGAGATGACGATGAATGTCTCTCAATCCGATTCTTATAACAGAAATATCGTTAGGTACATGCACAGCCCTCTGTAGTTCCCTGACTGCGTCTCCTTGGAGGCCTTCTCCAAGAGCTACTAGTATACTTAGAGCCCCATAGGGCGATATGGCGATATTATCTTCGTTGTTTTCATTGTGGATCTGGAAAAATAATTATCTCTTACCTATTAATAATGATTATCTTAAATTTAATGTTAATTATTATCATTTTTTTGGGGTTTTTAGATGAACGATCAGTGCTGTATCTTCAATTTTTTTGCGTCTTTGTTCTCCTAAGGAAATTAACCAGGTGAATATTTTGCGTGAGAAAAATAGTAAATATGCAAATGACTTTTAGTACTATGACTTCATTTCCTTTGTGTGTTTTACGGTAACGTAACTAATTTAATTCTTTATTTGTTGATATTCTACGAGAGTTTTTCGTATCCTACATCTTGATGATGTACCGGGAGCAGTTCAAAAATTTCTGAAGGCATTTCGATATCAATAAACTCGAAATATAATGACCGATTATTGATACAGTTAAATTGGTACTTTTTTTAGGACGGAGAGTTAAGTGAAACGATTTAAAAATTTTCACAACCCAACAATCGAAAGCCCACTAATCCGTGTCGGATAATTTGTCAAGATTGCACCTGTATGTGTTAGATCACAATGGCAACACAATAAAATTGTCTGCTGTCTATCCGATTTACACCTACACCTAGAGTTAGGTGATTTTATTTTTTTTTTTTGAAATTGCGTGTCTGACTAATCGCCATTACAGAAACTTTTACTCGGTCCATAAATTTGCATATACGAAGAGGAAGTGTTTTGTAAAAAAATTGCTTCATAGTTTTTTTGTTGAATGAATTATTTTATAAACATTGTAGGTGGATGATGTAGAGAGGTATAATTCATTCAATGGCAATTATAATTAAAATATGCACTCAATATATGCAGATTTTTTCTCTCTAGTTTTCTTGTTCTGATTGTGCAGTTTTAGCTTCATTAGATTTTTGTATTGTTATTATATTTTTTTAGAAAAGAGGATATGCATCCATACAATAGCTGGTTTTATAAAAATTTAGCATTACATTTTTAGTGTCTAGGTCACATATGAAATTAAAAGAATAATCATAACCATATCGTCTGGTTAATGTACTTATATACAGTGTTATTTATTTTGTCGATATAATTTTACGTTTTATGCACTCTCCGGTATTTGGCACACTTAATTTCGTTATGTCCCAACGATATGATGATGATTACGGAAAATTAAACAGTAAATTCGATAGATGTTTTACAAAACTCGGTAAAATTTAACACGACATTATTTAGGGTGTTAACCTCGTTATAATTAAGTTTCATATCGAATATTTATCGAAATACAATGAGTAATTAATTTATATTCTGCTTGTGGCATTAAAAACAAATAAAAATAACAAATCTTTGCGTCACTCTTCCGTTTTATTATACCTGTTAATTATTGACGAGGTCTTCTTGAAATAATTCTGGGTGTCTTTAATAAATAAATAAATGAGAAAGGGGATATAATTAATATGGTATTATGACACTTATAATAGAAGACAATTAACAATACCATTACAAGGTAATTAGCAACTAAAAGGGTGTTTTTTATTTATATAGTATTTATGTATAAATAAATGTTTTGTGTCTAAAAAATGGATCTATAAATAGGTAATTAGAAAAATGGAAAACCGTATTAATTCATATATAGACAGCGAAAATCGCGGTATTCATTTCCTGTTGGATGAATTCAACAAGAACAAATTAATTGAAATAATTTAATTGGATATACCACCAAATTACACTAAGTACTGTTACGTTACATCAAGGATTTATGCAAACTAAAATTATGTTTCATCCAGAAGCGGGGAATTTTAAATAAAATTAAACTAAGAAATACTAATTTAGTTATCTTACCAAAGATCTTTTAAGTATTAATTTGTCTTTATTCCATGATTTTGGATATTTCCCTTAGATTCTATCATGATTTATAGAAAGTTATGTAGTTAGTTACTTAATAATTCAAATGCTCTTAATTATTCCAAAAAATTATTTCAGAACCATTCAATAAATCGTAAAAAGAAGAAATCATTCACTAAACAATCAAAAAAAAAAAATAAAAATGATTCAATCTTAAAAAAATGTCTCCAAAAAATCTTCTACGAATTATGAAACAAAATTATTTAAAATCCAACACATTCAAAAAGGCAATCAAAAACCCCAAATCTAACCAATAGTTTCCACTGTTCTACTAAACCCATCATACAAACTTTCAGTTTGTCCCATTAATACCATGAAAAAATTAATCCATCTGCACTAAGATTAAAGGGTGCTCCAATTAGCATCCAATTACTGTATTAAAACTGATCCAAAATCTTAACAAACAAAACAAACCTACCGCTAGCAACTTGAGCCCCAAATCGTTAACAACCTCCACCATCACCTCCCTGGGCGCCGCTGGCGAGCTATCCGGATGGGGGTACGTGTGGAACCCGTACCCGGCCCAAGAGGGCGCTTCGTTCCAGCCGTGGCTCCGGGACCGGCGGTGCACCAGCGAACCGGAGCCGCCCCACAGCAGGCTCCAAAGCACCCACCAGCGCAGCACCCGCCCAGGCGATGGGCTGTTTGTTTCGAAAAAGGCGCGGGTTCGGGGTACCCTGGTCATGTCGCGACGAGCCGCTACTGCGGTGTGCACTACCGCGTGGTCGATGGAAAACTGAGTTGGATAATGGATTAGAATTGTAAGAGCGAAGAGTGGTTGGGTGGCGGTGGATTGGATGTGCAGGGATCGGACGTGGGAAGGATCAAATTGGCTCGTTTTTGAAGCGAATTTTCGAAATTGTGGATGGGATAAGTGCGCAAAAGCTTCATTAGAAATTTGAAATCAAGAAAAATAAGTTTGTTTGAAAGGCGACTCGAAAATACATCAAAATTTGTTCGAAATTATGAATGAGATAAGTCCGCAAAAGCTTCATTAGAAAATTGAAATCAAGAAAAATAAGTTTGTTTGAAAGGCGACTCGAAAATACATCAAAATTTGCAAAATTAAAAGTACCACAACATTTTAAAAATGAGCATATAAATTATATTAATTCCTCAAACTTACACCTGCTAACTTCATCCGGGGATCCCCTTGTATGCTTCGAATCGATTCCTAAATCCAGGCCGGATAGAATTCCTGGCATTTCGATAGCAATTGCTCGCGTAATCCTGCGGACATTTTAAGTATGAATTCTTGCAGTATGTAAGGAATAAACTTTTCTTCGCATTTACTCACATACATACGTGTATTCCGAAGGCAAAACATCCGTTTGCTGCGTACCGATTTGCATAACAAGCAGCATTCCTGCTGGAAGTTATGGAAGGCTTCCACTCGAGCTTAGAGCTTGGAATTTGTACGTTAGAAAATTTATATTAGGTACAAAATTAGGTGGGTAAGGAAATTTAATTTTCCGGGCTCAATGAACTCTCAATATGGCCTGTAGAATGTGTGTAAGACATTACTTTTTCTACCACTATTTTATTTTTACGATTTTAAGGAAATTGCTCATTACGGTATATTACAAAATCGACCTCCTATCTCCTATCATTCATTCGAATCCATTTTAGTAATTAGCCGGTATCTGTCAATGACACAGTTTATATTGATGGGAATTTAGTGGATTCGCAAGGTTGGTCCGTAAAAACTTATATTTATCTATTTTGTTGTGTATTTTATTTGATTGCTACTTATAATAAAGCTATATTATACATTCGAACCTTAATTATACCTTGTCTAATATACAGAGAAGTTCAAATAAGTTCGCGGTAAGGTCTGTGAGTGCAACAAAGACAACTTCTATTAGTGTTAAATAAAGGATAAAGAAGGATTGGTATTGTGGGAATGTAACCTTCTCTCTCTAACCAATGTGATACTTAATATTCTTTCTTTGTTGAACTGATAGAATTGACAATAAACAAATTTGCACTTACCCGTATGTCATATGTCATTAATTTATTTTTTGACGAATTTACTAAAATAATTTTAAGACTAAAAATAAGAATTCATTTAAGATATTCTTAATAAGTTCTTTAAAAACCTTTTGAAATAATAAAATTCTTAAAAATTTGAATATTGGTTTGAAATAATAAAAAATTGTGTTGTAAACAGTGTTGCCTATTTAGTAGATGTGAGATTGATTTTCCTGTAATTTGTGTTGCGTAACGTCTTGTCAAAAAACAGCAGTTTCATACTGCGCGCGCACCTAATCAAAATGGCTAGTGAGCTCGTATTTTGCTGTCATTTTTAAATCTCTAAAATTCATCCTGTATAAATGGCGTAAATCGCGAATCTTGTATTTATTGTAAATTGTAAATAGTTCATTGTATAGTTAGTGATAATATTTTGTGTTGTGAATTGATTAAATAGTGTACAAATTGTGATTTCTCCTAGTGTTTGTGTACAGCGGAATTAATCCTAACAAAGCCGACGCCGCAGTGAAGTTCGCAGAATATTTCAATAAATACAATTCCTTGATGCTTGGACAAGTTACCGACCAGCAATAGGTAGGTCGCTTGTTGATCTGGACATTGTTAGTGCGACTGGCATCGGAAATATTGCCGATATTCTCGGTGTTATGATTGCTTGTCACAAACGCCATTATTTTGTTTGGTACCGGGAATAATCAAATTAATGCCACATGAGGTACATTGTAAACAATACGTTTACATTCGCATTTTATTCCAGCCGAAATTTTCCTCTAATTTACTTCGTTTTCCTCTAAAGCACCCCCTATCAACAATACAGTCAATTTGACAGATGGTGATGTTTTTCTAATGCTATCCTGCTAAATTATTTACGATTTTATTGATTCAGATGAAATGAAATTCTATTTCTAGATAGCTTTTCTTGGCTCGCTCCAAAACCGCTCGTACTTTTATTGATAAAATACAACAACTCATCCGTTAACACCTAATAAGTCTCAGTTGTTAGAGTCGTTGGTAAATGATGAAAATTTTTCTATTTATAACCTCCAGAAAGATTTCCATCGAAACTCATTCAGTTCGCGACTGAACAATGCTTAGCCTGAAATATTGGCAAGTGTTATCAGTCTCATAGACACAACAAACTCCGCAGCACGATAACAACACACCTGGTTCGTTAATTCGATTTTTCTACTTTATCTCGACGTTAAAAATAGATAATTATAACAAATAGAGTTTCTATTAAGTTGTAACAATAAGGCCTAATTGTTGTAATATGTTTGTGTACTTCGATTCGAGTCGAAATGGTTTATTTAATCGTTTCGAGGGATGTCTCTCGAAGACTAAAGAATCTTGTTTTTTCTGTTGTAAACATAACCTTACTTGTTGAATTTCTTTCTTTGCATTATTCAATACTTTTAGCTCGATTTTATATCCTCTTTTTGAAAAAAATACTTAGTAAAGCAGGCGCTGTGATTAGACCAAGTATTATACTCAAAGTAGCTTTCTAATTACATTTATACATTTACCATTCTTCCTCAGGCTTGTCTTTGTAATAGAAATACTTTAGACACACCAATCAATACTTTAATAACAACCATAATTACTTAACTTATTAATGAATACATTGATGATATAAATAGTATTAGCTCGTTTTTTTTCTGTTGGTTGTTTCAGTGATACCAATGAAGTGGTTGGGCGGTGGAGAGGGAGATGCGATAATAAAAGCCGAGATGGATAGGGGTCCGCATCGTACGCAAGATGATGCTGCTGTCGGTTATATTTATCAAAGGGGACCCGATCCGGAGTTTCCTCCCTTTGGGCCGAAGCAACAAAGATGGGCCGGCGACGAGGGCATCATCGACGTACGTTGATCAAATATTGATGAATATGTTAAAGGGATGATGATAGAATAGGTGGTTTCGGGTGACGAGGAATCTCTGATAAAATGGGATGTTTTAGGTTGCTGGTTAATTGAATTGATACACGATGGATTCATAATTTATTCGATAACTTTTTGTTGGTTTTATTACAGTTGTATATAAGAGAAGTAGAGAGTCGGTTTTAGATGATATTAGGAGAGTATTTTTGATGTTTTTTTTAGTGGTTAAGGAGTGGAAATTAATATTGTAATACTTTTCGAAACCTTCAAGAATCATGAAAAACAATTAAGTCGTCAACAAATAGAATATGCATCAAAAAACCAGCAAATTGCTAGTTAATCTACTCACAAAAACAACCTAAAATTATGTACAAACTTAATTGCTTTTAGGTAGTTATTACCTTGTCCTTCATTCTATTATTATTTTTTTAAACTTTAATACATTTGTCGTCGAAATATTCCGCCGGTACCTAACGAAAATCCGGTGTAATCTTCCAGAACCACGACCAGAAGTGGAAATACCCGACGGTGAACAGCTCCAACAAAATCGGCACGTCGCCCGGCGGCGTTTCGTACATCGGCGGCGCCGCGACGGCGGCCGCCGCGATGCCCGCCCTCTACGACATGGGCGGCCAGAGCAAGCAGCTGGCGCCCGAACAGCAATTCGTCTACATGCCCAATCAATTGGCGCACCCCCAAGCGGGCATGACGCTGCACCATCCCCCCTATTTGCCCCCGCACGGTCTGGCCCAGCAGCTGCACGACCAGATGAGGCATCAGCAATCGCAGGTATGTCCGCCTAAATCGACATTTTCTAAATGATTTTATGAACGAAGGGTATCAAACTGGGTTGATTCTGTTTACAAGAGAAGGTTCTGTAAGTGGTGCTGTATAAGGAAGGTTCTGTAAAGTTCTGTTAGCGTTTTAAGGGTTCTTTGCTATGGGGATGTGGGTCCCTAAAAGAGAACATTTTTGACTATTTTTTACAATTTTGTTCCATTAAAATAGGATGATCCTATACAAGAGTATCAAGAGTTCTTTGCTGTGCAAATGTAGTTTGGTGCCTGCAGGGTCCTTTGCTATGGGGATGTGGGTCCCTAAAAGAGAACATATTTGACTATTTTTTACAATTTTGTTCCATAAAAATAGGATGATCCTATACAAGAGTAGGTCCTACAACTTTGGTGTCTAAGGTTCTTTGCCTATTTAGATGCTGGTTCCTAAAAGAAAGTTTAATTTTGGAATTTTTTGATAGTTTTTGGGACATTTCTCTCAATTTTTCGACTATTTTCAACCCTTTTCTGACCATTTTTGTGTGGAAAGAGACTATTTTTATACCACCCTGCACAACTTACCGAAATACATCGATATAATGATTAACCAGAATTCCATCAAGGAGTTGAGAAAAATACCCGAAGAAAACCGGTTGTAAAACACAAAAAAAGAGTAAAAGCTGGGACACGAATTCAATCGTCTTTCGACAAAACGTTCTCCTAATTATCGTCGAATAGCCGGAAACATTGGAAAGAGAGCGGGAAAACTCCCTCTGCTAACGGTAGAGAGAAAAAAAACCCGGCGTTGGTGGAGAATTTTCGGCAGTTCACTCGGAGCAATAGGCAGAACAGCAATGGCAGTCGAAGAGGTGGGGGAAAACGGGGGATAAAACACGGGAACGTTTCGCGCCCCCCTTTCAGGAATTATTGATTAAACGTCATTGCTTTCGCGATATTTTGTTGTTCACGGTTAACTGGCTTTCATTTTGATATTAAACAGTTCGCGTTTTCGATTAGATATAAAGTGCAGGCGCGTATTTAGGGGTTGTGATTGGAAAAAATTTATATTTAGTCAAATCGAAGTATGTTTACTAGAGGACGGTTTGATTGGTTCGATTATATTTGATCTGGAATAGTTCTGGATCAATGAGTTTGATTTGATTATCCCTTTTGGTGTATGATGAGTTGAATCGTATTATTAAATTGTTGCTTTGGCTGTATGAAAGAGGCTTCTCATACGTTGTGTGGATTATATCGCATTACTTGAACTGGCATTGCATTATGGTTTAAATTACAACGATTTACTGTTTGGAAAATTATGCCAATGTTGCGTGAAATAAGAATTTTTCTAAAAATATACTAGCCTTAAAATTTGGGTTTTTAAGTTAGTAAAAATTGCTCTAATTTTAGTGGTATGCAAAATTGTTTGCACTCAGACATTTTAATGTTCCTCTAATTTAATAACCATGTAGTTTTTATATTTTTTAATGGAACCACTTTTATTTTTTACGTGCTCAGCTGTAAGGCTATTTAATTGAAATTAATTAAAGATTTTTACAAGTTACATACAAAACGTGTTTAGGATTTTTAGACAATTTCTCACATTAAATAATTGACATTAAACGTTACATAATTGCAACGTCTGACTTCCAATTGCATTTTATATAACAAAAGCGATCACGAATGAATTTTCGGATTATTTATCACTAACAACACGAGTGTGAGTTTTCACGGAAAATGTTGAGTTACGAATTACCGGCAATTAAATACTTACCCACTTTGTAAATTTATTAAGCGGGCAATTTTAAAAACTAGGATAGTTTAGCAAAAAAATTAATTGCCATTTCAAGAAATACTAGTTGTAAAAAACAAGGACGTGAAGGTAATTTATGTAGCCAAATTAAATCTGGATGGATCATAAATTTGTACAATAATTTGGCTGTAATAATCTATAAAAATTTTAATTAGTGTAGGTATTATTAAAAAATTATGAGTGTATTCAAAAAATGAATTTTGGTTGTAAAATTCGTTCGTTACCGCCCTGTTAACCAGCTTAGGAAAGAATTGAGCGAAAATGATGGTGAATGTCGCGCTTTGTCATTCGTGGATATATTAATTTAGCATTTTTTCGAAGGCTTAATTTACTTTAGATGAAGTCTTTTTTGAAGAGAATTTCTTTTGTGCTAATGGAATTATTCGAATAAAGAAAAATTAATTTTAAATTATCATTCTGATCAATTACTTGAGGTATAATTACTTTTCCTACTTATCGATCGGATATTTTTTTAGAAAAATTTAATTAAGCCTGCGTTATAAAAAATGAATCATGCTGAAACATAAAAATTACAATACCTACACATTTTTCTTTTGTATGAAACAAATAATATCAAATTCTCACAAGTTCTTCGATTAAAATTAAAACGTTACACATTTAAATATTAAAATATTTTTGGAAAACTTTTCCCGCAAATTCCGAGTACATCCTCAAATAAATTTCCCGAAGAGTTTAATATTGACAAGAATTTTAATGAATTTCCTCGCCGACATTAATGCCTAAAACAAATATTTGTTTTTGTAATGAAATAATTCGGGTGGCGGCGAGCAAATTTTGCGAAAATGGAATATAATAGAGACCCCAAGTCATTTAGAAAGCTGCCGGAAAATTGTATTTCCTTAGAGTTTGTTGGAAACTACAGTAATTCATAATGGAGTACTAAAAAATATTAAAGGATATACAAATCCCATAAATATTATGAAAATATCTCGCTTTGATGAGATTCGTCTACACTACACAGTAAATATAAGTTATTAAATTTTCCCCATTTCCGACAATTTGTAAATTGATAATTTGAATTTTGATGAAGAAACTTTTTTTTATGTCGTATTAACTCTACACCCGGTTTTACAACCAAATACATTACCGTATAGAAACCAATTTGCCAACTCGATTCATTACCATATTTTCTATTCAATTCGCTTATGGCCTGCGAGCGTTTAATTTTTACAACGTTTCATATTCAACAAGTAATTACACCGCAGCCGTGGAAGTAATTTATCGAGTCGATCCATTACGAAATGTCTCAATTTTCCATCTATTTCCTAGTTTGCTTTGTCTAATTGCCGGTCGGATGTCGCTGTTAACATATTCTCGACGACTCGGACGCCCGAAGACATTAATCTGTTTTAAAATGGAAGTTGAAACGGTCGCGTTAAATATTATTACCGATATACGACGCCGTTTTTCGTATATCGGAATTATTATTTGTTCTCTTGATGGGCTATAATTTATTGAATCGATATTATTCATTCTTTTTATCGTTTAACATTTCGTATTTGTCTTCGTTGCAATTTGTTTACAAACACATATTTGTTTTCCTGTTAACCGAAAGCTTGTTATTGATATCTAATAAACATAATCGGGGCTATTTTTAGTACGATTGACCGGTAACTTTGTTAGCAACATTTCCACTAGCATCTCTGGTTAGATGTACTTATTATTCTTGTAGTATGAAAAGGAAATTAATGGTTGGACGTGTACGGCGAGAGCGGAATAAAAAAAAACTAACGAGACTGCCTTGTTTCTTGTTTCTTCTTGCTTTTCTTCTTGGTTTAGTTGTCGCCTCTTCGCCGACCAGGCTGTTGTATATTTAATTGTTGGTAGACTGGAGACCGGCTTGTTGTCTGGGCTTAGAATCTAAGTACTGCTTGCCAATGTAGTTATTTTTGAAATAACCCGTATTATAGTTAGATTTTATCAACATCATCGAGCACACGTTTGTTATAAAATGTATAGGTATCACTTAAATTTAGCACCATCGGAAACGATGTCTAGTAATGTTCGATTAGTGTTTTGCATTAGCAATTAAATTTAGTCGAATAAATCATACGCTAAATAACCTTCGTTTTTCTCCCATTTAGCGCTTTTAGTACAGAAAATACGTTTCTGGAAACCCTCAAGGCGAACTATCGATGTGATTAGTTCAATATTGTGTTATAATCGTGAATGCGGATGGGCTGCGAAATGAAATAAAACCCTCGTTGAAATATACACTTGCACAGAGTTTCAAGCTCAGAAGAACATGATGTAAAATTAGTTGTAAAATTAATTGCAAAACATGATCCCTGCGAAGGATTATTCTCATTTGTGTATTGTTTTCAGGTATAATATGAAATTAGATCCACAAATGACTTAAAGGTCCAATCTTTATGATCATTATTGTTTTGTTAATAACAAAGTTCTTGTATCTGTGTTTCTAATGGTTCCTGTATAAATATGGGAAGTAATCGTTATTGAGTGATCGTTGTTGTAGAAATTGTTTTATTTGCATTTAAAGATAGAGTTGCATGAGATAGAGATGTGCTTTCAAGATTTACTGTTTTAGGAGAACTTATAATTCTTAATTTACCGTTGGTGATTGTTTTTTTTAACCATCCATTCGTTTTCATTAAGGTTACGCAGAAGGTCTAATTGGTAGAAATGTTGGTCTTTCGAAATGAACTCTGAGCTGAATTTGTTCTCTTTTTATCCACCAAATTACTTCCATTTCGTCACCTTCTAACACACTGCTTTATTGTTCATTAACAACAGCTGATGCTCAACTAAGATCCAATAAACTTCCACAGAGCCGTTTAACTTATCAGCTCCAATACCAAAGTTTCTTCATTCCTCTTAAAAAAAAACCTCCTCCTCTCCAGCTATATGTATCACTAAAACCACAATGAAATATTCACGGAGCTCACCGGCCCACACCGCGGGCAGGCGAGAGAGTCTATACCGGGGGAGTTCACAGTTTTGCACTCGACTTCAGACGGGGAAAATCTTTACGGAGATCCGGCAACACCGGCGCCGTTTCAATCCGGCCGAGCCGGTCAACGAGACTCGCAATGCAGCGTCGCGCAGGCGCGCCCATCGCGATGTTCCTTTGTTAAAGGCTCAGTCCGACGCCGAATACCGCACCTAAAGCTACGGGTTTTTCCTTCGAGTTCAGCCGGATCGTGTCGCCGGTTTGTTTGTGTTTCGGTTTTCATTTCGTGTGTTTGTGTGTGTGCGAGGACGGAAAAGTCTCTCGACGAAAGGATTTTTTTCTTCGGCGTGGTAACGGTGACCGTCGACGGGATAATGTCATTTTGAAAGGATTATGAAAGACATGGGACCCGATATGGTAAATATGTGCAGCATAGGCCGTACTGTGGGCTTTTTTTTTTTTTACTCTCCGTTTCAGGGCCGCTTTAAGGGAGCGTCTGTGCGTGAACGCGAACGAGAAATCGGTTTGTCGGAGAGGGGTTCGGTGATGGGTGGATGGGTTCGGTTGGTGTGCCGGTAAAAATGTGGATATAATCGTTATCAATTCTACGACCGTTCGGCCTTAACCTTGAATATAATATTCTTGGTTCTAATCGAACGAATGTTGCTCGATATTTTTCACTAATCCCGCGGAAGTTTGAATGATTTCTGTTTGAATTTTACCAACATAAACCCCGATTCGATGGATTTGTTTACTTACAATGCATTTCCTCGAAAGGGGTGTGTTCCGCCAACCGTTATACGTCGTAAATGCACCTAAACGAAGACGTTACGGTAGGCATTTGGGACAGCAACAGGTTTTGAAAAAAAATAATAAATCGCGTATTTATTGCTAAAAATGTCTCCTAAAGTTTATTCAGCATTTGACAGGTAGAGAGGCAGCGGACTCGAGGCGGGTCCGGTGTGTGTTTTTTTTTTATTTTTTATTGTCGGGTTTTCGTTCGCTTTGTTTACCTCCGAAGAACGAGACGTCTCGAAATTTATCGGTGTTCTTCTTGCTGGTTAGAAGCGTTGTTGCCGATTTGTTCGTATCGAATTTCTGGTTGCTGGCAATCGTAATGCGCTTCATGGATATTTCGCATTGATTTAAAGGGCATTTCTGTATCGAAAACTCGAAATTAGTATTCGTTTTGCTATTGATAGGAAATTGATCAATAATAAATTATATTTCGGATTAATGAACTTGATAATTAGAAAAACAGAACGTATAGTACTAGATTATATTCCAAAGCTTTCTTAGAACGCTTGCACTTGCAGTAGGTACTTCTATTTTAAGTACCGCTTGCTCCTGTTTCCCCCATACGATTGAAATAATCGAGAAAGTACTCTAATTTGGAGGTTTTATTAGAAGTCGAATTTAAAATAAATTGACTTATTGTTTACACTGTTCACAACTGATTTTAATATAATATGTAGTTAGAAATTTTGAAGAAATTACCTTTTACATAATCTCTCGAAAGCGAATTTCGGACTAGAAATTTTGGGTCAGCAATATCTTAAATCTAATTTACCGCAGTCTTTTAATTTGATCTACTATGAATAAATTTTACATGTATTAGTATTATCAATATTATTTCCTGATAATGTCTTGTTAATTTCCTAAGCAGATATATCTTTAAAATGCATTAAAACAAGTACTGTGTAATTGGTAGGTACATTAATCGATTCTCTTTGTTATATGTAACAATTTCCCGTTCGAAATCGACTATTGAAAGTTGCAAACTACAAAAATGATTTGCCGCTAATTTAACTAATTCATAGCGCAATTGTTATCGGTTCGGATACAGTTCGGTGATCTTTCGTTTGCTCAAACGGATTATGTCCATTAATTATTTGTCTTGTAACATAATAGAAATTATACCTATCGGAGTGGTATGTTCGCTATAACAATGCTCGTTTCTTGGAAATATTCCTCGTAGGTAAGGTAATTGGATTTCGGGTTTTGGTTTGCGAACCAAATGCGAGAGTGTATATTTTCATGTATATAGAGGTAAAGTTGGACCGAAACCGGTACTTACCTATACGATTTCAAGGTATTTCTCCAGGTGCAAGGTCGACCGAGCGTTAATTTACGATGCATCTACTAACATCAACGGAATAGCCGAATGTGTGGTGTATGATCGGTGATGGCCTTTGAGATTCAAATGTGTAATTCTGCGTTGATTTTGCGTCGATTCGATATTCGTTGAGTCAATGATATCGGATAGAAATCCCCAAGGATTCCTGTACGAGTGCGATAAAGTGCGAGATGTTTTGCCATTGCATATTTGCACTATAGATGGAAGTTATTTCGTTTATTTATTTGTTTGTATTGTTTGTACTGGAAGGCATGAAGTGTTTCGTCAAAACATGTTTTGTAGATTAAGTAAAAATTACAGTTTTCATCGCTTGTGCATATTTATCATTTTTGTCTATTCGAATGAATCGATGGTAGCAAATTGTATGAAACAATATTTCTTTTTAACAAAAATACTAAATAAAATGAGAACGCGGGAAATAAATTTACCAAACTTTACAACTATCAGTTCGACCAAACTAAAACCACTTCCTTCTCCATGCTTTTGAATTGATATTGGTATTATATTTTGAATCTGTATTGCGCATAAATAACTCTTATTTGATTTTTGAATGTCGTTTTTTTTCAGGTGAGTTCCTACAACCTTCCTATAACCATTGATGCTGGTAAAACACATCAGGTATTTTAAAATTTATTACTTTTTTATCTATGTCTAAAGCAATAATTCGAATTAATCGAATACGTATATCTCATTGAAATTTTGGCACATTTAGATGTATTGATTGCACTTTTCTTTTACTGTATTTACGAAAACTATTGAAGTAGTTATTGAAATTTACGATCGCTTTAAAATCTAAGTAGCTTTCCCGAATACATGTTTACCGTAGTAATTCCTATATTACGACGATCAATAATAAATCAAGCTTAACAGTGATTGGTGAAACGAAAACTAGTCAAACATAAAATTTTATTTTCGTCGCGTTTTCGTTTTCAGTTAAAACGACACGCTATTGAGGTTTCGAGAATATCGAGTTTTACGCAAATTTTCGATTTTTTTCATTCTCTAATATATTAGTAGTTATAAAATTGTAGATACCTAATGATAAAAGCCTTTCCGCCTTCTATCACATTGCATAACGCTTTCCTTATCTTCGGGTAAAATCTCACGGCGCTTTTAAAACTGGATCATTCGATGTTAAAAATAAATGATCGAAAAACAAATTGATAGAAAATGGATACCTATAATAACGCACGACAAGGTTACATAACATCCATAAAATCGGATGATATAATAAAAGTTTCTTCCGCGTTCCCGCTATACAAAAGTTATTTCGTAAAATAATCAGGAGATCGAACTAAAACGCTGAATGATAACGCTACTGTATACCTGCTTTCGAAAAATTTATGAATATTTAAAATTCAATAAACGTAAAATAGTAAATAAATAATGTACGAGAAATATCTCTATATTCATTGCTCGAACATATTTTACGAGGGTATAAAACTATAATCGATTGACTATCCATCAATGTACATATCATTCTGTTTAACTCTGCGCAAATATTTTTGTGCGCGAGGCTTGATAGTTTCTCTCTGCGATTAAATAACGTTTGCAGAGACGTTTTAAGTTGCTTTGTTTGTATCGTGCAATGCCATCATCGCATTAAATCCCTACTAAAACTTTACATATTCATAAAGGACCCCGTCGTGTGTTGCTCTCGCATCTGCTGCATGCTCGGTTATCTATTCGTCATATTTAAAAATTAGAATTTTTTGAAATATGGGAGAGATAAAATGTCTTAAAAATAATATCACATCGGTACGTTTGTTTGGTAACAATAAATAGATTTTTTTGCGTTATTAAAGAATAAGTTACACAATCATATTACATAAATTATCGGTAAATATTTCACTTATTTACCTTTAAATATTGCTCATCCGGTACAAAATACGAATTTTCCACGATTGATAAAGGTTGTGTTTGAAAATAAAAATAGGTAAATACAGTTGATTTGCAAAGATGATTTTTTTAAAATTGATTGAATAAAAAAAATTAATTTTACATAACTTATTTATCAATCCTATTCCATATCGTGTTCTATCGCTATCCTCGAGTTTGTTTCTTCATTACGAAGTATAAGGTTACGTTTTAGCAATGAATATGCAGATAACCAACACGTTTAAAAAAAAATCGCGATTCAGACAGGAAGTAATCACACTTTTTTTTTTTTTAAAGATTACGAGCGTATATAAATTCGAAACGTTGTAAACACGTAAGACGAGCCATATATTTTTACTTACTTTTGCAAGCGTCCGAGGAAATTTCGGAATTTTAAAATTTCCACATGCTTGCTGTTAATAGATAATAAATTAATTTCCCATTGTCCAATTAATTGCGTTCAACTGTTGAGGCGTTATCGACGCAGAAACTGTTACTTTCACTTTGTCGTTATAATTACGTAGGTATTGGCTATTGTTGCTTTCGATCATCGCGGAGGAAATTGAAAACGAATCTCGATTCGTACGAAAAGTTTTCAAAACGGTTTTTAACTAATTAATTCATGCAAATTGCGTAAAGCTATTGTTACGGACAGAATTCGCTGTATTAAAGTTAATTAACAATATTTACCGGATTTAATTGTCAATTTTCCAAAAAAAAATGACGAAACTTTTGGCTCCTTTCGGAGCGATTTCCAAAACAAATACGCACAATTTAAAAAAAAATTAACGTCGCATTTAAAAACTTAATATTCTATTGTAAAATCGCGTTATAAAGTTGAATAGATAAAGCACTGAAAAAAAAAAAACAAAAGTGATTCCAGTTACTGCACTCTTATCGTACGATACTTGCAATAGCAATATAGAATGTTATGTTATTCAGTTCACTAACCATAATGAGTTGATAATTAAGTATCGAGACAAAGGTCGATTGTGAATCGGTTTTACAACGGGGCCAATTATTTTACTATATTTCTGTATAATTAAGTGGTGAAATATTCACGTAGTTTCCACGTTTTATCACTGCGCTAATGTTGAAGTTGTCGATATATTATTTAATTCGTTTTGTGATTGTTGGAAGGGAATATCCCGATGTTAGTTTTAGAAATTTGTTATAAGAGTAAACTAACAAGAAATGGGAA